AAGCGTTTTAAGGAGAATACATTTTGCTGGGGCCCAGAGAACCAATGCAGCCAGCCCAGGCTGATACCATGGGGGAAGGATTAAGGGTAAATAGTAAATTCTGCTTCAAGGATATTTATGGAGACTTACGAGGTTTGCTGGGGTCAATTGGATGCATTCTTCTTATAAAATGTTTGCACCATTTTAGTCCTTTAGAATATTAAAAATCAAAACATTAGCAAGATGATAATATTAGAGCCAACCACAAAGTTACAAACTAGACAGCAAACTTGGTAGAAATCCTCTTCAGGCTGGATGTTGTGTTTAAACAAAAATGACAAAAAGGGGGCATGGTCGAAAAGCCCCAGTTTGAGTCATAATGTAATTTCAGAAATATAGATAATTAATTTCAGAATTAAAATGGAAACTTCGCTTTCATGACGCATGAGAGTGTATGTATGGGATGGGTCTGGAACATGGGCGTAGCCAAGTGAGGGCAGGGAGGGGCAGTTGCTCCCCCCCCCCCAAGTAAGACCCCCAAGGGGTCAGCAAACTTTTTCAGCAGTGGGCCGGTCCACTGTCCCTCAGACCTTGTGGTGGGCTGGACTATATTTTTTGAGGGGTGGGGGAATGAACGAATTCCTATGCCCCACAAATAACCCAGAGATGCATTTTAAATAAAAGGACACATTCTACTCATGTAAAAACACACTTATTCCCAGACCGATTGTGGGCCGGATTTAGAAGGCGATTGGGCCAGATTTGGCCCCCAGGCCTTAGTTTGCCTAACCATGAAGTAAGACAATAGAAACACTTAACTAACTGACCAATCATGTCGGTTCTGTCCCCCCACCAACAAAACTCCTGCCCTCCAAAAAAAATCCTGACTATGCCCATGGTCTGGAAAGATGCCAATGCTACAAGTTTGCACTGGACCACCCAAAGAAATGCTTGTTTCCTGCATCCTTATTGTGATTTGCCTTTGTATGAAGGATTCTCCTTGTACATGTTTCTTAGTATTTCTAATCTACCTGGTGAATGTGAGCACAGAAAAAGGGACAACAGTTGCTTCAGAGTCAAAATGGACAGATATGCTCATGCCCTCTTAAGATAGTATCCAACCAGGTATTCACATGCAGTTTTAGCAGCTGCATTAGAGAAGCTGCAACCGTGCATGCAAGATTACACACGTTTTGCCTAGAAGGCAGTTTGATGGGATTGCCACACACGCAACATTTACAGGAAAGCGCACGGTACACATGCAGCTACTTGAGATATTGTGGAGTTTGCTCCACCCTGTGTAAATGTAACCGGTAGCTGTGGCCAGTCCTGGCACCAAGTCATTTATAGTGTGTACTTGAGCTATAAGTATGTACATAAGTGCAACATTTGTTTAATGAGCAAAGTAAGGAGCAGTCCTTAAACCAAGGATGGGGAATCTGTGGTCCTCCAGATGTTGTTAGGCTCTGGCTTGCATCATCCCTGTCCAACATCTGGAGAGCCAGCCACAGATTCCCCTTCCAGTATTAAATATTTACAGTTAAGTGGCAGTAAGGAAACAGAAATGCTGTCATACATAGCCTAAGAACAACTGTGTAAGTGACTTCAGGTAACAGAGACCAGTTTTGTTTTTAAAATAAAGTAAGACTGTCAAGCAACCTGAAAGAGCTTTTTCTTTTTATCCTCTAAAATGTTTGCTCAGTCTGAGCAGATCCTGACACTCCAATTTAGAAGCAGGAATTCTGCCATAATCCCTTCAAGCCAGAGCACCAGATTGTACAAGTATTGCACAATAAATTAGACTTCATGGTGTTGTTTTTCTTCTCCGTCCTCATCGCTGGGGCTTTCTGTACATTATTCATTTCATTCCATAGCCAATTTCCTCATACAAAATATATACGGTATCTCTCAATAAGTTTACATTTGTGTACTGCAGGTTGAAAGGCTTCAAACATGCAAAGTTTTAATGCCATCTCTAGGTGAATGGCTAAGCCGCAAATGGAATTTTCTTTAGAATAACACTGCAAGAAACACTTCTTCTGTCATTTTTCTAGGAAGTAGCTTTTAAAAACAATATATAGAAGGCCTCCTGCCAGCCTTAATCTGATGCTGAAATAATGAGTGACAGCTTTCTGAGTCAAGAGACTCAGTCCCTGGGAAAGTGGCATATATTATTCATGCAATTCTCAGTATAGCTTTTCAGATGCACAATTACAGTGACCCATGGGAAAGGTACAGATTTGACAGCAACTCATCCTTCAGCAACTTGTCCAACACAAATAGGAGCAAGTTAAAAAATGAGCAGCATTCCCAAATAATCTTCCTTTAAAAAGGGTCTTCAGGTATGGAGGCCACACATTTCAGTAGATGAGCCTGTTCTCTTTGGGGGACAATTTTACAAGACACACTTATCTAATTCTATTAAATTATAGCAATTACAAAAACTAAAAGGGGGTGCGTTTCTCCATCTAGTTTTGGAACTGTGGCTGTTTGTGAAAGGTTCATAGCTTTGGGAAGATCTTTAGTCCAGTGGCAGAACATCTGCCTTCCGTATAGAAGATCTTTGGTTCAGTTCCCAGGACCTCACAAGTAAGGTAGACAGTGTAGACAATTCTGAACTAGATGGAACAAAATTCTGACTTTGAATCAGGCAGCTGCTTATATTTCTCCTGGCATTTTTGCGTCTCTGTAGAGTTACTGTTCTTACTGCTGTAGTGTTAGGTCAGGCATAGGCAAACTGGACCCTCCAGATGTTTGGGATTACAATTCCCATCATCCCTGACCACTGGTCCTATTAGCTAGGGATGATGGGAGTTGTAGTCCCAAAACATCTGGAGGGCCCAGTTTGCCTATGCCTGTGTTAGGTTCTGATCAGGCCCTTAGAAGTGAGTAGCTTTGTTTTTGTTTTTACAATTAAAGGGTATTTTTTTTCTTTTTGTATGCTCAAGGTTATAGGACTGGTGCTCTTAGTAACAATGACCACTAGATGGCACTGTGTGAGTAGAACATTGGTGTTTTCAGCAATGATTCAGCTTTGGCTCCATCTGATCGATGGAGTCTTTTGTAAATTAGAAAGACTTCGCTTCTTGGTATGTTTGCTGTAGCATATGATCCTTCATACAATAAATAAAGGCAGGATGCCTGCATTGCAGAAGGTTAGACTAGATGACTCTTAGGGTACCTTCCAACTCTGCCATTCTATGACCATCATGGTCATATCGACTGCAGAAAAACAATATACACACTAATGCAATATTTAAAGAAACGTATCTCAGCCGCCAACTTTTCAGGAGTTGGAAACAACATGTCCAGACATGAGGTAGGGGCAGCTCATGGCCTTATTTCGTCTTCTGGTGCTACAGGCAGTCTTGTAGGTTATTGCCCCTCACTGTATTGTTAACATCAATATATCATTTCTGAGTTCGGCCTCATTGGGAGAGGAAGGGATGGAAAGACTAGCTAGATCACATTTCCATGTGGTTGCATTCTAACCCATATAAGCTGCTCATGATTTTTAGTGGGAAGAGCAGGAAGAGAGGGAGTTGGAAAATGCATGAACAAATACTACAGTTCAGCAGTCTTAAGCCCTCTGTACTGCTTAGTCCACCCACCCCGCCATCTCCAGGTTACCAAACACATATGATTATTCCTTAAAGGTAAAGGGACCCCTGACCGTTAGGTCCAGTCGCGGACGACTCTGGGGTTGCGGCGCTCATCTCACTTTATTGGCTGAGGGAGCCGGCGTACAGCTTCCAGGTCATGTGGCCAGCATAACTAAGCTGCTTCTGGTGAACCAGAGCAGCGCACGGAAATGCCGTTTACCTTCACGCCAGAGTGGTACCTATTTATCTACTTGCACTTCATGCTTTTGAACTGCTAGGTTGGCAGGTGCAGGGACCGAGCAACGGGAGCTCACCCTGTCACGGGGATTCAAACCGGTGACCTTCTGATCGGTAAGCCCTAGGCCCTGTGGTTTAACCCACAGCGCCACCCACATCCCATGATTATTCCTTAGGAGCACCTTATTATTATTATTATTATTATTATTATTATTTATTGAATTTGTATACCACCCTATACCCAGAAGTCTCAGGGCGGTTCACAGAAAAAAATCAAAATATAAAACCACAAAATACATAATAAAAATAAAAACAACCCAATTACATGTCCCCCCAAAATCCCCACATTTTAAACCACATCTTATTCTCAGAGGGTTCATCTTAAGTCACCTCAGTGGGACCAGCAACAAGCAAGCAGGAGGTATCAGTGAGCTTGAGGGAACCCCAACATTTGCAGAAGTAAAAAAGAAATGTTATGGGGAAACCCTAATGCAAGGGGAGGACCAAAAAACAGCCCCATGAGGACTGAACCAAAACAAGCAAACTTGTGGGGGGAATGTATGAAGCATCCTAGAAAAGGGTATGGCTAGCTAGGCGCGTGAACAGGAACACTCCATACTAAAACACGTTACAGCAGGTCCTGCTTATTCTGAATATGTCAAAAGTCCAGGCCTTAAAATATTGTAGAAAGGTGATGAAGGTGATGGACTATATGGAATACCTTGCAGCCAATGACTAGAGCAGAATCTGAGACCAGGTGGCAAGAGTCGGTGGATGAAGCACTGTGGAAGAAATTCACAGAGCTACTTACAGAAACATTGTAAAATCAATGAATGATAGAAGGATGTTGGATCACGCAATTAGGTGAGCTTCTATCTGTACTGCGGTCACGAGAATCATGACACAAGGGCTATAAGTAGGTTCAAAATCTAATGGTCAAGAGTTGCTGAACCAATAAATTGAAGTGGAACTACAAAAAGGAAGGTAAATGAGGCGTGTCCGTGAAACAAGCTAAAGGTACAATAAGTAACTGAAAATCATGCTGTGCCTTTACACTGTTTTTATCTTGTATTTGTCTCATCTGTTTCACTTTTACTGTAATATTTCAAAAGCCTTAGATAAACATCTTATAACGCAAAAATATTGTAGACAAGGCTGTTGACCTACCTGGTCAGAAGTACCTTGTGCCCATGACTAAAGCTCAACTAAGGTGTGTAGCGGGGATTAGGAGCCTGTGTCCCTATAGATGTTGTTATTATTTATTAAATTTATATACCGCCCTACATCCAGAGACCACAGCGCGGTTTACGACATAGGACACCCAACAGAAGATGTTGCTGGACTCCAGCTTCCATCAACCCCATCCAGGGTGGCCAATAGTTAGGGATGGTTTTATTTTATTTTTAAAAAATTAATTACATTTTTATGCCACTTTTTTCTTCCAAGGACCTCAGGGTGGTGTATATGGTTCTCCTCCCAGTTTCATTCTCACAGCAACCCTGTGAGATAGGGTAGGCTAAGATGCTGACTGGCCCAAGGTCACCCAGTGAGCTTCATGGCTGAGTAGGATTCGAACCCTGCTCCATCAGGTCCTAGTCCAACACTCTTAACCACTACACCACACTGGCTCTCCACATGGATGGGAGATTTATTGCAGCAGCATCGGGAAGATCTGCCCCGGTCTAAAGTCTGAAGTACTGGGGAGGCAGCCCTAAAATAAGGAAAAGAAATAATCAGAGGTTAAAACAGTGTATGTTACAGAAGTATTGGGGGGAACACCATTTAAACAGAATGTGTCACACGTGTTAAATATATGCTTATGATGTCATAAACCTCTGACACTGATAAAGTAAGTTTATCTTATTTCAGGGCATGACAATCTATTGAAAGAGCTGAGATGCCAACATCACTGCAAAGTAAGAATTCCAGATAAAACCACAAAGTGCAGTGAGGAAACAGAACATTATTTTAAAATTTCCCGTCTATCTAGTTTTGCAGCTTGCCAAAAAAATAAAAGTGCATTGAAAGGGGTGGGAATCAAAATGCAAAGCCAATCAAGTGAAAAGTTTGTGTCACTTAGTGTGATTATTGCTTAAAATCTCAAAATGATTGAGCTAAAAACAAGCTTGACAGATTGGGAATTTCCACTTAAGTTGCTGGCGTTCAGCCCTTCTGCAAGGTTCATTGCGGCGCTGCTTTTGCTTGGGGGCTCTAATTACAGCTTTATCCACTTCATAATCTCTCATACTGACATCAGAGATTTATTTCCTGCCTATCTGCTATCAGCAACCTCCCACTAGGCTGGATAGCTAGAAAGGCTTTAGGAGACATTCCTTCTACGTTTGACCTATTGCTCCATGGAGAGACTGGCTTCAAGCTGGATTGCCTAAATTTTGATAAGAATTATTAATGGGAGAGTTTTGCCAAAGTGTCTTCTGGGCAGAAGTTGAAGAGCACTCTCTGTTTCAGCTCCTTTGGCAGCAAATGCATGAGGTCCATAACAGCAGGGAAGGGAACTATGCTAAGGGCCAGAGAGCTGGATTCACTCCTGGGTTGCCAATTGCCTATCCAGTTTAGATGATTCATCCTGGTGCCGTAGCATAATGGAAAATATTAAGTTAACATTGTACTTCTGTATCCCTTGGGCAGAATTCTAATTTTAGTTTTCACTAGTCACCACTGGCTGGCCGAGTGGAATAAAACAAGTTGCAGCTCAGGGGGAAATAACATAAGCAGTAAGGTTGCATGGCTTTATCGTTTCTGCAAAGAGGGCACACCACTTCCTTTATGGCTCAGTGCAGCTGTCAATGTTCTTATGCAAAAAACCAAAGTGCTGCACCAACAAGTACAAAATACCGTATTTTTCGCCCCATAGGGCGCACCAGCCCATATGGTGCACCTAGTTTTTTGGGGGGGGAAATAAGGAAAAAAAAATATTTCCTCCCAGGCACAGAGCTGGGGCGGGGGAAGCCCAAGCTTCCCCCGACCCCAGCCCCCAGAACAGGCTGCTATCCGCAAGCCTAGGGAGCCCGGCGGGAAGTCGCACCGGTCTCCCCAGGCTTGCGGATATCTGCCCGAAGTCGCACAGCTCTCCCACGGCTTGCAGAATGCTGCGTGAAGCTCGAAGCCTGGGGCGCGCTGAGCTCAGCGCGCCCCAGGCTTCAGGATGCAGGCAGCTCCCCGCAAGCCGTGGGAGAGCTGCGCGACTTCGCACCGGGCTCCCACGGCTTGCGGATAGCTTCCTGAAGCCTGGAGAGCGAGACGGGTTGGTGCGCACCGACCCCTCTCGCTCTCCAGGCTTCAGGGAAAGCCTGCATTCGCCCCATAGGACGCACACACATTTTCCCTTCATTTTTGTAGGGGAAAATGTGCGTCCTATAGGGCGAAAAATACGGTAGCCCCCCTACAGCGCCACAAATCCAACTCAATGGTGTAACGTTGGAAAATGTCAATCACCTCTCCTACCTATCTTTCAACAAGGGCCAACATTGATGCCGAAATTCAGTATTGCCTGAGTTCAGCGAGTGTGGCTTTCTCCCGATTGAAGTGCAGAGTGTTTGAGGACCGGGACATTCGCAGGGAAACTAAAATGCTTGTTTACAAAGCTATTGTACTACCAGCATTACTATATGCTTGCAAAACATGGACCACTTACAAACGCCATCTCCAACTCCTCGAAAGAGTCCATCAACGGCGTCTCTGAAAAATTTTACACATCACTTGGGAAGACAGGCGAATATCAGTGTACAGGAAGAAGCAAAGATCACCTGTGTTGAAGCAATGATTCTTCAACATCAGCTTTGTTGGACTGGTCATGTGCAGATGCCCGATTATCGTCTCCCAAAGCAACTACTCTATTCCAAACTTAGAAATGGAAAGTGTAATGCTGGTGGTCAACAAAAGAGGTTTAAAGACTGTCTCAAAGCAAATCTAAAACAATGTAGTAGAAACACTGACAGCTGGGAAACACTGGCCTGCGAGCGCTCCAGTTGGAGAACTGCCTTTCCCAAAGGTGTCATGGGCTTTGAAGACACTCGAACTCAGGACGCAAGGGAGAAACGTGCTAAGAGGAAGGCACGCTTGGCAAATCCACATGGTGATCAACTCCCACCCGGAAACCAGTGTCCCCACTATGGAAGGACATGTGGATCCAGAATTGGCCTCTACAGTCACTTATGGACTCACTGTTAAAACCGTGTTTATGGAAGACAATCTTACTCGGCTACAAGTAATCACCAAAGAAGAAGACGACTCGGGACATTTCAGTTTGGTGGTTCACCACTAGCGGCAGCAGCAACCAGATCCAGCAGCTTCTGCCAACAGCAGACAAAGCTTTGTGGGATTCATTTCCTTGAGCGTTCCTTATGCAAAGAGGCGACAGAAGAACCTGCCTTAAGCAGAGGCTGCCTTCTGTGTCTCTGGATGAGTCCCTGCTCTTGGCTCTCCTTCTCCCACTTAAGTTGGTTTGAAACTTTTATGCTTCACCCCTCCTTAAAACCAGAATTTTTTGATAGAATAACAATACTGACATTTGCTTGATTTGACATGGACGTGGGTGGCGCTGTGGGTTAAACCACAGAGCCTAGGACTCTCCGATCAGAAGGTTGGCGGTTCGAATCCTCGTAACGGGGTGAGCTCCCATTGCTTGGTCCCTGCTCCTGCCAACCTAGCACTTCAAAAGCACATCAAAGTGCAAGTAGATAAATAGGTACCTCTCTGGTGGGAAGGTAAACGGTGTTTCCCTGTGCTGCTCTGCTTCGCCAGAAGCGGCTTAGTCATGCTGGCCACATGACCAGGAAGCTATACACCGGCTCCCTCGGCCAATAAAGCGAGATGAGCACCGCAACCCCAGAGTCGGTCACGACTGGACCTAATGGTCAGGGGTCCCTTTACCCTTTACCTTTAACCTCCCTGCAACTCAGGATGAATGCTCAGTGACCAGGGTGTCTAGAAGTGATGTTATAGTGCAGGTGTGGAGAACCTTTCATCACACCCCCTCCCAGCCTGATGTTGCTAAACTACACTTCTCAGCTCCAGAAAGCATAGCCAACAGCCAGGGGTGATGGGAATTGTATTTCAGTAACATGTAGAGGGCCAAAGGTTCCCCATGTGTGTTATAGTGGGAGGCAGTTTACCGGTCAAGAGAGAATTCACCGAACTAGGTAAGAAACATTTATGAAAGCGTGTTACTACTGGCAAGCGCTACTTGAATTCTGTTGTTAAAGGGTGCAACTGTTACCTTCCATAGTCCCTAATGCATACTGATTGGAGCACACCATATTTAAAGCCCGTAACGAGGAGCTATTCCTAGTCATTCCATTTATACTAAATGTCCAGGGATGACCTTAGCCATTTTGCTGTCTAAAATAAACAGGCCATGTGTCAGGAGCTGGAAGAATCTGTGTGAACAGCTGACCTGCAGGTAGCAGATTCTTAATGTGCCGACTTCACCCATCTGGGCTGACCACTGGATATTTCTGTGTGGGAAGGAGTCTAGAAGGCTTCTGCTCACCCGTGGGGGGGTATTTTAAATGTGTCCCACTCTGGGAGATTTCCATATCTTTCATTATGGAAACTGGAAGTTGGTTTCTTTGGGATTTTGACAGGGCACTGTGTCCTTTGGGAGAATGGTCTGAGCAACACTGGCCTTTGTGAAGTTTGTGGGGCAAAAGAAAGAGTCAGGTCATGTTGCATGAGATTGAGATGCAGCAGTGAGAAGGGGGCCTCTCTGCAAGCTGAATCACTCGGGCATAATATCTTGGGGGTTGTCTTTTGGGGGCAGAAATCTTTGGGTCAAAATCTGGCCAGTGGCATGATGAATTATTGTAATTAAGAAGTATTATATTATAGCTGATTGGTGGTGATAATAGGACCTCCCTTTTGGCCCTTGAGGCACATACTGGAGATGGGATTGGGATGTCTTCACTTGATGCAATTTATCTGTTTGGTTTCCCTGTTCATGCGCGCGCACGCACACACACACACTTCCTGTTCAACAAGCCGCCATCTGTGCATGTGCAACAGCTCTCTCATATGTGCACACTTTAGCTTTTAAAATCAGATAGAAGCTGCTCTGAAGGAAAATGCAGTATTTCTGAAGGAACTGTGAGACAGCTACATTTCTGAGCACAATTCAAAGTGTTGGTGCTGACCTTTAAAGCCCTAAACGGCCTCGGTCCAGTATACCTGAAGGAGCGTCTCCACCTCCATCGTTCTGCCCGGACACTGAGGTCTAGCGTTGAGGGCCTTCTGGCAGTTTCCTCACTGCGAGAAGCAGATGACCTCCTCGGTAGTGGCACCCGCCCTGTGGAACAGAGAGAAGAACAACTACCAGAGTTTTAGAAGACATCTGAAGGCAGCCCTGTTTAGGGAAGCTTTTAATGTTTAACAGACTACTGTATTTTAATACCTTGTTGGAAGCCGCCCAGAGTGGCTGGGGAAACCCAGCCAGATGGGTGGGGTATAAATAATAAATAATAATTATTATTATTATTGCCAATGTCATGCATACAAGTCTTCAAACACCATCAGTGGGAGTGGTGCACTGGAGTCAGATTAAATGGTAATGTGTACTCAGCCAAAGTCTGCCTGAGCTCTGGGTGTGATCCGGACTGATTATATGAGCCTGCTTCCTGGCTCATCTTCTGGTCCTGATTCCTGAGTTGTTTATTGGTCCCATCACAGTCCAGTGGCATAGCATGGGGCAGCCACAGGAGCGGTTGCCCCGGGCACAAAATTGTGAAGGGCTCCACATTTGAACGCTTGGTGCTGACTCAGTACACCTCTGGACACTTATGTCCCTGGGCTCTGTTGAAAACTGCTTCTCCATGCAAACCAGGAAGCGACCTCTCTAGATGACAGAAGGACTCTTCTTATCTATGCGGCTGTGGTCTCCTGAGGGACAAGAACGCTGTTGGATGGAGTATGCATGCACATTCAACTGCCTTTTTTCATCCCACTCATCCACTTCTCTGCACAGTCGCGGGTGCTAGCAACCCACGCTACACCACTGCCACAGTCCCCCAAGTAGCTACTATTTGCATTCAAAGGAAGTCTCCTTTAGTGCCCCTGGGAGCTTTGCTTGAAATGCAGCTACAGAGTCCTGCTTTTTTGGGTGGTTTTGCGGGGGGGTGGGGGTGGGAATGGAGTTCCAAGCCTGCTGAGAATTCCCTGCAGTTGCCACTTGTCTTCCAGACAAGCTAGAATGATGAATTTGCTTGATGGACTATATGGAAATGGCGGAAATGACTGGCAGAATCCGAGACCAGGGAGAAGAATCGATGGAAGAAGACTGGAAAAAGTTTAAAGATTATTTACAGAAATACTGTAAAATTAATGAATGTTAGAAAAATGTTGGAATGAAGTTATATGGCTTTAGTAGAAATGTTATAAGGAATTAAGTATAAATAGATTAATAGAGTATTAAAGGGAAAATAAGGTTAGAATATGTTAAGATAATTATAGGATAGAAAAACAGAGGAAGATGGAAAGGAATTGCTGAAACAATTAACAGAAGTGGAATACAAAAAGGGAGGTGTGAGGAGGTCGTGGAAACAAGTGAACGAAAGATAAGATAATGAAATGGTTTGATGTGTTTTAAATGGGTTTTGTTTTTGTTTTATTAGTTTTATGTGTTAGTGTTTTGTAGTGCTTTTGTATTGTATTGCATTGTCTTCGTTTTTATGCTTTTTCTTTTGTAGTGTTGTGTTGAAATTGTTGGAAAATTAATAAATATTATATATAAAAAAAATAGAATGATGAATTTGGCACAGTTCTAGTTTATCAACCAATAATTATGGAGGGAGGGGGAGGACAATCCCAAACCCCAGAGTTTCTCGTGGTAAAATTTTACCTTAGGACTGTTTGCCAACAGAATTTTTTTTACCAAAGTTCATGAGGGGAGAGTCCACTCGTGGAGACAAATGTGGAGGATTTCCCCTCAAATGCATCCCTCCCAGGTTATATAAAAGCAATATGTGCATTAGTAGATAATTTAATTAACTGAGTAGATATTTATGCAGGCAAAATGACATCATCCATGCACAAGGGGGCGGTATCAGCATGATCGGGGGAAGGTTTGCAGAAGTACAGATTATTATTTTTTGAAAATGTACGGGGGTGGGGGACATAGGACTGAGCATGCTCAGTGAGTACAGAATGCTAAATGATCAGGTGATAGGGGAGGAAAACCAGAAGGAAGGGGAAAGGACTAGACCATGCTGAACAAGAGCATTCCACGCTGCAACCCTTTGTTGCAGGTCCCTCTTGTTCCCTCTGTTGCCAGAGTTCCTGGGCAAGTGCTGACCCTATGTTTATGTAGTCAAAACAGCACCACCCATGCATGAGGGGAAATCAGCAGAAGTACACAAATATTGGGGGGCGGATCTAAAGGGGAACCCCAAAAACTGCACTGAGGACTTCTGCCTATCTGTGGGAAGGGGGATAGGAACCTGGGTGTGGGAGAGTTGATGGAATGGAGTACTGTAGAAGTGGGCAGGGCTGGCAAAGTGAATAGGAGAGCTCGGTACTGCAACATTTTATTCCGAGTCCCAATTTTAGTTATTTAAAGGATTGTCAATTACATTTTCGTTCCTCACCCCTTAGCATTGCATAGGTCTACTTTTTTTTTTAATCTTCCGAAATTGAAGACAATTCACCCTCAAAATCCGCACAATGGTCCCCTGCACGGATGACACAAATGTTTGGAAATACATTTCGCTGAAGAAGAAAAGCAAGATTACTAGCCTAATCGCTTCACCCTTGAGTTTCTGCCAATCAGCGCGGCAGGGCCCCAGCCCGTTTCCCATACAATCCTTTCAGCCCTTCTGTTTCCTGGCTTCTGCTGCTAACCAGTTTTCCAACATACTGTAATATATGCCAAGCTGCCACAGCTCCCAGGAGATGACTGACAGGCCCAAAATAGCTCCGGGACAGTGTTCAGCAAGCCACATCCTCTCCTCCTCTCCTCCCTCACGTTGCTGGCATCAGAAGACCCCAGAGAGAGAAAAAACCCCACCCCATATTATAGCTTTCTGCCAGCTGTCTGGAAGGAAATCTGATTGGTTTCCATCTGTGCAGCTACACTAGTAAAGTAGCACAGTGGATGATCTGGATCAGAGATTAGAAAGCCGTGTATTTAAATGCATGACTTGTTGCAAAATACAGAATAGTTAGTAGTTCAGCAGCAGCAGCAAAACCTGCTCTTTGTGGAATAATATTGCAACATCAGAAACACAGAAACTCACTAAACAATGTCTTTTTCCCCCTTGCAAATTGATTCAACCTTGTGACACAACAGCTCTAACAGGGGTGTGGGCATGTACAATTTTTAACATGTGGAATTGTTTTTAAATGCTTGTGTTGTTTTTATGTATGGCATTGCTTTTAATCGATTTATATATTGTTTTGGTCCTTGTTTTATGGTTGTAGATATTCTATTTGTCTTGTAATTGCTTATTTTATTGCTTAAACCCACCCTGGGTGTAGGGTGGCTAATAAATCTCATTAAATAAATGTACAATTTTCAAAGCAAGCATGGCTTGAATCCAGCCGGGCAGGCCCTGAGCACAATCTGCACTACTAACTTTTAAACGAGGGGTGACAAACTTTATTGTCTGCAGCTTTACTTGAGAGGGAAATGGTTTTTAAATGTAGGATGGGCACATGGATATTACCTCTGCTCTGGCAGAGGTCAAACTCATACACACAACGTGGGCCATCTTTAATCATCCTCACCACCAGCTATGAAAGCAGCATCAGATTGTGCTGCAAAATACACTTCTGGGTAGTTTTTGACAATGCAGAGATGCGCAGCCTGGGAATCATTTTGGACTCACAGCCGCACAAGTTAATTCTGTGTCCAGGGCAGCTGTCTACCAGCTCCACCTGGTATGCAGGCTGAGACCCTACCTGCCTGCAGACTGTCTTGCCAGAGTGGTGCATGCTCTGGTTATCTCCCACTTGGACTACTGTGATGTGGTCTATGTAGGGCTACCTTTCAAGGTGACTTGGAGCTAGACTGGTGACCGGGAGTGGCCACCGGAACCATATAACACCAGTCCTAAAGTATCTTCATTGGCTTCCAGTACATTTACGAGCACAATTCAAAGTGTTGGTGCTGACCTCAGCCCAGTATACCTGAAGGAGCGTCTCCACCCCCATCACTCAGCCTGGACACTAAGGTCCAGTCGAGGGTCCTCTGCTGGTTCCCTCACCGCGAGAAGCAGTTACAGGAAACTAAGCAGAGGACCTTCTTGGTAGTGGCATCCTCTCTGTGAAACCCTCCCTTCAGATGTCAGACTATATAACTTTTAGAAGACATCTGAAGGCAGCCCTGTACTGGGAAGTTTTTATTGTTTGATGTTTTATTATGTTTTGATATATGCTGTAAGCCGCCCAGAGCAAATGGGCAGGGTACAAATAAGATGATGATTATGGTTGATTAGAGAAATGTAATTTTAAAATATTTGGTTGTAAGTCACTTAGAGACTGCCCAGTGTTAAGACAGCTAACAAATGCAATTAATGACTTGATAGCATTATTATCGACCAGGAGAGAGAGAGAGAGATCAACCAATCCTGGTTGACTTAATAACAATAAGAATAATAATTTGCATGTCAATGAGAATATATAAAACACATGCATACACACATACAGGTAGGTGAGTGCACAAAGTGGTAATTCCTGAGGAAAAGCGGTCTCAGAGGGTGCGTAACTGCTCCAAAGGAATTACAAACATACTTCCAAGTGTTCTGTCCTGCAAATAAAAGTCTGTAACAGCTGCCCTGAACTTTCTGCCACATCAGAACGCATTATTTTAGTGTTATCCTACTGTGGCTTTTGGTTTGTTTATTTTTTTCTATTTAAGTTTTTGACGGCAGTGAATTGACAAAATCTAAATTTGTTTACTTGTGCTGCCCATCAAAGAGAAACAAGGATCTGGATCGCCATCCTCAGACACGAAAAACCACATACAGTTCAAGGAAGAGAATTATATGGATCCTAAAAACAGCACAGACTTCTTGGCCCCATGTGTTTATGGCAGGGATGAGGACGTTATTGAGATGTGGGGCTTACTTCTGAGTCAGTGGGGCTTACTTCTGAGTAGGAACATATAGAACACTGTAAGGCTTTCTTCCGATACCCACCGAGTTTAATGGGACTTCCTTCTCACTGACATGCAAAGAATTGTACTGCCATGTAAGGTTTGTTCATACGTTACAATAGACACAGGTACAAGCTGTCTATGCACATGTAAAAGTGTTTGCATGAAGGATTTGAAACAGCTCATCTACTGTGTACACGGACTGTACACTGCTACATGAGAATAACAACACAAGTGTGCAGCTCAGCTATTTTTGTACATAGGCCCACAGATGGTACACCCGTGGAATGTAACATGTGGACACCCCTTTTGAAACATACAAAACTACCTTGCACTAAATCTGACCAACCACTTAGCCTAGAACTGCCAGCTCAGGGAAGATACTGGTATATTTCCCAGCCCTGTTACCTGAGATCTTTTAACTGGACATGCCAGGGATTGATTTGGGACTCCTTACGCATTCATGGCATGTGCTCTCCCACTGAGCAGAACTGGGAACCCTCCCCAAAGCTCAGACTCTAGCTTCTGAAATGTTCTCAGGGTTGGGCTTTCTGAAATAGGTTGTTATTTAAAGAATGGAAACTAGTAATCTTTCATCTTTTTAAAAAAGAACAAGAACCACTATGGTTTTGCTGCTAGGAAATGTCAGAAATATTCAGAGGCAACACTTCAATCTTGCTTATTTCTGAAGGTTGAGGGATTGGCAATGCAAATCACTTCTTGCAAGTTTTAAAATACGGAAAGCAGTAATGAACGTTCAGGGACCAAGAAGCCCTATCATTTTAAGTGAGACTGTAACTATGCAGCATGTAATGACTATTTAGGAATTGTCACTAAGTGCAGCATAGTAGCTTCTTATGCCAAGCTAGAAGAGGGGAAATGATGGATAGGCAGTTATCTCCTCTATTGTTAAAGCTACTGTTTGTGAGAGGGGGTTTCTTGTATTTTAAAGAGATGTCTGAAAGGCATACATCCAACAAAGTCATGGAAGGCTGCGCCTGTACAACTTCGCCCTCTTGTTTAGCTACATCCATAACTGGACCACCCTGTCAAAGAGTGAGCCAGCAGTAAATCACACCATTCAGAGTCGGCGTTAACTCTTTGTTAGCAAGAAGACAGTCTTCATATACTTGATGGAATGTCAGGCCTAATGAGCACAGCAGCTCATCCCCAGTAAGTCTTGCCTTGTGAAAACAGTTGCCAAGACTGAAAGTCCCCACTTCCCCACAGCTGTCTTAAGTCCCCTCCTCTCCAGGGCTTTTTCCAAGCATTTGGAGGTCATGCCTGCATGTAGCCTGCCACTGCTCTGCCTGTTCCAGCTCTCTTCTGGCTCTGGGAGACAAGTGGGGGGGTGAGCTTGTTGCAGCAGGAGGGGGAGACACTCATGACTTTTCATAGCCCAACTCATCTCTGCCTCTTGACCTGCTTCACCCTCTGCCCCTGATTCTGTACTTCTCTCTGCCATCAACTCTTCCAGCTCACGAAGCCCTGTTACCTCTGCCCAATCTTCTCCCTCTGAGCCTTCTTCCCTTCGTGGTTCCTTGCTCCATTCCTCTGCACCCAACCAGTCCATCACACCATCCAACGGCCACTCTGATAGGTGGATGGGGCTGCTCACCTATCAATCAGCTGACCTTGTATGATGTCAACTGATTCAGATTTAAGCCTGCATCTGTTAGGAAGAATTGAAGGCACAGCCGGTCCATTCTGCTGATTCTTTCCTCCTTGAATTCTGCACCGTTTTCTGCAGCAGTTCAGGGTGACAGGAAAAGGCCTCGGATTGTAAAAATGCATCGAATTCCAGCAGTGGGTGGCAGGGAAGAAACAAGGGCACAGTCAAGAGTGCACTCCTGTTTCTTCCTGTTGAAGTTGGCGCCTGAGGTCATATGACATGTTGTGGTTTGGGACAACCCACATTGTGCATCAAATAGGGAGGCCTAGTGTGTCGAACTGAGTCCGGAGGTTGTGCCTAAATGCACTGCAGCCCTTCCAGAAAAAGACGGTCATAACTGTTGCTGGTTAATCATAATTATCCCTGATGAGATATTTCCTGCCCTTGCTGCTGCTGCAGCTGGCATGGAAAAAGAATGGGGGTTGCATCTATGAGCAAGATCCAGTTTAACAACTAATAAGGCATTCTGTCTTCAGCCAGTCAGCCTGCAAAGAGCCCTGATGTGAAAATGAAACAGGGTTCTTGCATCATCACTTGCAATAAAGTTTATGTCAATCAAACTATCCTGCCTTGTGCAATCCTTTCCTTTTAAATTATTCTCACACAGTCCTGGAGTTCTCCATTTACTTCCTTACAGCACAGTCCTAATCATGTCTTCTCAGAATTAAGTCCTGCTGAATTCAGTTGGGCTTACTACTAGGTAAATGGGGTTAGAACTGCAGCTGATTTTCAAAGGGTGGCTAACAATACCCAAACAATAAAATTATTAACACAAAAAACAACAGATAAAATTGTTAAAGAAGAAGAACGGCAGGTAGAATTGCAATGTAAATCTAACATCACCAGAGCTTAAATGGCCCATGTCCTACACCCTAGGGCAGCAGTCGAAGTGGTGGCCCTCCAGATGTTGGACTCTGAATCCCATCAGTCCCAGATAACTTGTGCAGTAGTCAGGGATGGTGACAGTTCAAGTATCTGGCCCTAAACTAAGTTGCTTAATAATCACCTGGAAACTCCCAACTAGATGACCTCCACAGTTGAGATTTCTAGAGGACTTGGTCCTGCTAACCACTGCCCACTGCTAGGTTAAGGCAAGCAACTCTCCCCAAACAGCCCGAATAACAATATTCCAGTGACAGGGTAGATAGGAACTGAGAGGAAAGTGTCTGTGTTCTGTTATCCAGCACATTCGTCATCTGCAAGGGAAGCACTTTCTCTGCTGCAACAGCTGCAAGGAGCAGGGCCTCCAGTATCCTGGCCCCTAGGCTGCAGGATTAGCATCCTGAGATAGAGTCTGCCCCAAACTAGGGTGCACTGTGTCTTAGAAACCTTGAAGCAGACCAGAGAATATCACCACAAGGAGAGCAGTAATCATGAAGGGAACCCCATTCACATCATGGCACAGCCTAGGAATGGGCACTGGAGGTTTCTGTACAAGGTCACTGCAGCAAAGCCCTCCTTGTTTTCCTATGATGCTAAGAAGGCTGTACACATGTACAATAGCATCCCAAGCCTCTAAAAACTTTGTTACCTGAATGGAAATGATGAGGCAATCACACACACCCATTTGGAGTATATACACCTTGCATTTACAGCACATCTCCCTTCCAAGGCATCTTGGGAACTGTATTGTGTTACAGGATTCTTTGTTCCCAGGATTATTTTTTCAAGAATTAATAATAATAATAGTAATTTTTTATTTATATCCCGCCCTCCCCAGCTCTGAGCCCCAGGGCTCAGAGTGGCTAATGACAGTAAAATGATACAACATTCTAAAATCAGTTCATTATAAAATCAGTTCAAATCAGATTAATGGCAACCATTGGGCTAGAGTTCTGTGAGGAGACTCAGACTACATTGTGGGAATTAACGGAACAAAAATATCTGGCCTTTGGGGCCTTTGCCTCCTGTTCTGCACAGTGAGCGAACCATTTGTTCCAAAATAATTTTGAGATTCATATATCCCAGCGACATCTCGTCCCCATAGTTTTGTACCTGATGAGCAAGTGAAACCGCCACCCTTCCTTCGGGGAGTCTGGTTAGAGTGAATGTCAAACATTCACAGTGTGAGAAAGGAAGGGAAGCTCACGAAAGTGGCAAGCAGCAACATGCAGCCCAGAAGGTGAGGTGAACTAGAAAATTGGTGCCTGAGAGAGGCAAGCGTATCCCTTGAGACCATTTCTCTTTTTTATGAGTTTCCTTTGAATGTTCATATGAAATGGGTTATGGTGCACCAATATCACAGGTAGCATCAGTGTGATGTGCTGTATTGAGGAAGGAAGAATATCAATGGTAAGTAATTTAGGATGAATCGTAAATCCATTTACCTGGAGTAAAGGGACCCATGACCATTAGGTCCAGTCATGGCTGACTCTGGGGCTGCGGCGCTCATCTTGCTTTATTGGCCGAGGGAGCCGGTGTACAGCTTCCGGGTCATGTGGCCAGCATGACTAAGCCACTTCTGGTGAACCAGAGCAGCGCACAGAAACGCCGTTTACCTTCCCGCCGGAGCGGTACCTATTTATCTACTTGCACTTTGATGTTCTTTCGAACTGCTAGGTTGGCAGGAGCAGGGACCGAGCAATGGGAGCTCACCCCGTTGCGGGGATTCGAACCGCTGACCTTCTGATCGGCAAGTCCTAGGCTCTGTGGTTTAACCCACAGCACCACCCGCGTCCCAGTATTACCTGGAGTAGACCCCATCAAATTAAAAATGATTTAATTCTGAAAAGACAAGATTAGAATTATGCTCTTACGCTACTGACAGTACAGTCCTATAAATGTATCCACTGAAGTAAGCCACTTTGAGTTCAGCCGGACTGAAGAGAAGTAGAGGTAGGAGGTAGAGATAATAGAGGGCAGAAACACAAAAAATGTAGAGTAAAGGGTTATCACGCATCTCTATCTGCATACAACCTTCAAAATTAATGTAGCACAACATATAATATCCTGTGAGTTTGCTCCAACAATCAATCCAGGTCAAATATCTCTCAAGAGGATTGTGTAGAAGTCACTTCTGCAGTTGTTGCAATTGGTATTCTCTTTTCAGTACTTATTAAGAGTAAAAAAAAAGCTAGCCCATTGATCTTTCTATACTTGCTAGAACAACTGACATTGATTCCCCTGTCCATTGTGTTTGGAATAATAGAAGAGCATGGCTTTTTTGTTCATTGCCAGCAGCGTGCTTTCTGTTTGTGCATCTGCATCATTGATTGGGTTACAGCAGCTACTGGGGGAAAAGAATTTGTTGGTTGACTGTGAGACTGCATAAAATAGTCTAGCCTTGTCTGTGAGATACTTACACACACACTCAGCGCTTCTAAAAACAACCCAGCTACTCATTCATTAACAAGACAAGCAACTTTCCTTCTATCAACGCTGGTTTCTATTTGCCTGTGTGTCTTACAGTGTAATTCATGTTTATTCGAAAGTTGGTCTTGGTTTGTCCCATGGGCTTGTTCCCTATTAGGTGGATTTAGGATTTCATTCAAAAGTCCATTAAAAGTGAAGCCAGATTCTTACTGATCGTAAAGGACACAGGTATCTCAACAAACTAGGATTCATCAGGGCCGGCCCTGTCATGAGCCACATTGAGCAAGCTTCCATAAAACCATCAAAATGAATGCACTCCATTGCTAAATGCAGTCAAGCTGCGTATAAGAAAGAATGAATGACTCAGGATAGCCCTAGCATTTATGAATCAGCTTTTTAAAAATATATGCGCCACTGTAAATATTCCATCCCAAACAACCCTCCCCCCCCCAAAAAAAGCCAATGACTTTTACAATTTGCCTATAGAACATCAGAATGAGAAGAGCTGCAGCTATACTTCAGGAAGAGAAGGAAATAAAACGATTTGCTTACCCTTCAAAAATAATAGCAGCAGTTGTAAACTACTTATAGTAGTGATACAACCACTGTTGCTCTTGAGGATAAAAATAAATGATGCCCAACCCTGTGAAATGTAACCAGGAATAATATTTCACCTGTAAATGTATGAATAGAAAACAAATTTGAATTGGATCCAATCTAGATTCTTTGGGAACACCACAAGGGTTGTTCACACCAAGTGAGGTTCCCCCTTCCTTCCTTTGTTTTCTTTGAGCAAAATCCCATGCCCTGTTAAAATTGCTTTTGAAACTTGTGTCATTTATAGAAATGACTTGCTATGTGGCATGGGATCTATGCTGTTCAAGTCTCGGCTTGCAGAATCAGTTGCTGGTTCTTTAGATCCCGACCTATAACACCACAAAGGTCTGTGGTGCATTTGTATGCTGTGTAAGGTGAGAATATGGTGACAAGTCCCTGTCCTGAAGAGCTTACAGTCTAAAACAGGGTTTCCCAAACTTGGGTCTCCAGCTTTTTTTGGACTACAACTCCCATCATCCCTAGCTAGCAGGACCGGTGGTCAGGGATGATGGGAATTGTAGTCCCAAAACAGCTGGAGACACAAGTCTGGGAAACCCTGGTCTAAAACAAAATAAAGTGGGTTTCCATAGTAACATCTGCACAATACATTTAAAGCACATGATTTTCCCCAAAGAATTCTGGAAAGTATAGCTTGTCAAGGGTGCTGGGAGTTATAGTACTGTAAAGCATGAACTACAGTTCCCAGAATTATCTGGTTGAAACCATGTGCTTTAAATGTATTGTGCAGATGTTACTATGGAAACCCACCTTATTTTGTGCGGGTGTGCTTTCAATGCATCTGTGAAGCACTCTGTATTTGAGGGACATTCCTATCTCTCTTCAGCGAATAGAGAAATCCATCTGATATTTGAACTATACCCATAGACTTTACAGCCTCACAAGCATTTCCTAACTGTACTTCCCATTTCCCAAATGTGTTTGCAACTTTTGAATTGTGCCCATAAGATTTCACAGTCACACAGTCGTTCTAATTGTAATTTTGATTTCCAAATATATTTGTACTGCGCATGTTTATTTGTTTATACATTCTTACCCTGTCCTAATGCACACGCATTATTAAGGGTGTCTTACAGCAAATTAAAATCACAGTGGACCATTTCCAACATTAGTCATCATCCAACATTAGTCATACTCATTGGTAGTCCACTGATTTGAGTGTCTCTACTCAGAGTATGACTCAGTTGAGTACCACCTAATTAAATCAACCTTAACAAATGAAAACACCCTTATGTTTTCTTTACATTTCTCTGATTTAATAAACTCTTGTTAATTTGCTTAAATTCCCAGCCTCAATATTCCCATATTGGCTAGACAGCATTTTTAAAAAAATCTCGACTAAACAGCTTTAATATACTGCATAAGACAATATCACTGTGTTAGGGATTCTTAAATTACTGTGTATTGCTTCCCAGGGACTTAAACAAATGTTGTTTTAGTTCTTACACACACACACACACACACACACACACACACCCCTCCTGTGTGCTCTGAATTGAGGAACATTTTTCCTGTATCATTAAAGAAGAACATGTGCCACATACAATATGGAACAAATACAATTTGGCAAGCCATGCCATTTCATTGGAGAGATAGGTACAAACTTAACTAAAAACATTTCCTCTGTGATTTTGCTGTAAGTCCCCAGAGATATCATACTTTGCATCCTTGAAGAATTCATGCTTTAAGCCAGGCATGGCCAAACGTGGCCCTCCAGATGTTTTGGGACTACAACTCCCATCATCCCTAGCTAAACAGGACCAGTGGTCAGGGATGATGGGAATTGTAGTCCCAAAACATCTGGAGGGCCAAGTTTAGGGGTGCCTGCTTTAAGCCAACTCAGAAAGAAAGAGACATTCTCAGCAATAATCAAAGCCTCAAAGTTTTCTGGGCAGATCTTTACATCTCTCTGAAGTACCGTATTTTTCGCCCTATAGGGCGCACCGGCCCATAGGACGCACTTATTTGGGGGGGGGGGATTTTTATTCCCCCCCTAGCCCCAAAGAGCAAAGAAGCCATGACAGCGAGCGGGATGGATCCCGCTCGCTGTCCTGGCTTCGTTTTTAGCCTCGGGGCTGGGGGTCTGGGAGCGAAGGCAAGGTTGCACAACCTCGCCATCGCTCTCGGAGCTTGCGGGGCTGGGGGAGGGGGAAGCCGGAGCTTCCCCTGACCCCAGCCCGGGTCCGAGAGCGATGGCGAAGTTGCGTGCAACCTCGCCATCACTCCAGGAGCTTGCCAGGCTGGGGGGATAGCTTCCTGAAGGCTGGAGAGCGAGAGGGGTCGGTGCGCACCGACCCCTCGCGCTCACCACGCTTCAGCGAAAGCCTGCATTCGCCCCATAGGACGCACACACATTTCCCCTTCATTTTTGGAGGGGAAAAGGTGCGTCCTATAGGGCGAAAAATACGGTATATCTGAAACAAAAATAACCAAATCTTTGGTGCAGATTCCCTTGCTTTAACCACTTAAACTTGAAAGGGCTCTTTGGTTTTGTGAAACAGCTGTTCCTCTTGCTTAATACTGTGAATGAGTCATTAATTCTAGATTTGTGAGATCGCAGTCTCTTTCCACAGAAAAGCAAGTGGTGCTGTAAACAATGTGCACTGATAATATTGCACGATGAGCAAAGTAGCAGCTTGCTCTTTCCTTTACCACAAGTAAACATGGTTGTGAAATGCCTAACAGAAGCTCAAAGTGCCATCATGTTTACAATATGAGCAGCCCTTCCATCCAGCTATGAAAGAGGAGGGATGCACAGCCATCACCTTTTGGTTCTGACTCTCCTTTAGCTGTTTCCTTTCCAACTGATCATTAGAAGACCTTGTAACTAAGAGCTGGCACTTGAGTTCACTCCTTCCTCCCAATCAATCTTCCTTTTGTGTCACATCTTTTAAATTGTAAGCCTGAGGGCAGGAACAGTCTTGCCTGTAGTGATCTGCAAGTCACTCCTAGCCTTTTTTGGCTGAAAAACAGGGTTTTAATTGTATAAAATTAGCAAACAAGAAAATGTACAGCGCCCCATAACAACAAAAAATATCTAGGCAGCTTATAGTATTAAAACAGGCAGCCAATAGTTCTATTAGACTTTGATGCTGAAAAACAGAGCTCTTTGCAAACAGTGACTGCCTATTTTCTTTGAATGGTTCATGCTCCCTATGGGACTAAATGCAAGGAACATTCCCCAACATTGAAGAAAATTTGCTGTTATCTCCTGTGACCAACTTCCCTCCGCTCATTAAAGGCCCTGCTAACTAGGGTCTGGCGGCAGAATTTTCTGCAGATTGCACAGCAAACCCTTGCTTTCAGAAAGTTGCATGCAGTATCCAATATATATATAAAAAAGTAAGGTAAAGGATCCCGGGACAGTTAAGTCCAGTCAAAGGCGACTATGGGGTTGCGGCGCTCATCTCGCTTTCAGGCCAAGGGAGCCGGCGTTTGTCCACAGACAGTTTTCCAGGTCATGTGGCCAGCATGACTAAACCGCTACTTGAGCACGGAGGATTGTGACGAGTGCCAGAGTGCACGGAAACGACGTTTACCTTCCCACCACAGCGGTACCTATTTATCTACTTGCACTGGCATGCTTTCGAACTGTGCTTGTCTGTGTCTAAACATTTTACCACTGCCACCAACTGTCCTGCGTAAAGGGATCCAGGAAGGAAGGGGCAATGAATGCTATCTCACAACACCATCCACCACCATCAAATGGGAAAAATAAAGTCAACGAGAAAGATGCAGGGGTTATAATGCCTGGGCCAAATACTTTCATAATCAGACCACTCTGTTAAACATAGATAAGCTTCTATAAACAGAAACACTTACAGACCTGCTTCTCTGTCCAGCTGTTTTGACTCCCTCCATCTTGCGGTATAGATGAGCAAATGATACAGCTTGGCGATTTGTCCTGGTATTTCCCAGGTCACATGGAGTTTAACAGGGTAATCCTATGTTCTTGGATCTTTATTCACTTCCAGGGAATTGGGAGAAATATCATATCACCAAATTGTGAGGATGACACACTGACAGGCTGGCTACCGGCTTTAAATATCACGTTTCTGGCAAAGACGCATATTGGCTGAGTGATGCCATTTATTGGCTCAGTTTCTGCTGTTGAGAGCATATTTATTTATATGCTCTTATGCCACCTTGCAGCTTGCAAAAGACAATTAGTTTCATATACATAACAATGCTAAAAGACAAAACAGGTAAATTGCGCATCCAAATGATTTACTGTAAAATCTGCTTGCTGGGTTTCCAGTCCAAGACTCCAATGGCCTTCCTTTTACACACATCCCCCTGTGCTAAACACTGCCATGCACTTCCACCAAAATGATTCTGAGATATACCAACGGTGGGGAACGTCAAGCTTGGGGCTGAATGCACCCCTCCCAGCCTCTGGATCTGACCCTAGGAATTCTCCCTCGGCTACACCCCTTCTCCCCTCACCAGCCTCATTCCACACAACTCCTTGTGGTTGGAATGTTTCCTTGAGCTGTGATGACTGTCTCTCCTTGCTTAAAGCTCTTGACTTTTGAGTGGACTGTGATTGTGCAAAGGTAAGAGTTGCATAAGTTGTTTCACCCGCTATGGCCCCTGGCAGCTTCCCCTCAGGCTAAAGCATTTTTTTCTTTAAAAAATGTTTAGGGGTACTCTCATTTTGACTCAAGAAAATCACCACTTTATAGTTCAAATTGGGAAAAATAAATACAGTATGTTTCCGAGCACAATTCAAAGTGTTGGTGCTGACCTTTAAAGCCCTAAATGGCCTCGGTCCAGTATACCTGAAGGAGCGTCTCCACCCCCATCGTTCTGCCCGGACACTGAGATCCAGCACCGAGGGCCTTCTGGCGGTTCCCTCATTGCGAGAAGCAAAGCTACTGGGAACCAGGCAGAGGGCCTTCTCTCCCACCCTGTGGAATGCCCTCCCTTCAGATGTGAAGGAAATAAGCGGCTATCTTCTTTTTGAAAGACATCTGAAGGCAGCCCTGTTTAGGGAAGTTTTTAATATTTAATGCTGTATTGTTTTTAACACTTGATTGGAAGCTGCGCAGAGTGGCTGGGGGAACTCAGCCAGATGGGTGGGGTATAAATAATTTATTATTATTATTATTATTAATAATAATAATAATAATAATAATATTTAATCATAGATAGTTTCACAAATTCTTCATTTCCCAATCAAGTAATCGTCTATGCATTTTGGATAAATTGTTAACTCTAGATCTTAATATTTCTTTTTCGAATTCTGATGGTTTTTCTGCAAATCCCAATTTCTTGTCTACCTTAAATTTTGAATTGATTTGATAATTTAGCCAGTCCGACACATATTCTTCAATTGAAATTGAATCTCAATTCAAATTGAATCTCTTCAATTTCCCCCCCATTTTTGGTTCTCCTTCTGAGAAGTCTAACACTTCATTATAAGTACCCCAGTTATCCCTCATATTAATCTTTTTCCTTGTCTCAGCTTCTATTGGGGATAACCACCTTGGTGTTTTGATTTCTACCAAGTTTTTGTATTTTCCCATATACTAATTACGCTTTTTTTTCCTAACATGGTTGGCAAAGCTGATTTTATTGTGATTGCAGGTATGTTTTACTAGATATTATGTATATATATCTATGATCATATATACTAGCTTTTATTTACTTATATACTGAATATATATATATATATAAACACTCTACATATATATGTGCACGCGCATATGTGTAATAATTTTATTATGATGATTATTTATACCCCACCCATCTGGCTGGGTTTCAATAGAATTAAAGCCACACACACACACATCTATAAATGTTTAATTCTTTTTTTAAAGATCCCACCCATGTTTTTAGCTGTTCTTTTTTTATCTGTAAGCCGCCTTGATTCCCCACCAGGACGGGGGATAAATACATGTAAATAAAGTAAGAATAAGAATGATGGTGATATGTGTGTCAGCTGCTGCGTGTGACCCTGCCGTATGCCTTGCAGTAACGCCTTCAGCGGCCCCGCTAACCCAGCGGGCAGCAGAGACCTTGACTCCCTCCCGCGGAGCCGCAATCAATCTCCGGCAAAAGCAGCAGCAAACCACGCCTCTCGCCGCCGCCACTTCTGCGCATGCGCTTGCCTCCCGAGACTCCTCCTCCTCCTGATCTGCTCAGGAAGTAACGCATGCGCGTCGCCGCCTGTGTGTGGCGAAAGCCCTCCGCGCTCGCAGCTGCCCGAGCTGTCGGGTCGCCGGCGGTGACACTCGGAGCGCGCGGCGACAAAAAACAACAAAACCAATAGGAAGAAGGAGAAGCAGCAGCAGCCGCGAGGGGGCGGGGCTTAAGAGAGCGGCCGCTCGCGCCCTCCTCGGAATCCTGAGGGCCGTTCGAACCCAACCGCCGGCGCGAGGCGAAGGAGCCCAACCGCCGCCCAGCAACCGCCGTCCCGAGTCGGCGTCGCGCGCCCAAGGGCTCCCTCAGGCTGAGCTCCCGTCCCGCGCCTCTCCGCTCTCGGGAGCTGCCGGCCCTTCTCGGCTGCCCCGCCCTTGCCGGCTTGGCTTGGCGGCCCGTCGTCGCCCTCGCTGCCGAACCTACCGGACGGAGGCGGCTTCTGGTGAGGGAATCCGGGAGCTTTGGGGCGGGCGGGCGGGCTCCGTTGCCTGAGGGGATGGGTGGGGATCCCGACGGTGGCCCTGGGCATGCCGGAAGGCGTCGGGGCGGGGAAGGGAAGAAGGCTGGCCGCCGCGCGAGGAACTCCCGGCGTTCCTGACGAGGCGAGGCTCCGGTTGGAAAGGGACACCCGGGGTCATCTAGTCCGACCCCCTTTTCACGCAGGAACCTTTCGCCCAACGTGGGCCTCGAACCCGCCCTAAGAGACTCACCCAGTGCTTCTCAACCGTGGGTCCCCTGGCTGGGGTCGGACTACAGTTCGCATCGCCTCTGACCGCTGGTGCTGCTAGCTAGGGATGATGGGAATTGTAGTCTAACAACAGCCAGCGACCCAGATTTGAGAAGCACTGGATGAGACTCTTAATATTATTGTGGCAGGTTCGAGCCCCACGTCGGGCGAAAGGTTCCTGCATGGCAGGGGGTTGGACTAGATGAACCTGGGTGTCCCTTCCAGCTGTCCGTGGCCTTGCAGGCAAGGGAGGAGCTTCCCCCTCCATCGTGGTGAATGAAATTTCTGGGTCTCTGCTGTAGAACATTTAAAGGGTTGGGTTGCCAGTTCTGGATCCTGAGAGGAGTCTTGCTATCTTCAGGGCTGCGACCCTCAACATCTTGCACTTGCAAATTAGATCCACTGAAGGCTGGGGTAGGACGGGGCTGGGGAGTAAGTTGTGCTAAGTAACTATTGCGATTTATCATTTGCAACCTTCCATAGGCAAAAAATAGATCCCAGCTCCTGCTGAGTATAGCATCTAAATTACACTCCGTAAGAGTGCGCTGTAAGAGTTCTTTAAATCTGTGGACGCAGCTTTACAAATTGAAATTTCCTCGCTTTTGCGATCTTAAACTGGTTATCCAGAGGCAAATCCCGATAATCTCAATGGGTTGGATGCAGAGTTGGTTAGTTGTGCTTAAGTCCCAGCTAAAGTTTCACATTGATTTCAGTAGGACTGATTCTGTCTCTTAACATTTTAGAAAGTGTGCTGGCACAGCGATAATATTGAAGTATGGACTTGTCAGTTAATCCATGTTCATTACCCTTTTATGCATTGTTTAAATACCTTGTCAGGGCGTATATTCAAGATCACTTAACAGAGATTAATTACTCTTCAATTGTTTTTAATCCCCAGTTCTACTCTGTTGTGATGGGAAAGGAACTGGGATTTTTCCACCCTTTGAGTAGATGGGTTTTGTTGTAACACAGGGCCTACAGTTTATACACTAGGTCCACATGCATGTTCTACAAATACAAGATTTCAGTAAGATGGATGTGCTGATAGTTGAAAAGGAAGCTGCAGTCTGTAACAGTGGCAGTGAGGGGAGAACTGAGTATTTCTTTCAGATTAATGAGTTGGGACTATCAAGGGTGTGCTTGTGTGATGTCAGAATGGCCTCAAGTGCCCTGAAACTCTTGTAAAGAGCTGGGCAGAGGTGTCTCCTGCCCTCACATTGTGTGTTTATCCCACTCCTTACATTGTATATAGCCGTATCTCTCTTGTTCCTCTGTTTATTGAGGCCTGATATTAAAGAAGGGGGAAAGTGGAGAAGCAATAAATGTTTTCAGTTGTGTTTATTCTGACATAAATCTGTTTGGACTGCAGTGTAGTGTTCTACATGCTATGCAACTGTAGATAAAAATTATTTTCCTCAAGAGTGTGAGGAAGGCACTGTCTACTGTTGTCTTCTTTTTCTACCTTATTATGCTATGTGGGGAAAGAATCAAGTACCCCTTTCCTTGGGAAAATTAGTGCTATTGGTTAAAGAGGACTTTTTGTTCACATAGGCTTTTCAGAAGAGTGACTCCAGCTATATGTTCCATTGATCAATATTTATTTCTTTTATTTGTACATTGCTTTTATGATATATTGTATTCTTAAGTTGTATATTACTTTGGTAGTTTTATGCTAAGTGATATATGATTTTGTATAATAAGAGGGGAAATAGTCTGCTATAACTATTCATTTGAAATGGAATTATTTGTGGTATGTTTATCAGTGCTTCATGGTTACCAGCAGTGCTTTTTTCAGGGGATGCTCAAAGTTATGCAGAAAAACACTTGTTACCACACATACAGCCAACGAATTAGATGTCCAGCACATAATTATGTTCAGCACTGTGAACTGCCATATTAACTTAATTAGATGCTAATTTTTATCCTGGAAATTGAATTCCTGTCTTGCTAAAAACTGCAGTTTTCCGTAATTCTTACCATGCTGTATCTTGAGCCTTATAGTAGGACTGAAGAGTTAACTTTTATAAAAACGTGTCTATCTGCGGTTTAAGAATGGTTGTGTGGATCATGGTACAGAATAGATACCAAATACATCACTCTTCTGGTTACTATATGTTCTCAGTCTGTATAAATTATAGTTCCATTTTAAAAAACTGCTTGGGAAGTTTTCCTCAGGAGCAATTTTTTCTGTCTGGTACAGAATAATTCCATAGATAGTTCCAGTTACTTCAGCTGTATATTTGAATGAAATTCATGATGTAAATACAAACTTACTGAAATAGGTGGTGGTATTTTTCTTATCTAATGAGACGAGATAACACGGAGACTGAATTTTTTCCCACTTTAAGTCACAGAGTGTTCTAAAGTCAAGAACTTCTGAGCATATTGAGTCAGCTCATTGTGAGTCATGAAAGATGACTGGAGTTGTGGTAGTTTCCAGTTGTAGAGCAATCTTTGGCAGCATTGCAAGCGAATGATTTGATTTTCATTATGACTTTTCTCTAGTTAGTGTATACAAAGTAACAGGATGCTATGCTACTGTTACAGGCCTATGATTCAGGGAGAACCCCAAGAAACTACAGTAATCTTGGTGCTATGGTTATTTAAAAATATTTCAGTAAGTTATAGAATGAAAAGCAATGTCTGTAATGGTGGGCTATGGCTAGACTTTGAGAACATTCATTTAATGAACCACAGAATGCAAGATGAGGAAGAGTATATGAGTTCATTTTTGTTAAATGGTAAAAAAATAACACTAATAATCAGGAAGCATAGAACTTAAGCTTTTCTGCCAAACTCTAACGGTTTGACATTGTAACTTGTATTATGTGACTATTTTGTCACTTATTTGATTTCTAACCTATCTTATTACATAGAAGGATGCCCCAATTATCTTATTATAGACAATTCAGTTGCTGATTCCATTCCTATGGCACAAAATATTGCTTTGGGGCAGCCAGTTCACTAGCTCTCATTGGGCCATTGTGGCTACTTAATCCCTTCTCACACCCCTGACTTTTGGCACTTGGATGAAAGTTCATCTGGCTGTGCACTTCTTACTTATTATTTCTCGCCTCTTCTGCATGCCTTTTTAAAGTTAGGCAGAGTGGGCAGAGCTGGGTGCAACAGCAGTGACCCAGATGAGAACTTGGTTAAAGCTTAAGGTCACCCCTGAATTGTGTCAGTGTCATGTAAGACCAATAGCTAGAAATGTTGGCGCTTTAGAGCTGTATTATTAATGGCCTTCATAGATGCTTCAGGAGAAAGTTAAAAGGTCAAGTGAAAGTTTAGAATGAAAACTTACAGCCCTGCAGCTGGAAGGGTGGAGCAGAATATAGAGACCTGGCCTCTGATAATGTAGAGACTACCTTCCATTACTATAAGTACTACAGTGGCTTTAGATTGTGTCCTTGGGGCTGGGAGAATTGCAGCTGGCCTAGACCTTGGCCTGGTGAAAAGGCAGCCTGGAGCTCTAGCCATTCAGCTCATTTCCATTCATTTGCCAACTAGCCATATTGTTCATAATTGGTATAACAAAAGGGGATGAGGAGTCTATCGCACTCTTCTCTGTCCCCCCTCCCCGCTAAACTATCTGCCAGTCAAACTTTGTTCAGTTAGATAGAAGACTAGATGTGGTGCAACACTTTGGATTAGGAATATCTCTGATTCTGTAATCATTTGTAACTAACCAAAGATTTGACTGGTTAGTAAAATTGGTGCATAAAATTCATTCTGTCCCATTGTCTTTTCAGGCTTATTGGCCTATGCCTCCTCCCCCTGAAGTGCCATTGAGTTTTGTCTCCTTTTCTCAAGTATTGTGAGGACTTTCCTTTTGTTCCCTTCTTCCTTCAACTCTGTGCCCCTTTCTGCTCCTGTTTCACTGTGGTATACAGTGGGGCTGCCAGCCCTTAAAAAAATGGGGTGCCTCTGCTTCAGTCTGCCTTGCAAAGGAGCTTTTTCTCCTTCTGGTGCTGTGCTGTTGCAAGAATCCTTTGGAGCTCAGCTTCCTGTTTTCAGAGCTCTGAGCTCGAAGCCCTTTTTGCAGTGACACTGCACCAGAGGGAGAAGGCACTCCTTTACAAGGTATGTGGAGGAAAGAGAAGTTCCTCTCTCAGTTCAGTGTTGTGATGGAAAGGGAGGGGGGAAATGCTCTTTTCTCTGTCTGTTACTGCACTCTGAATGTGTACCTACCTATCTGTGTATGTGAGTGTGGGATGGGAAGTGTGCATTGATCATTCTGAATATGCCCATCACTGACATGCAGTCTTTAGAGAGTTTGTCAACCATCAGTGTGGTCCTAAGGCCAAAAAGTTTTAGCTATTCCACTTCTAGGAGTTTAAAAGTAATTAACAACTCATTACATTGCACCAAGAAAGGAAATAAATGTTACAAGAATGAAAATGCTACAGCAGTGGAAATACTTGCTCTCTAAAGCTGTCTCCATATCTATTGATCTTTCCCTTATGTAAGTTACATCAACATTCTAATTTATTTAGGGAAACTAGATGTTTCACAAACATCTCAGCATTCATCCATTCTGGCAGAGAGGGAAACATTGGAGGCAGGTGAAACCAGATACAGGCAACAACCAGTTTATAGCCTATTTATATATTATTGGTATCAATACAGAAGTGCTTTTTGTGTGTTTTTCCTTTTCCTTTCCAACATCAATCAATTAATTAATTAAAATTTGTGTACCGCACTTCATCCAAAGATCTCAGGACGGTTCACATCAGAAAAATGTAAAATGAAAATACAAAATACATAACAAAGCAAATCAATAATCCTCCCAGAAATACATTTAAAAAGCCGTAGAATGTTAATCAGCCAAATATCAGATTTTTTTTATTATTCAGTAACCTTTCTGAATTTCCAGACATCATTTTGCAGCATTGTTAGTTCAGTGGTAGACCGTATACACTGCAAACTTAACGTCCCAAGTACAGCTCCTGTCATCTCCTCTTAAAAAGTACCAGGGCTGGGAAATACCAGGATTTGGAGAGACATTGCTAAACAGAACAGATAATATTGAGCTGTATCGGGGATAGGGATGCTCAGGCTGGGCCCCAAATGCAGCCCACCTCTATATGGCCCTTGGGATCCCCCCCTATAACTCTCACCAATCCCATTACATGCCCTCCTTGAGTGTGTTTGCCTGACTGGAATGTGTTTTTGAATTGTGATAAAGCTTGTGGGATGGAGAGATTGGGGTGGAGATATAGAAACTGCTTTTGTGTGGCTGGAATGTAGCCTATAAAAGAAAAAAGAGCCACATAATCTCATATGCTTTTGCCTCTAGCATAGCCCACCCCTGGCATGCAGCCCCTAAAAGGTTATCTCTGATGGAATGTGATTCTTTGGTTGGAAAAGGTTCCTCACTCTTGACTAGATGGACTAGTGGTCTGACTCACTTGTTGATATATCTCACTGCTGTGAAAATCTGTTGTGTAAATAATGTTTTTAGTTAGGCTTTTCTTCCCTGAGGACCCAGATATTATATATCTTTTTAAAAAAAACTTGGAAGCTGAGTGACTGTTCCCTGCTGGCTGATACTATTCTGAGTAGTGCCTATTTATTTCTTTTACCTTTTATTTTCTGCCCCAGTCTTTATTCAAAAAAGATTTCCAGCATGACTTACAAGATCACCAGTAAGACAGTCCTAGCTCTCAGTTTATAATCTAAAATACATGATATGTGAGGAAAAGAGGCAGAAGGAACAAAGCAGGCTGGTTTTTATAACGGTCAGCAGGTAGGTGACAGTTGAGGGAGGACCAAAGGCAGCTGATCTCATGATCTTACATAGAAATCAGTCATTGAGTTTGGGCCCAGTTTAAGGTGCCCACATTAGTGTTTACAGCCCTAAACCACTTAGGCCTCAAATACCTAAAAGGCCACCTTCTGTACAGACCTTCTCAGGTATTGAGATAATAAGTAGAGGGCTTTTTGAAGTTTCACCATCTTCAAAAGATGGGTCATGGTAGCTTGGGAAAGGACATTCGTTGTAGCAGCTCCTATGTTGTGGAATTCCCTTCCCGCAGAGGTGTGACTAGCACCATCACTAGACAGTTTTAGTCATATGCTGAAGATGCATCTCTTTACCCTGACATTTGACACTCAATGCATATTTTTAGGACAACCCTATTCTTGTTGCTGTAATTTATTTTAAAAACTGTTTCTAACATTGCAATCATCATATTGTGGTTATGCTGTTTAAAGCCCAAACTGCATTTACAGTGGTATGCAACATTGGTTTAGTTCTGGCCCTTTGGCAGAGGAAACTTTTCAAAGGACAAGACTGTGTTGAATTAGTGTTACGTGTAGCTGTATGGTAACATAATTTGGTCCCAAGCTTCTTTGAAGGAGAAGCTGCACGTACTATATCACTTTATCCTGTCTAGGTGGATTTTAAAGACCATGTGTGCCTTAAAAAAAAAAAAGCAAAGTTATGTCTTGTATATTTATAGTACATTCTTAACCAAGATACTTCAATGTGTTGCATGCACTTGATACACATTCTGTTGGCACAGGCTCAGGCATCAGAGCAGATGGTACTAGATGAGGTTGAGAGTGATATATCCTGAAGTATTGCTCTCTGCCTGTGGGTGATTAGAAGATCTTCACAAAGCCAGCATGTTTGGAAGCTGAAGTTGGAAAAAAAATGAAACTGAGTTGATATATTTGATTTATGTGCTAATTTGTAGAAGCCATGTGTTCAGATGTGAACGAGCCTTGGGCTTACACACTCCCGTCCCTTGCAAGTAGTGATGTCCTGCTGCTTAATCCTAGTTTGAGACCGCATAATTTGCCTCAGTATCTGAATGGTTAAGACAGTGGTTTCCAACCAGTGTGCCATGGTACCCTGGGGTGCCATGGGCAGCACTGTCCTCTGTTCTTTTCTTCCCTCCCTCTGATGTCTTCTTGCTTCTCTGCCTCCCAAAGGCTTGCACAGCTATTTGTTGCAGCATCCCTGGCTACAAGCTCCCCAGGTGAATGGTGCCTCTGGGGCTGGGCAAGGGGGGTTTCCCAGGCCTCTGTGGGGCAGTGTGAGGAGGAACCTCTCTGGGGAAGAGGGGGGCAGCTCAAAAATCAGGGGCGGCAGTTGCGGCTGCCCAGAGGATTCCCAAGGAGAGGGGAGCAGAGAGAAGGTTGAGGGAACACTCCACAAAGGAGGGTGTTCAAACAGGGGTGAGAGGTTGCCGGCTCTACTGACAAGGGGTGACATAACAGGGCTCCTGAGCCCCACAGGGGTGCCGCAAAAAGAATGTAGTCAGTTAAGGGAGCTGTGGACTCAAAAAGCTGGAAACCCTCTGGGTTAAGATACATTTTGCATGAGCTTGCAGAGTCCTGGTATTTCATGCAAACCGTAGTTTGACTGCTGTTGATCTTACTTTCATTCTCATCTTTCCCTTCCCACAAATAATAAATGCTTTGTGTCTGAAGAAGTCGATAAAACAATTGTTTTGTGCTATGAGATAGCATTTGTGTTATGATCTCATACAGCTAAGACATCAGTAATGACTCTGTGGGTCATAGCAGTATTAAAGGTGGAAGAAGTGGCAACCTAGATACGTGATTTTATCTTCAAGAAATATTTTATTATTTATATGCCACCCAATCAGATGGGTGACATATAAATAATAATTTTTGTTGTTGTTATTGCATGCTAGAAGTACAGACTTTGTCAAATGCTATTATGGAATGAATAGTTCTTCAGTCTTTTCATGATTATGATGCTGAGTCCTGTGTGCCAACCATGCCTAAGGAAACCACCTGTCCTCAATGCATTGTCTCCTATACCATTTAACATCTGTATGAAGTGATTGAGGGGATGTCATCTGGAGTACAGTGTCAGCCAATATGCAAATGATACCCAGCTCAGTCTCTCTATCCGAGTCTGGAGTGGGTGTGCAAATGCTGGACTGGTATCCAGAGGCAGTGAAGGGCTGGGTGAGGGCCAGGAAACTGAAGCTGTGTGTCTTCAGTTTCTAATGTCTGGGAATTAGGGAGGTGGCCTGTTCTGGATGGAATAGCAATCGTCTTGAAGGAGCAAGTGTGTATTCTGAGTGGTGTTCCTTGACTCTTACCTGCCGCTGGTGGCTCAAGTAGCACCAGCCTTTGCCACCTTCAGCCATCTCTCAACCAGCTAGCTTGGTTTCAGTAAACCATTCACTGGTAATTTCCCAGTTTACTACAGCATACTGTATGTGGGTCTATCCTTGAAGATGAGGCTTATTCCCAGGTAAATGGGATTAGGATTGCTGACTAATTCACTAGGAGCTGTCTTTAATATCTTCTGAAATTTGACTGAAAATATATTTACAAGCATTTCTCAATAAGCTCTGTGTAACTTACTCCCTTCTAAGTGTTTTTGGGAACAGCCTAAATCCAGTGTGGTTTAATAGTTAGAGTGTTGGACTAGAACTTGAGAGACTAAGGTTCCCCGCTCAGGTGAAGCTCACTGAATGACCTTGGGCCAGTCACCATTTCTTAGGCTAACCTGCCTCACAGGGTTGTTGTGAGGATGAAATGGGAAGGAGGAGAACCACATAGCCACCTTGAGATCCTTGGAAGATAATGGTGGTATATAAATGTAATAAGTATCAATTAATTAATACTTTAAAATTAGAAATGTGCTCCTGCAGTTAAGCAGGAGAGGGTAGCAGTGGGACAAAAGTGCTCATTTGGAGCAGGGTATTCATGAGAGAGATGGAAGAACATGGCGAGAGATGGGATACTGCCCTGTATGTGTCATATATTGGAAGTATTGGTTCAGATGTCAAGACTAGTAATGCTTTTCTTCCATCAGTAGATATTCCCCCTTGTATCAGTAGGTGTGCTTCCAAAACAAAACATTTTTAGTTTTGTTGTTTCCCAGTGAACTCTAGATCATTATAGTACAGAATATTGTTAAGCTTTACTGTATTTAATTTCTGCTACAGCTTAATTAAAAAGCAATGGTAATTTTAAACATTGAACAGTGCCTCATTATCTGAGCACAACATATAGATGTTGGTCCTAGAACACACTTGTTTCAAAGAAATTTCCATGTTGCCATTTGTTTGCTTTGGAACATGGCAAATGTTTGTTGTTCCATCTCACGTACATTCTGGTATTAGGCTTGCAGACTTGAAATAAAAATTGAATTCAGTGTGATTTAGGACAGTTTAAATGTGACAACATTTAGTCAGTCTCAGACATTGAAGCAAAAAAGGCAGAAAATTGTGATTAATAAGTTCAAAAATTAAGAAAATATTTATGGAGGAGGAATTGGGTCAGGCAGAGAAATGGCATTGGGCTGGATAAGTAAAATACTGAGTGTCTGCTAGTGAAGAAGAGAATTGTCCAAGTGTATATCTCTTGTTGTTTTTTTTATAGCACCACATATATCTCTTGATTTTTCTTCATTTTAGAAAACCTAATTATTGCAAGGTGAATGCAGCCAATCCATTCACAAAATCAAGTCAATTCTTGTCATGAAAATAAGATTGTGAAACATTGTGGTGATTCTCCCAACCTCATTTTTCCATGATTACCACCAAAAAGCAGAATAAACTAATTATTGGCAAGTAATTTCAGGGTATGAAAATATGTATGTATTTTAAACATTGATCCTTATAATATTTTCACTTTATTTCAGATCTGAGCACTTGGATCTAACCAAATTTTGCAAGAAAATTACTGAGAGCATATTTAATCATGGGAACTCCTGGATCAGGAAGGAAAAGAACTCCTGTGAAAGATAGATTTTCTGCAGAAGATGAAGCTTTGGGTCATATTGCTAGAGAGGTTAGTAAAACTGCTATCTTACTGTAAGCATCTTGAAAACAAGAATTCACGTATTCACATTTTGCTTAGTAGGTGCACCTTACATTCATTGTTGTAAAGTTATTTCTTAAACTGTGTTTGCAGTTCTGTATCACCAAGTATATTATTTTGATAATGATATCTTTGACCATTAGTCACTTAATGCTCACATTTAATAAAAGTATTATTGAATCCAATTTGACTACTTCATTTTTAAATGAAATTTCTTTCAATTTAACAGGCAGAAGCACGGCTTGCAGCCAAACGTGCAGCACGAGCAGAAGCAAGAGATATACGCATGAGAGAATTGGAACGACAACAGAAAGAGGTAATGGAGCAGTTAAATGTAGAACAAAATTCTGGTAATCTTAAATTCAGAACAATGTATCAGAGTAAATAACATTAACTAATCGCTTACTTTGACATTGTTACACATCTTGAGCATCACTCTGAAAGCCAGGGTGATTTTCTTTTCAGTTGGTAGAATGCCATTCAGACCTCAAGCTCAGCTTGAATATTAAGGTTGTGTTGCACTTGTAAAGGAAAACATAAGATGTTGTATATGTGTCAGTGCCCAGTGAGCATGAAATTTGGTGTCTGAGTGCTACTTGGGTTTATACAAAGAAAGGTTTTCAATGGATTAGGAATATCGGCAACTATTGCCTAGGAGTTGGAAAACATGACACATAAACCAGACTTGCAAAAGCAGCTAGGATCATCTTTCAAAAAAATAGGATTGTATTTCTGTCAAAACTGAAACAATGTTGAGTCTCTTAAGAAGAAGAGTTTGGATTTGATATCCCGCCTTTCACTCCCCTTCAGGAGTCTCAAAGCGGCTAACATTCTCCTTTCCCTTCCTCCCCCACAACAAACACTCTGTGAGGTGAGTGGGGCTGAGAGACTTCAAAGAAGTGTGACTGGCCCAAGGTCACCCAGCAGCTGCATGTGGAGGAGCGGAGACGCGAACCCGGTTCCCCAGATTATGAGACTACCGCTCTTAACCACCACACCACACTGGCTCTTAAGTTCTTGGGAGTTATGCTGTTGCAAAATAGCAAGAAAAGTGGCAAAGTCAAGCTGCTTTGAATCCAAATTTTCCATGAGCAGAAGACTGTTCAGGCTCCTCTTCCCCCATTTTGTAGGCTGGGGCCTAGGATGTGATACAGTACTGCAGTGGGCATATGGAATCAGCGAAATTCAGGCAGAGGCATTCCTTCATTTTGGCCAAGTTTTCACCATACAGCCATCTGCCATATATCTGACTTCATTATACTGTGGGAAATTAAAGAGTTCTGCTTTAGGTTTAAGAATCTTTACATTTCAGAATAAAATTTGTTATATGTTATAATTATCAGCCATGCGGCTTAACTTATATTTGCCAGTTTTCCAGGGAAAAGGGAGTGTGGCCATCAACTGCAATTTTTGTTTTTGGTTTGGTTTTGGCTAACTTCTACAGTTGTCTATATTTGTTCCTGCCTCAGATGATTTTAAAATATCTTTATACTTCTGTATTCAGCACTGTATCATGGTATATGCTTAGAGTGAGGCCAAATTTCTTCAGATAAATTGCAAAATGTATTCTTAGTGAATGAAAGTGACTCTGTTTGAGTAACGGATAGTGAACAGTTTTACCGTATTTTTCGCTCTATAGGACGCACTTTTTCTCCTTCAAAAATGAAGGGGAAATGTGTGTGCGTCCTATGGGGCGAATGCAGGCTTTCGCTGAAGCCTGGAGAGCGAGAGGCGTCTGTGCGCACCGACCCTTCTCGCTCTCCAGGCTTCAGGAAGCTATCCGCAAGCCTTGCGAGCCCGGCGGGAGTTCCCGCAGGCTCACAAGGCTTGCGGGTGGCAGCCTGCAGCTCGAAGCATGGGGCGCCCTCCGGAGGACGCCCCATGCTTCGCGCAGGTGTCCGCAAGCCTTGCGCGCCGGGGGGGAGTTCCCGTGGGCTCACAAGGCTTGCGGGCGGCAACCTCGCCTTCGCTCCCGGACCCCCAGCCCCGAGGCTAAAAACGAAGCCAGGACAGCGAGCGGGATCCATCCTGCTCGCTGTCCTGGCTTCTTTGCTCTTTGGGGCTCGTGGGGGGGGGGATTTTTTTTTTCTTTATTTCCCCCCCCCCCATAAGTGCGTCCTATGGGCTGGTGCGTTCTATAAGGCGAAAAATACGGTAATTTCAGTTATAATTTGGCAGAATGGGGAAACCTGCACACATATGCAAAAAGCTTGGCCCTAAACATTTTGACTGTCTTCAACTTGAAAAACATAATGTAAAATGATTTCAAACGGAACTTTTATTGCAACAGATAATTTTCAGTAAATCTAATGTGATTTATAGAGAAAGGTCTCTACTTATAACACTTGTTGGAAGAGGAGTGTATTCAGTAGACACCAAAAAGACAATAGAGTCCTCGGTTGGAAATACTTTTGTGTAATGAGCTTTCAGAACTTGAGTGAAGAAACGTGTGAAGTGTAGGCAGTGTTTCTTTAGATAATTGATTACAGTACAATTAATTACATCGCTGATTTTAAATAATTTTGGGTGAAAATGGTGACTGTTCTACCATCACATTTAGATAAAGAATCTGCAAAAATGACCATGGGTAGAATAAAAGTTAGGCCCTGATTAAGTGCTTCTTTGGTGGTTTTAAGCTCTATTCTATTCTACAGTCATACCTCTAGTTGCATTCGCTTCATGTTGTGGATTTTCGGGTTGCGAACGCGGCAAACCCGGAAGTGTATACTTCCGGGTTTCACCACGCATGCACAGAAGTGTTCTGCGTGCTTCGCACATGTGCAGAAGCACTCTATTGTGCTCCACACTTGCGCAGAAGCAGCACTCTAGTTGCGGACTTTTTGGGGTGCAAATGGCACCCCGGAATAGATCGTGTCCACAACTAGAGGTACCACTGTATTCTATTCCACTTGATTGTAAGTAGAACCTGTAAGCATTCTATAAAAAACAACAACTTAACAATGTCAGTAAAAGACAAATGCAAAAAACAGGTATTTTTAAAAATCCAAAATATAAAACACATCTAGATGGATCATTTCTAATGTATTTGACAAGAAATTCAGTCATACTGCCTTTGGCTTTTCCTGATGTGCATTTAAATAGAAGTAATATTAGTTTGTGAATAGTACTTGATATAGCTGTAGAGGTGAAATGATAAAATGCAACACAAGTTTTAAAGAGAGCATTTCCATATTTGAATGTTGATTACACTTTATTTTTTTAAAGCAAACACTTTGGGAGAGCAAATTTTCTTTTTGGAAATTGTTTATTCTTGCGAAGAAATAAGATGATCTTTACCTTTTTGTAGCTTTCTCGACGTTCTTATGATAGAAAATGGGGACATATCCAAAGGTGGATGGTAGGCCAGGATTGCCTGTTGTGTGGTATTTTGCACTTGGAAAACTAACATGATTGGTGTGTTTATTTACTAATATTTTGTACAATGTGTGAAATTCAAGTATCAAAATGACGTGTCTCCCAACTGTGGGATTTACAAATATTTAACTTTGGCTTGGTTGTGTTCTTAGTTATTTTTATCATTCCAGTACTGAATAAGTGGAAACCTAAGGGGAATAACTTCATATCACTAATAACACTGTCTATTTTATATGAATTAATACAAGACAATGAGGTCCCAACATTTCCTTGGCCTTTCTTCATTTGAGGATTCTTCCCAAAATTTATCAATAAGTAAAGGTAAAGGGACCCTTGACCATTAGGTCCAGTCGTGGTCGACTCTGGGGTTGCGGTGCTCATCTTGCTTTATTGACTGAGGGAGCCAACGTACAGCTTCCGGGTCATGTGGCCAGCATGACTAAGCCACTTCTGGCAAACCAGAGCAGCGCACGGAAACGCCATTTACCTTTCCGCCGGAGTGGTACCTATTTATCTACTTGCATTTTTACGTGCTTTCGAACTGCTAGGTTGGCAGGAGCAGGGACCGAGCCATGGGGCTCACCCCGTTGCGGGGATTCGAACCACCGACCTTCTGATCAGCTAGTCCTAGGCTCTGTGGTTTAGACCACAGTGCCGCCCACGTCCCTTTATCAATAAGTAGAATCATAGAATTGTAGAGCTGGAAGGGACCACAAAGGCCAACTAGTCCAAGCCTCTGCAATGCAAGAATCTTTTTGCCTAACATGGGGCTCAAAACCATGGCCCTGAGATTAAGAGTCTCATGCTCTACCGACTGAGCTAAACACATTTTCTCAGTACCTGAAATACACAATCCATTCGTCTGGATATTATGGGCTAGATCCAAAGATTGTGCAGGCCAAAGACCTTTTGTGCAAAAAAATCCTCTCTGTCCTGCACTCAGTGTCCCTCACCCTAAACAGTCTTTCTTGGGGGTTGGGAACTCTCCTGAACAAGTATGGGCATAGATAAGCTTTCCCCTTACTATCACTCTCAATTCATATTGTTTTCCAAATTGTACCGTGTTGCATTTTGAAGTTCTAACTGTAGGATATTTTCTCCATGTAGATGGCAGGTATCTGTCAGTATAGGTGACTATTGCACACCAGCAATTAAGACTATCATGCAAGTTGGATTAAATCACTTTATGGATAAATCAGTTGGATTACTTGGTTTTTAAATAGCTAAAAATGGGGTTGAGAATTGGACAACAAATCTTTATTAAAAAAATATTAAAACCGGTGCTTACACAAATGGGAAACATACTCTTAAATAATATTTCCATTCTCTTAGAACAGATCTTTCCAAACTTTTTATGTTGGTGACACACTTTTTATACATGCATCATTTCATGACGCAGTAATTCAGTTTTACTAGCAAACTGAAGGTTAAACTAAACCCTTCTTTCCAGCCCTGGGAGGAGTGCAGAAAGCGTTTGTGAGACGTACCTACACACTGCAGCCGACGCACTAACATGTTGCAACACAGTTTGGAAAGCTCTGTCTTAGATGAATACCTCTTCCAAGATGCCTGCTGTGACTTACATGTACACAATCTATAAACAAATTAATATTTTTGCTTCAGAAATATTTACACGCATGGTTTTCATATTTAAAAAAATCTGGTTGCAACCCTAATGATAACTGTTTTGTTACCGAATTTTATTGAGTAATCTGAGATATTAGGTGAACTAATAACACATTGAAAATTAGGATAAGCTGCTATGATGTTTACATGAAAGAAGAATGGGTGTCTGTCTGATGTGAACAGTAAATTAGTACTTTCTGCTGTTTCTGAGTAATTTTTGTGGATAATTCTTTTTAGCTGTGTTCTTTTTGGTCTTCTGTCTTTTTCTCCTTTTCTTAAGTAACATCATCTGGTGTTTCCTTTCTTAGGAAGATTCAGAGAAGGCTAGGGATTCACACAGGTCCAGCCGGCGGTCATACCTGGTTTGTACTAACCTATCAAATCTGTTTTTCTTCCTTCCTTACTTTTATCTTTTTTGTTCATTTTTAAATGTGGCACTTCATTTTTAATTTAATTTTGTAATTAGGGTGCTGATGACTTGGTGTCCACTCGAACTACTGGTAGCCACAGGGTTAGTACTCATATTTTGCCTTTGATCAAGTTCATAAAACATTCTTTTATGCTCATGCAGATTGTTTTATGATTTCTCATTTCAACCAAAATTTTAATTTTTATGGAATTGATACAGAATATTTTAAAGCTGCAAAGATAACTGGTGGTATATTACTAAGTCATAGTCTGGGTAGACCCATTGAAATGGAAGGACTTGAGTTAGTCATGACTAACATAAGCCCACTGATTTCAGTGGATTCTTTAATCAAGGTAACTTGCTTTAAATTATATCTGCATTGGTGCTTACCTGGGTTGCCATCATAATCTCAGCATTGGGTCTGTATCCCTATAGATTTGTAACACTGGATGGAAACAGAAACTGAATCCTCTGGTCAGAAGAACATTGAATGCTAGTTTTCTAAGGGTTAGAACATGAATGTCAAAGTTGAATAAATGTTTCCTTTTTGTCAATTTAAAATTAATATAGTCAGTGTTAAATGACTTAGTTATCAACAGCTAAGGAAAAGAAACTGCACACATACTTGTCTTTTACAATTTGGTTCTTAAGAGTACCTCCTTGGATGCCACTGGGTCACACAGGAGCAGAGCAAGTACTGCCAGGCGAAGAGATCTTGTGGTGCGTAGTATTGATGAGCATGTTGTGATTTGTTCACATAGCACTTTGTGCATACTGAGGAGGAACACTGGTGGCAAAGGATGTTATCTGATTGTTGCCAGTCGCTTGTGCAGCAGACCTCTGCTGTCACAAACTAATCTCCCCCTTCCTCGCCTCCCCCTGAAGCCCCCCCATCTCTTTCAGAGGACCCCAACCTTCCAGCCAACATGAAGAGGCTGGGAAATGCAGAGGGGAGGGGAGCAGAGAAGGGAAAATCCTGGTACAGTGTTGGACGACCCCCCTCAATATTTCAGTTTTAATAAAACATTTGAACTTAGAAGTTCAAGACATTTAACTTTAAGTGAGCCCTGGGTGGGGGCAAGAGAAATGGGAGACAAAAACGTGAGATGGCTTTAGGCTGGCTGAAACACTTCCATTTGTACAGGGCAAGACACCCCAATTTTCAATTCTTCTACCAATTGCAGTCCTCCATGACATTTCCCATACTATTCCAGAGAGCCCTTTGCAAGTAGTAGCAATTCCACTAGCTTAAAGCCAGTATTACACAAAACCACATATTTTTGTCTAAATTTCATCATATTTTTGGAGGCCTATTGCAAATTGCATTATGTATAGAACATCTGTAAAATAGCAGTGTGTGAGGGAGAATAGAAATGGGAACACATCTTTATCTCTGCCTACTAATTTTAATTATGCTTAATGGCTTGTATTTGTGAGAGGTTGTTTTGTTTCAGCTCTTGTGTTTGTGTTCAGACTTGTATCACTTCTGCCAATGGCTTTCTGCATATCATTAAAAAGAATGAAAACTAATGTCATCTGTGATTTCTCTGTTTACACCCTGTGGTGAATCATGTAAATGCATGTCAAAGCAAAGTTCTGAGCAATGCAAAAATAGTAAAATAAATAAATTCAGTATGTTGCCGTGTTCAAGTCTAATCTATATGCTGTTTCTGCCAAACCAGTTTGTTCAATTTCCTTTTCTTTTTTCTCATTGGATAGATCAGTGGTTAATAAAGTTTCATTTTACATTGTTTTTGAACTATCACATGGTGGTTTAGCATTGTTTCTGTGGATACTACTACTCCTTGATGGTAACTTTCTAAATCTTTACTCAACAGAGCCATGCTCATGGAGACTCTTATGGTGGGAAGAAGTCTTCTAGCTCTAATAAAGATCTTTTGGTTAGTGTTTTCAATTAGGGAATTGATATAATTTTACCTCTTCATGGTTTCTCTATACAATATTCCCCCACATATATTTGGTATATTGGTTGTATAAGGTACTTCATCTAAGTTAAAAAGAGATCTTGCTTACGGTACAGACTCTTTCCCAGCATTATGCAATGGAAGCATGAAAAGTCAGAAGCGACAGGGTGCTTGACCCCAGGAATGGTAAAGAACTTTACCTACTAGGCTAACTTCTCTCCACCTGGATTTTTTTTTCTGTTATCCCTTTTCGAGGTTTTTCTGAAATGTTTTGAATTATTGACCTTCATGTTGCCCTCATGAAAGTAAAGTGTTGTTTCTAGTTCTGTATCTGTTCTCAGTGGGCACAGGAATCTGTTAAGCCCCCCAGTAATGAGTGCTTCAGATTCCATTGAGGAACAGCCTATATAAGGTTAGATATTTGAATTGAAGTAAACATATGAAACCACTTAAATGAATTATTGCAACACAGTTTAAATGTCTGGATTTCTAGAAAACATTTGTACACAGTTTGAGAACACTTACGTTTGGAGACTTTTAGGACAAACAAGTTTGTAGACAATTTGTTTTATGGATGATCACTGATTATAAAGCTTGGCTTCTCATGGAGCAGGCATAAGTTGCTATTTAGTCTTGTAAGAACCTTGCAATAAGTAGTTCTACTTTAATTCTAATTAAACGATGTTTTCAGTACTTCTGGCCACATTCATGCATTGTACTAAACCATGGTTTAGTGTGATCATCATTGCGGGAGGTCCGGAGGACGGCAACACAAAAATGGGCCTTTTCTGCTGTAGCTTCCTGTTTATAGAATGCTCTTTTCAGAGAAGCTCTCCTGGTCCCTTTATTACACATCTTTAGGTGTAAAGCAAAAACATCCCTCATCTCCCAAGGCCTTTGGCTATTTAAACAGTCCATGGCCTTTTAAACTGTGGGGAGTGAGTACTGTTTTTGCTTGTTACTATAGTTTGTTTGTTTGCTTTTTTGTTTCTATATTGCAAACTGCCCTGTGCTTCTTGGATGAAGGGCAGTATAGAAATTTAATAATAATTAAAAAAATAAGACATCCATGAAGAGGGAGGCAAATGAAGAGGGAGGCAGTTTTTGACAAGTTCCCAAACCCCTCCAGAACAGATTTAGGGAGGTATGGTGGTTGAGCATTAGGGGAAGGGGAAATTGCCAGCTTCCCCATTTTTCTGTCAGATGCCCAACTTTAGTGGAGGGGACACAAGTGGATATCATTCTAGTCCACTCTTTTAAAAAAGGGATAATAATAGTACAGTCCAATATAAACATTTAGCTGCTTTCATTTGGTAAAGGCATCTGGCCCTAAAAACTGTGTACAGTATGAGGCTCATTGTGTGACATAGAGCACGTTGATATATAAACAGCTGCTTGCTCATCCAAAATTCAATATATATTGGTGCTTCAGAGCACCACAACTTATCATATGACTTGAATACTCCAGTAAATACCAATATTTCTTTACATGTTTGAGTTTGAATACTTTTTTCAACTTTGTAATATATTTTTGGCAGAGTGGATTTTACCATGACCAACGAAACTACAGCAGCCTTAGGCATAGCAAACCACTTTCTACCTACCATCCTCGGGTTTGTGTAACTTATTTTATTTTACTAAACAGTCTTATTTAGACATGAGTTATTGCAATGTTAGCTGCCATGCTCTAGTCTAACAGAAAAGCGCTGCTTGATTTTTGGTGTTTGGATTAACAACTCAATTTTGAGGACGCATGTGATTTCCAAATCTACTGCTCTCTTTTGTTTTACATACATTATTGCTATGAGAATCAAATTATGGGTTAGAAGTAATGCTAGGCGGTTGATTTCTGGCTTGCGTCCACTAAACCTTTTCTGATGTAACTGTTTTTAACTAATGTATATGTTGCCACATTGCAGTTGACAAATTTTGGAATTCTGGGTAACCATTCTAAAGCTATTTGTGCTGAAAATTCATTAAATTAAAAAGTGGAGACTAATGGAATGTTTGGTCTGATGACATCCTGCTAGTTTTGAATTCCCTTTCACTTTGTTTTGTCACTTTATGAAAATACTAACATGCATTTTATGGACAATGTTTCATTTGTGTGGTATTAAATGTAATACAATGTCTTATTTTTGTCACAGTCATCTTCTCTATACAGTGATCCTTTGGCAACAACTAAGAATTACAGGGTTAGTAGTGTGTGATAGAATAGTCTACATTTAGGAATTATAAGGTTCTGTAAATCTAAAAACAATGCTCTCCTCTATAGGTGTCTCCAGATGTAAACACTGGTTTGATAAGAAGTGCCAGTTTGGTTCGTATGCAGATCTGCATGGTTGTCTTAAGCTTGCATTCTGTGGGTACTTTGGCTTGAAAACATTGTGTGTTCTACTCCAGAAAACATTAGGTTAAGCATGCAAGAATATTAGGATGGAGAATATCTGAAAATCATATTGAAGGAAGGAAAAGCTTGTGTGCAGTGTAGGTTTTCAAATCTCAGATCATGCCTTTCTGTCAGTGGCAAATTGTACAGGATAGTAGTTGTCCTGCAAATACACAGAGGTCTTAGCCATGATCAGTGCATGTATACCAGCCATTTCAGTTCATTTGGGATCATCAAAAAAGTTAACTCTAGACAACCATCACATAGACATCAATCCTGGACATTGTATTAAAATAATGTGAAAATTTGTATTTTACAAAGTACAAAGCAAAGAGCTCTATCCACCAAGAATTTATTTTAGAAGTTTCAATGTATGTTTTGGAAAAACACTAAAATATATTGTGGCTGAAACAGTGAACAAGCCTTCCCTAGTAATTATCTGCTGTTATGTGGAGCATTTACTAACATTCTGTCTGCTGTGGATAATTGTCAGCATCAGTCCTGCTTTTGAGCTGAAACTCAAGATCAGTCAGGTTAATATCCTTCACACAGGCCTTTGAGAAACTGCATGGATAAGGTCAAAAGACCGAGGACTGTAAAGCTCACCAGGAAGTTTCAGGATTAAGCAAGTTAACAGTTAGGAATGCAGGGTAGCCAAAAAAAGAAAAAGGAGAAAATAGACGGAAAAATAAGTATCTTATGAAAATATTATACAACTAGTAGAATTGCCAAAGGTTTTTTTTAACTGGACCTCTCCAGTGCCTCTAAAGGAAACCTGTTATTCATAAATGTAAGAAGAGAAGGCTTTCTGGAGATGAAAATAAATGGAAAATGCTTCATTTGCTAGATTTCTGTACCTGGTTGCTGTCAGAGGAGTAGGGAAAGTAATAAAAATGTGCAACATGAGAAACCGGATGATGAAGAAAGGAGAGGCGCAAACAACTGGGAAAAATCTTGTATGGCCTAAGGTAGTTGACTGGAGTGGGAGTGAAATGCTGAAAAATGTATTTCTGCAAATCATTGCCAGAAAACTTGCTTCTGTCAACTTACATCCACTTGCTCCATGTGGCTGCATCCAAACCATGTGGAGTATATTGCTTAAAACAAGCAATGCCATTGGTCATGGAATTCTGGAGTATCAAACCTCTGCTGTACTGCCTGCCTTTCTGGAGGCAAGTAGTAAACTGAAGATAATAGGAAGGTGTTAGAGAAAATTAAGCTGCCCTGGTTGTAATGAGGAATATTCCTCTCATCTAAAGACTAGTACAGGTAACTTTCAACTTATGCACATTTAACTTGTGCACATTTAGCTTTATGCATGTGGCAAAAAGTAAAAATAAAAGGGGCAGAAAGGAGATAGGCATCAGGGAAAAAGACTTCGGCAGTCCTATCTGCCATTGAACCCAATGTGTTTTGGCTGTATGTGCTATCTCTGGAACCTAACCCCATGTAAGCTGAGAGTTGCCTGCAGTTGTGAAGGAACCACAGAAGAAAAGATCAAACCCTAGTGCTATTTTTCTGTAGCGCAGCATGAAATCTACAGTGTTTCTGCTTCTTAAAAATCAGACAAGCTTCTGGTTATTGGTAAACTTTGACATTGCATGGGAAACAGATTGCTAGTGCTTGAGCTTGTATATTAAATTCACAAACTTTGTAGAAAAAGCTGCTTTTGGCTGCAGAATCTTCAGAGGTTTTCAGCAAGTGGATAGATGCTTTAGGTATTTGTGCTGTTTTACAATGGTGGGTTAGGTTAGAACAATTGCATCTCTGAAGGTGGATTAACTGGATGATTTCTTGCTTAAAACTACAACAACCAATTCCTATGTTTGCAGCAGTGCTTAGAACTTTATAGCTTTGGGCTGGCAAGAACCCTTGAAAAATGGAAGCTGAAAGAAATAACCTATTCAATTGTATATGTCAAAGAACATGGAAATATTATTGCTACCATATAGTAAATATTCCAAGCAATATTTTAAATGTGCTTGCAGGGTTAGAATTTAATAATATTATGCTTCAGAAAAATACAGTTTTTAGTGAAGGAAGCATGTGTACTTCTGCTAATGGTGATGTTTGTCTGCATAGCAACAATGCTTACAGGCCACATGAATACTCTTCATTATTCTGCAATACTGTAAATGCAAACACCATTTTCTCTGATCTTTTAGGCATCGTTAAGTGGTGATGGATTCTATAACCCATATAGTTATCGTACAGTAAGTCTGCAGGGCTTTCTTTTGGTTTTTTACAAAATACTTTTCTGTGAAGATAAGTAGCTGAGAAACCAAATATTTTCCTTCCCTTTGCAACCTTGTTTTTAGCCTTCAGAATACAGTTGTTACTCTTCAAGAGCAAGTTCAGCACGAAGTAGTCCAGTGGTGAGAAGTTTTCTGCACACATTAAAGTTTTTCAACTTTAACTAATGTTCTTCACTTTAACCATTTGCGTGAATCACCTTACTCATAAATGCATGGGTTGTGGAGTTTAATTGACTTGACGGAAGCAAGATATTAAAAGGTTAATCAGAAATATAAGGGCTTTTTTTCTGGCGTCATTCAGTGATTTTATATTATTATTTAGTTCTGTATATTATGTCTTTGAATGTGGAATATGAAAAATTCATATACCTCAGCAGGATGCCTCTCAGAATTACCATAATGCTATGGGGGGTCGGGGAGGAAGAGCACAGTTTAATGTGTTTCAGTACAACTGTTGAAGCCGACACAGCCTACCATGTCTTCTACCTGTATCCTCTTAGTTCTTCAGTCTGTTTGCTAGGAGATCTATGGTGACCAAAAAGAGCATTTCAGCCTCTCAGTTAAGCACTGTCCCTTTGTCAGTGTAGGGCAGGAATAAGAAACTAGATCCTTCCAGGCCCACTCCTCTGTAGGCCAACTTTGACATGTGAGTGGGACCACACTTTTGACATAATAATGTCAGGTGATTGATGTCAAAATTTGAAGGGGCTGCTGTACCTGCTGATCAGACTTGTAGGGAGACAGCCCTTCTGAAGTCTACAGAGGGGGAAATGCTACTCTTTGCAGAGAAATGGATTAAAAGTTTGGCTTAGTGAATCTGACCCAATTTTATTTTCTGGACTGCACTTTGAAGGCCCCAACAACCAGCTGATAGTTGCTGGTGCAGAACTGTCTTCAGTCACTGACAAACAGCCGATTGTTGATGCTTGCAGAAAGCTCGGCTGTACTTTTGAAGCCCTGACAATCAGCATGTGCTTGCAAACCCCCCCCCCCTTCTCATAACTTACAACTGATGTAATATATGATGTCAAGTGTAGTACAGGTGGCTGTGGCATGGCCCAAATGAGGAGGCCTGGTGGGTCTTAGTAGGCTCAAGGAGCAGTGGTTCCCCAGAGGCCTAGGTGAGAATATGGAAAGTGTGCTAGGGCTTCATAATCCTTCTAATGCTTTGGCTTCCCATTATATCTAATTGGAATCTATCGTTGCCTGGATGCAGCATCTGTGCAGGGAATGACCAAAGTGTTTAATTGTCAACAATTTACACTACCTATGACTTTCCACTTTGTCAGGCAGAAGTGAATCCCTGGGGCCTTCCAGTATTTTGGTCATTTTGAATTGTGTCAAGCTTGATGATCTTTGGAGTTCATGATTCTGAGAGCTTTATTATGACTCCTGCTTTGGATTTGACACCCAAAAGGCAGATTACTTATTTTTAAAATGTGAATTAGTTTTAATCTTTATGACTTATTGTACTTAATTCTTGGTGACTTGGGCCATAGAAATAGGGAACAGGATTAGCAAAACATGTCCCCAAATTAACCCTTCCACTTTTTATTTGTGTTCTAAGCAAATATCTTTCATATGCCGTATTCCTATCAGTGAAAATAAAAGCAAATGGAGATTCTGTGGGCAAAACTTGTGCTTTACCTGAAGATTGTGTAGTTCAGCTCCCACTGACTGTGATTCTGCTGGGGCCTAATGTGTTTGCACAGCGTTGCACTGCTTACTCCCCCTTGGATCCTTATGCTACCCTCCACATGCCTTCCCACTTGTCCCAAAGACAAGCATTTCGCTATCAATAGCGGTGTCCTCAAGGCAGCATGAAAATACTAAAAAAAATTCTCAGCATGTTGCATTGGTTTGCACATTTTTAGTAAGCATATGAGTCATTAACACTGAATGTTACTTAATCCAAACAAACGTTTATCCAACAGTAAGTTAGTTAATTACTTGTCTTTGAACTTTATAGTTTACAGATGATGAAGCAGGGAGCATTGCATCCTCTGATCGTGCTGTTCGAGGCAGGAGGGATAGTGCGGTGAGCAGGGCTGTCTGGTTGTGCTTTTTGTTCTGCTTTTATGAACTCTGTTGCATGAAGTACCACAGGTCCTAGAGTGAGATGAGTAGGCTAGGTGTCACTTTTCACGTTGTGTGCTTATATCAGCTGGAAGCAGTCACGTTCTGTTTTATTATCTCTTAAGGCTGAATTGCATGCTGCTGTTTGGGCCAAGGCATGCCCAAGTCACAGGTGTCATGGGCCAAATAGGAAGACTTGGTGGACCTAATTAGGCCTGTTGGCGGGGGGTTCCCCACCGCTGTTCTAGAACCTGCAGAATCCTCTTGAACCCAGGCTGGAACCCCATCTCTGTAATGGTTTTTATTTTTTATTAAAATTTATATACTGTTTAATTGTTAAACAACAAAAACAAAGCAAAACCCTCAAAGTGGTTTACAAAAACTTAAAGAGGTTTATTGTGAAATGACTTTGAGATATTTTATGGGAAGTGAGATATGAATGAAAATAATCATCTTGCAGCTGGCCAATGTGCTACCCTTCAGATGCTGTTTAACTATAAATCCCACAACCTCAGCCACTGATGCCTGTGGTCAGGGATAATGGGAACTGTAGATTCACAACATCTGAGGTTTCACACTAGTTACTCCTGTGTTCCTTTACTTTCCTTCCATATCTTAAAGTAATAAATTTACCAAGGGAATATTTTGGTTAAGATGCCTTTCTCAGTACTGGATAAACTGATTCAAGTTGAAGTAAAAAATTATTAATATTGACCACTCCTTCACAACCTCCTATAAACTTCACTAAAGGCATCAGTTTTACCTTTATATAGAGTATTCCAAAGGGTCATGATACAGTGGTGCCCCGCAAGACGAATGCCTCGCAAGACGGAAAAACCGCTAGACGAAAGGGTTTTCCGTTTTGGAGTTGCTTCGCAGGACGAATTCCCCTATGGGCTTGCTTCGCAAGACGAAAATGTCTTGCGAGTCTAGAGATTTTTTTTTCGCTTTTCCCCCCCTTTATCTAATCTGCTAAGCCTTTAATAGCCTTTAATAGCCTTTTAGCAGCTAATCCCTAAGCCTTTAAGCCTTTAATAGCCGCTAAACCGCTAATAGCGCTAATAGCGCTAATCCGTCAATGGGCTTGCTTCGCAAGACGAAAAAACCGCTAGACGAAGACTCTCGCGGAACGGATTAATTTCGTCTTGCGAGGCACCACTGTACTTCCTATATCAAAATGATATCATCTAAAAAATTGATGGTGTCTGATACGGCAGTGGCATTTCCCATAATAATTTGGAACTCTCTTGGTATACTGAATAGTTACTCAATATACTATTCCTGTGTAGTGGAAACACATGATTCAAAACCTGCATATTTTGTAATGTGTCTTATAATTAGTTCTCTAACAATAGACTTTTTGTACTGAAGGTAAATGTGTGAGATAGTCCCTTTTCTTCAGTTTGTCTGCAGTAGCAAAATCTGAAAAAATACTGTTCAAGGCACACATAAGTGTGATAGTAAATTCAAACTAAATTATTATTTGTATGTGTATGGCTTAAAAAACATTCATTGAGCAAGGGTAAAAAGAATTATTGTGGGAAGGGAGATGTAACCTGGAGAGTTGTATGAAATAAACAGTGACTATTAAGGCATAAGGAGGACAAACACGATAAATCAAAACTTTATTTCCCTAGGCAATTAAATGTTTAGTTTAAGGATAAAATTTATAATCCTGAATATCTCAACATGAATTGTTTATAAATATCTTGCTGTTGATTATACTAACAAAAAACACTAGCTTAATACTCAGCAGCCTTCTTAAAATGCAGCTGAATGTGACAATGAGATACCAGCTTTAAATGTATTGCTCCAATGAGAACTATATTCTTCTTCCACCCTACGCTTTCAGGCTAGGAAGGTGTTTTGAAGACTAGTAGGCAGGACCAATAGATGCTGGAGCAGGTGCAATGTGAGTTAATTAGGTTTGTAATGGCATAGGTTTGATGCCCAAGGAAAGGATAAAAGCAATTAGGGTGTGTGAGAAAGAAGGCTTATGACCCTGTCCAGATTCTGTAATGATACCATTCTCTTTTTATCCTTTAAAACTCTGAAGCTGATGAGATTGAAAATTAATTCATACCTGTGATAGTACGATCAAATTCCATCATGTTCTCGTCCCAAATGTCCTCAGGTTGCCATCTGCTTGAAACTACATAAGGAGTTAATCTCATGTGAAACAAATATATGTGAATGCATGGAGTTGTGAGAAGGTTGGTGATTGTGATTAAGCTGTTGTTCAGTGTGAAATCCCTGGGTTCCACAGAACAGAATTTGAAAACCACAAGAATAAAAATAAAATAAAATATAAATGTCCTTAAGGTTTTCCCAGTCAGAAAGGAGAGAGAGCTCACTCTTCAAAGGAAAATCTCATCTAAAACAATTTTGGCAAATAAGGTTAACATGCCCACATTTTATTTCATGTATCTGAAATGTATTATTCTATCATTTTTCTCTCCATCTGTTGTGTTTGTCATCAAAGTCAACTGATTTTTCTGATCATAGTGAAACTGCAGCTGATTATTTTAGCCGCTCTAATCGTAGGGGAAGCATTGTTTCTGACTTGGATGATGTCAGCATTCCAGACATGAACAGTGTGAGTGTTTGATAATGTGCTGATGTCATCACTATAGGTTTACTAATGACTGTCCTTTTTCTTTGGGAAACGTATTAATATTCTAGTAATGCTTGCTGGTTTTAGTATAAAATGTTGCTAACAGTGCAGAATATTACATATATAAGACTTATTTAAAATATAGAATCCAACTTGCATGGTGTTCATCTTTTAAAAAGAAACCTCCAGCTAACTTGATTGTGTTGCAGAGTGTTTAACTTTAATATCTGTATACCAATGTCTAAATTTGCATGCAAAACTGTTCTTAATTGTAGATTGTCTTATTTACATACATTTCTTGAAACCTTTGTAAATAGTACTGTAATTTTTTAATGGCACTGAATATAATTGTATATATTCAAATTCCAATAACAAGTTGTCTGATGCTATGTTACAGACATACATGATATTCATTACAACCTTATAAATGACCGCATGGTTTAAAAACAACAGCAGAAATTCAACTGTAGTGTTCAGAGTATGGTTCCTGCTTGTCAGTTCATTTGCATTTGGATCACAAAATATATCTCTAAAGAGATTTCTGTAAATTCAAACTTCTATGCAACCTGGTTTTCATTTATTATGGTACATGCGCCTCCCCTTGATAGGTTTCTGTAGGGAAGAAGGTGCACAACATTGTATTTAATGGACTGAATCATAGCCAAAAATTGATAAAGGCATCAGTTCAAGGCTATGCTTCTCAGGTGTGACTTCAGCTGAGCCTTCCTCTTCCTCTATACCAACTGCCATCAAAGGAAGGGGAAGCAGCACTTAGACACCCCTCCGTCATGCCTAGATGCAGCTACTGCAGTGAACCCCTACTATGTACATGAAGCTAAGTTATCCTGTTATGTATTTAAACTAATGTTTTCTAAGATGCCTTAGGAAGGCTTTGCTCTGAAAGGTGTCATAAAAGTACTTAGAATGAATAAAATAATATATATAGGGCAAATGTTGACACAACACTCTGATAATTTACTCAAATGTTTACTCCATACTTTGGCACTTGAAACTCTGATTGTTGTTAATGAAACCTGATTAGCATTGATTGTGGTTGAGCTCAGGGCTTAATTCCTTAATGGTGATTAAGGCTAGGTTGGTAGGGCGAATTTGTGCATGAGAAGGGAAGGACTGGAATGAGAAAGGACATTCTCTGATCTGCTTCTGATCTCAAGAATCCCGGTTCTTCCTCTTGTTTATAAACTACCTCTTAAAGGAGCTGGGAGAAGACTGATGTTGTCTGAGAAAGTGAAAAACCAGATCCTCTGACTAATTTAATCAAGCTGGCATAGGAAACCAGATGGTGCAAGAGAACGTCTGCTAGTACCTCCCCCCAAAGAAAATGACAGACATATATCAGTTAGATTCATGATACCTGCGATAAAGTGAGATGATAAATCATTCACCAGTCATGGCCTAGCATCTGCTATTGCTCATACATAATTGTAAATCCTGGCTAGGATCAAGAGAGCTTTGTGCACTGTGCTTCTGATTCTCTTTCACTTTCTCTCTCTCATCCTTCTCCCCCTCCTTCCCTCCGCCCTCTCCTCCCCTGCTTTTCTGGTAGCAGTTGACATTCATGAAATGGCCACTTCAGTGACAGCTTTTGGGAAAGCATTGAAGTGGGAGGCTTAAGAGGGCTTGTGTGTGTGTGTGTGTGTGTGTGTGGTCCTTCAGATCACAGATGTGGAACAATGGTTCCCCAAATGTTACACTGCAGCTCCCATCAGTCCGCAAGGGCAATGGTCAGGAATGATGGGAGTTGCAGTATCATCCCTTCTTAAATCCTGGTCTGTCTTTGCATAAAATATCCAAGGCAGCTATAATAGGTACACTGGCTTTTGGGCAAATGATTCAAACTCTTGTGCTAAACGATGGTTTGCAAAGGCAAATATGTTTTCATTTGTTCAGAATGTAATGTATATCTAATTCTGGGAATTAGCTGCAAATTTAGTGATAAGTATATACGGATAATTTCATTTTGTTGGTTATCCTCAGCCATTCTTTCAGTCATAATGACCTCATCCAGATGTCCACCACTGTAAAAAGAAAACCCCACTTTCTTTGTATTTATTAGACTGACTATTGCGTAAGCTCACTGGAAAGGTATTTACAAAAGCCATAAATCACATTCTAATTCTTTTGGAGATTTTGTTCCACAACTGAAAGTTTGACTGCAAACGCCATTTTTAGAGATGAAGTGACATTGAGTGGTTGGTTACAATTGCTAGCTATTAGTTTGGTTCCCTATGTTTCCAGCACCTAGGGATTCAAGAAATTGGATAAATACTTTGAGATACCGTTAACATTCTGTTGGCTATAGAAACTGGAGATGCAGTCGCTACAGTCATTCAAAATGCATCATAGCATGCTAGATGTGGAGAAATAGACATTCCAACCTGACCAGCTCAGCGTTACAAGAAAATGACATATTCTTGCAGCCTGCCAGTAATACCTGTTAGCCTTGATAGTTCAGTTAACTTGCGTGATAGTATTTGCTGCCCTGGGCTCCTTTAGAAAGCAGAGAAAGAATGAACTTTTGATAATGATAATAAATATTTGAACATGTGAAGAAAATTTGTGGAGCTAAATCATAATGTTTTGCTTCATAACTTTCTAAGAGGGTTAAAACCTTTTTAAAAACGAAAGCTTAGAGTCAGAGGTCTCTGTTGAGGCTTTTGATGAAGGCTTTTGCAGGTGCCATTGTGCCTCTGGGTGCTGCGTTAGCAATCCCTGAACTAGAGGATCATGAATTAAAACCATATGCCACAAAACAGTTTTTCATAAGTTATGTTTCCTGTTTATAATGCGTACAACAGATTACAAATGAAATAGCATTGTCTGTATTGTCTGTCTTGGTGGCAACTGCAAATAATGAAAAACTATTCTCAACCCATTTACTACTAAACTTTTATTTTGGAAAGCAGAAATGGAGAAAAATGTTCGCAGATGAGTAAAGCTCAATGTTTAAAATATATTACTTAGTGAATTTCCAGTAGTCAATACACTTCATTTAAAAAACACACAAGCATTACTGAAATTACATTCATCAAATTTACTTTCTGTGCTTGGCTTGACAAAAGGCTAACCTAAGAAGCAACTTGTTGTCAATAAGGCATTGTGTTAATTTGTAGGGCTGATACTACCTTGTGCAGAGCTGTTGATTCTGAAGTTTTGTTAAATGCAAATGCAATATTCAGGTGGAGGAAAAGGAAGAAGGAAACTTTCATTGTATAATACTGTTTCAGCTTTGTGTTGACATGGATGAAAAAGGGATCTCAGTAATTCAGATTTCTAATACAAAGAAATGGTTCAAATTTAATATTAACACTTTTATTTTTTTCCAGCTGGAAGAAAAGAGTGACAGGCCATATTCTGACTTGTATACAAGGGTGAGTGTTTAAAGAGATTTGGACAACTTTAAAACATATCAAAGTCTGCATACTGGTGCCAATTCAAAAAAGCATGGTAGGATATCGGGAGATTCTCCAGCTTCTTGTGTGTTGCTGATTGTCTTCATTATACTTTTTCAACTGTTTGTTTGACAGAATATGGTGTAGATCATCTACTTCAGCTGTGATCATTGGGTCTGATGGGATTTGCAGTCCAAAATATCTAGAGGGCACCAGACTGGAGAAGATTACAAATAATGTTATGCCAGATCTATAACCCATTTGTCTAATAATAATATATATTATTTATACCCCACCCATCTGGCTGGGTTTCCCCAGCCACTCTGGGTGGCTTCCAACAAAAGTATCTTGTAAGAAGATAATTTTAAAATAAGTTCTACTCCTGTAAGAGCTGTTTGATGAAAAAGAATATTTGAATAGACTGAACTACCGTATTTTTCGCCCTATAGGACGCACCGTCCCATAAGGCGCACCTAGTTTTTTGAGGGGGAAATAAAGGAAACAATTTTTATTTTCCCCCCAGGCGTGGGGCTGGGGTGGGGGAAGCCCAAGCTTCCCCAGCCCCCAGAACAGGCAACTCTCCGCAAGCCGCGGGAGCCCAGTGCAGGGCTTCCGCGCCTTGCCGAGAGCAGCGCGAAGTCTGGGCGCGCTGAGCTCAGCACGCCCAGTCTTCGGCACGCAGGCAACTCTCCGCAAGCTGCGGGAGCCCAGCGCGGGCTCCCACGGCTTACGGAGATCTGCGCAAAGCCTGGAGAGCGAGAGGGGGCGGTGCGCACCGACCCCTCTCGCTCTCCAGGCTTCAGCGAAAGCCTGCATTCGCCCCATAGGACGCACACACATTTCCCCTTCCTTTTTGGAGGGGAAAAAGTGCATCCTATGGGGCGAAAAATGCGGTATATGGGGACTTAGAAAAGTTTATCAATCTTTTCAAGGAAATATATTACAGTATTTGGAAGTTTTTAGTACAGGCACCTCCTCGTTTACACAGGGGTTACGTTCCCATGTACCGCACTTATACGTGAAATTGTGTATAGTGGGGAACGCCATCTAAAACGCCTGTAAACACCTTCTAAACCTCTGGAAACCCTTGAAAAAACAAACAGCACTTCTCAGACTGGCATGAATGGTGGCAGTGATGGCTCTCAGTCTTCCTCATCACTGAAGGATAATGCAGAAACAACGACAAAGGGGGTAAATCAGTACCTCAAAGTATCTGGCTTGCAATTGCAAGGGCTCTTGGGATTGCTAGTTGTTTTCCTGCTCTTTTCATGCCATTTTTGCAGTTTTCCTCTTTTTGTGCCATTTTTGCGCCTTTCCAGTTTAATTTGATTTATTTAATTATTTCCTGGTGCCACACATAGACACGGTCATACGCAACTCAAACGTGCACAAGTGGGGAGACACTTGAATGTTGAAATCTGAACTTCATAGTGTATTGAGGAAAGATCTTGAAATGTATGGGAGTTTTCATGCCATGTTTTTCTTTCTTTAGCCAGCGTCTCGCAATTCAGCGACTCCTTTGAGTGGAAACTCATCTAGACGAGGAAGTGGAGATACTAGCAGTCTAGTGGATCCTGATACCTCCTTAAGTGAATTGCGGGTGAGCAGACTTTCATTGGCTAAAAATAAAAGGTTATCCTCCTTCATTTGGAGAGGAAGAAATGGACATTGAATAAGACTACAAGACAGAATCAAAGCACCTTTTAAAAAGCAATCAGGGGTTTGGGTTTTTAAATTTTCCTTTGATTACAAAATGCTTGCTGCGGGACTGTGTGGGATAAAAAATTAATAACATACCAGGCACTTTGGTTTATATGTAACACTGTGCCAATGCTGTTTGAAAAAGAAACTAAACTCCGCAGCAGTCTTACTCTTGGTTACATGGGAAAAGAAGAGGGGGAGGCAAGGAGGAGCACGTCCGGCACATTGCTCAAGCTTGTGGAGATTTCATCTGTGTAATTAGTGCTAAATGTAGCAGTTTAGCATTTAAAACATCACCTATTGATCAGGCTTCTTATTCTTAACCATCCCTTAGCAGTCTGTGAAAGAAGTAGGGAATTATGTGTACTGTTTAGAACTGGCTGTAATTGTTTAGCTGTAAAGATTTTAGTTCATATTAATGGGTATATTTTTTTCAGTATAGTATCCAAGATAAGATTGTGATGCCTTTTATATGTATGTTTCAAATTAGATTGTGTGATACTTTGAGGGCGTGAAGTTTCAGTAATAAAACATTTCAGTTTACAAACATTATACATTATTTCCCCCCGTTTTTTTAGCTTTATAGAAAGCACTGAATTAAAAATGCACATATGTCAGTCAAGTTAGAAAATTAAGAATACAGCAGTAATTTAATTTGTTCAAGTGAAACACACACTAATCTAAATTCCTGGGCTTTAAGCACAGAGTTCAACAGTAAGTTCTTTGCAATGTTCTTATGCAATGGTTCATTCCTATGTCCTGCAGGATATCTATGATCTTAAGGACCAGATACAAGATGTAGAAGGGAGATACATGCAGGGACTTAAAGAACTAAAGGTATAGCAGGGTTTCTCCCAAGCATGCATTCTCTATGGTAATATGTCAGCAATTAAGTTTTTGCCAGTTTCACTAACAGAGCTTTACTAACACCTCACTTTTTAAAAGTTCTTGCCTAACATACCAACTAAAAATTGGTTCATATTTTAATATATATATATCTGCCAATGAATTTTTTCCTTATGTTTAAGTGCTTAATGTGTTATGTGAAAAGGCAGTGAACTTTCCGTTCCACTGAAGTAAATAATATAGGAAGTTTAGCAGATGCTTTTGTATTATTTGCAGATCCTTTTTTTTCCTTTTAATTAGCAACTGGATATTACCAATAGTATGATTAGGGATGGGGGGCACAGCTGAGTTTCAAAATAATAATATTGGACCAGAAATTTATTCCAAGAAATAATTAAACTCCCACTTTCATAGACTGTAAAAACATGTAAAAGTACGATTTATTGTTTTATTTTTTGGCATGCTAAAAACAAACACAGAAAACTTTGGTATGATCCACTGAGACACATATAATCTATATATCTTTTTGCCTCACGTGGATTACCAGCTTGGATTAAAAATTACAGAGGCAACTCCTATTCAAACAGTTATAGAGACTCCTCTCAGTCATGGAATTCCTTTTCACTAGAAAACATACAAAGGTCAAACCTAAGTGTCTTCTTAGAATGCTTACTATACTTCCAAAGAATTTTTGGTAACCTAGCCAATTAGCTCAGGTTAAAGATATTTCTACAAGCTGGTATAAAATGGGAGCCCTTTCCCTGGTTCTGTGAATCTTAACAACTACTTTGTGTAAAAATCTGTTTTCCATTTTAACCTAATCATCCCAGTTACCACTTTAGACATGGGAACCTCTCTACTGCAGGAGCTGCTGCATGGCTTGATAATAAATGGCAACATTTACATATCACAATTTTATCATGAACTTTTTTTCCCTAGCAGGAGCAACAAACCATAAATCCTGACTTAGCATTACATCTGAACCAAGAGCTGTAGTTTAGGTCAAAACATACCATGATGTAAAGCCAGGATTTGTCCTTGGCTAACTGTTTGTGGTGTGTTTAGGCAAAACAAACCTATAGTCTCCCATTTCACCCATTTGGATGTAACACTGAGCCAGGCATCATGGCTTGTTGTTCCTATATGCACTAGGGGAATAGCAAAGTGGAAGTGATTTCTGCATTCACAACAAACCATTAATTGTGGTTTACTGTGATGTGCAAAGTGAACCATTGTGGAAACTTCAACCAAAAGGTGCAGGTAACTGGAGATTTTGCCTATAATATAAATCCTATTGCAGCTTAAGGTTTTTCATTATCTCTCATGCAGAATAACTGATAGTTCAATGGTTGGGTTCCAAAGAGCTAGCATATCCACTTGTTTGCTTTTATCTTTTAATCTTGGTGAGATAATTATCTTCTTTTACACCTTACCCTTGTCTGTACTAGCTTCATTGTATGGTGCTATATAAAGCATGTCTGTAAAAAGCAATTGTAACTATATTCATCTGTAAGGGGGAAAACCCTGAAAATGTAGTTGGCAATACCTTTATTAGGACCAACCAAAAAGTCACAAAATTGTAGCAAGCTTCTGAAAAACCCACCATAATTAGATTGCAATATTGGAACCGAAACTATAAATCGACCACCTTGGTATAAAAAGTAGTATCAGTTTTGAGACATTTTGGTTGATCCTCATAAATGCATTGACTAGTTATGTGTTTTGAAATAAATTATGACACTGATTTGCCAACTCAGGCAAGTCCATTCCACTGTATTTTTGCAAGTTTTTCTATCTTAGTCGCCTCCCACCTGCATTCTTCTCTTGCCTTCCCATCTACTTTTTAGCTAATCACACGTAAAAATATGTCATCCCTGAATAGATACACCCATTAAATAATTATAGCGTGTACACACCTTGCAAAAGAGGAAAGTTCAGAGAACTAACATGATGCTTTTAGCCATAATTGTTCATGCTTTCCCACACTGTCTGCTTGTCTGTTTAGAGCAGAAATGCTTTGGGGCAGGGCTTGTCCTATTCTGCATTTCATTTGGCACTTTTGTAGAATTTGGTTTTGAAGTGAAGGCAATATTGCAATGCACCACAATATAGTTTAATGTTCTGTACTTCACAGGAAAGCATGCATGTAAAAATAAAATAATTGTATGTTTTAGAAGGAAATACCATCTTCAAAAATTGACTGATTTATAAGTCTAGTTCCCTGAGTGTATGCTAGTATTCCCCCCTCCCCATTTTTTTGGAGAGTGAATATTGACATGAACTGATTATATTGAGACTGCTTTAAAGCTGACATGAATTGCCTTTTTTGGATCTTACAATATTTCATACAAAGGTACAAGTGAAGATCCAGTGTAGTGTAATTGTGCTTCTCCATTCTCTCCTTCCTCCAACACCTCATGTGCCCCCAAAATCTGCCCCAGTGGATTGGGAACCCTCAAGCAGATCTGGGTCTGCAGGGGCTAGATGCAAGAAATGACCAGTTTCATTTCACTAGATGGGCTTAATTTTGCTTCACCCATAAATTACATTGTTAATGCCTTAAAAACTTCTTATTTATAGTAAGATGACCAGTGAGACCTGTAGCATAATGTTGAAGTGCAAACTCAACCCCCCGAGCGGGTTGCTCCTGTTCAGGGCTCCAACCACCCTGCAAAAGGAGCCCTGTAATGCTGTTTAGGCCTCAGGGTTGTAAATAATGCCTCCCTGCCCCCAAATGCTGTTAGCCCCAAACCCACGTATTTTATAGCAATGTAGCAGGAAAGATACAGCTCTGAAGCTAGGAAAAGCTTAACTCCCAATCTCCTCCTCCAAGATACTACATGCTATCTGGGACTTGAGTAGATCTGCTCCTGCTTTTTTCTCCAGTCTCCATTTTCCCTTTGGAGGGAGTTGTTGCAGGTTGTCTGTCAAAATGCTTGAGTTTGTTTGCCTGATGTGTCATCTTTTGACGTTACTCCTCCTTACCCTCTTCACTGCCATCAACGCTGTAAATTCACAGGTTCCTGACAGGTAGTTTAGAGGTGGTTGTTTAAATACTATTGTCTTTTAATTTACAAATTTATGTACTTCCGTGTACTAGGTCGTCCAAAGTATGTAGCAGCAACTCTTTTTTGAAAAAAAGTTACCCTGTTTCATCTCCAAACTGATAGCAGACTGGTTGAATGGCTTATTTAGAGGGGACTGTAACTTTTCATGTGGACAGGGAAAGTGTAGAAAAACATCTGCAAATAACGTTTCCTAACGGTAAAGCTCTGATAATATTGAATGTTCACTTACTTGGTTAAATAGCTGAAGTCTTACTTAACTGGTACATCTAGTATTAGAAATACACTATAGTGTCCTTAGTTATCTGTGAACGGAAGTTTGGTTTTGTGAGGTCTGTGTAATCTGAACTAAAGTGAAGCTGAGACTTTAGCCCATAAAGGTTTACGCCCAAGTGCATTGGTTAGTCTAAAGTGCCACAAGACTTTTTTTGTTTTCCTGAGCAGATTAACACACTACCTCTCTGTAAATGCTTTTCTTTAGGCTTTCATATGTTAAAAAAATAGTTGCTTGGGTTACTGGCATTCTGCTAGAAGAATAAGAGAAAAATAAGATATGTGATTAACATTTTTCTATAGGTCCCTATTTATTTGACTTCTGCAGATTTATTATTGGGTTTTATTAAAGACAGTAAAGTCAGTGGAATATGAAACAAAAGTCTGTTTGCTACTTTAGCAAAATTGTATTATGTATTTCTAATGTTTAGTACGATGAGTAAAATTAAGTTTAATAAGGTCTTACATTATGTATCTAGGAGTCACTTGCTGAAGTTGAAGAGAAATTTAAAAAAGCAATGGTTTCTAATGCCCAACTGGATAATGAGAAAAATAACTTAATCTATCAAGTGGATACTCTAAAGGATGTCATTGAGGAAAGAGAGGAGCAGTTAGCAGAGTATTACAGAGAAAATGAAGATAAGACAAAGGTATTTGTATTTTCTGTATTATTACTAATAAAGACTTTGCATTATTAGCTAGATATTAAGAAGCTTAAGTGTGTGTTTCTGCATGCCTGTAATTTGTTAAACAACTTGGTCTCTGTAATTTTAATGAAGATGAAAACTTTACAAGGTTAATTTTGTTGATGGGCTCACAAGTAGGAAAATGTATTGATTAAGACCATTGAATGTTTTTCTGCAACTTACAAATAGATTGGTTTGCATTCAACCATTTTCAGGCTTATTTATGCAATTACCTATCCTGGGGCAATCCAGGTCATTGCTTGTTTAATCTTAGATTAGTTACTTTCCATCCCTTTGAACTATCAGCAGTCTGTCCTCTTTTAAACTAATTGGCAACACCGTCCAAGTTTTCAGAATGAGAGGTTCTTTTCAAACGGCAGCAACCAGTTGTCTGCAAAGTTGAAAGCTGCTCTGGTCCTTAGCTGCAAGCAAAGGCTTAAGGCACTAGTAACTGCATCAGTAAAGAGGTTTACTTGCAGCTACGTGCAGAACTTGATTATCATGCTTTCTTCAAACTTCCCTAACCAGATACCCACCAAATGTTTTAGACTAGATGGGAGCTGTGTTCCAAAACATCCTGAGGGCAACAGGTTGGTGAAGACTTCACAGGCTCACTAGAGCATCTTTTTGAGGAGGCATCCAAGCCATTTTGTTTAGTGGGGTGGTCTTGAATGTAGAGGCGACTGAGGTGGACTGAGATCTGCCAGTAAACCATCTAGCTCCTGCAAGTTATTAGGCTCCCAGTTAAGGGTAGGCATAAGTTGTACTGGTCAGTTATCTTGACTGTGCACTGCTTTTGCTTTGGTCAGGAAGCATAATGGAGAACGCCTGTGGACAGAGCTGTAGGCAAGTTGCTTCCTTGTTTCCTCTTAAGACTTGGAATTTAGAAAATCATGATGCTCTGGCTTCAAAAAGGATTATACAAATGCCAGGCAGAGGTTAATGGCTATTAACTATAATAATTCAAAATGAAACCTCTACATTGATAATCGATCTGTCTCATTACTGGGAACAAGTAAGTAATAGGGTCACACATGTCCTATTTGTGGTTTTCCAAAGAGATCTGGCTGGCCACTGTGGGACCTACATGAGCCTTAAACTGAGCCAGAAGGGCACCACTTAAGTTCTTAAGCTTGGGATCGTTCTGCTGCAAAAGATTCTGAGTGTGTGCTCTTTCTTTATAAATTCTGGATCCGGAGCATTCACCAATAATAAATAAATTTAAAAATAGCCCACCTATTTCAGGAGTCAGCCCACCCCTTAAGAGAGTAGTGTTGGAGAACAGACAGAGCAGCTAAAACAAATCTATACTCATATAAGCTAATTCCATTTTTGTGAATCAGCCCAATTAAATAGCAAATAATTATACTATTAATGTTCCTATCATGCTTATTTCATTAACTAATCTATAATATGCTTGGACTTTAATTTTCAGCTGCTTAATTTATATTTCCTTAATACAGGAGTTGGAAAGGCAGAAACATATGTGCACCGTTCTGCAGCATAAGATGGATGAACTTAAAGAGGGTCTTCGCCAGAGAGATGAACTAATAGAGGTACATGTTCATACTTGGCAAATAACTTGCATTCAAGATAAAATCTGCTTTTTCTGTTGTCTAAAATGCTTTCATTCGGGAAAGACTGCAGCATGTGCTGTTTCTGGCACTTGGGTGCCAGTTTATAAAGAGCTAGAGCAGTGTGCTGGGATCAAAAGAAGTCATGACACCATCAGACAAAAAGCAATGTGTCACGTGTTCCCTGTTTGGGAGCACATATTCAGAGTCTGGCTCATCAATGACTTTTGTCAATGAGCTTTTCAGCCCTACGAGTTGGTACTGTCCATCCATTGCTTAAACAGTATTTTTGTTTAGGTATGCTATGCTGTTATGAACTTGGTAGCAAATATAGTTTTAGCATTTAAGCAGAAGTCCTTTCACAGTAATATGTTTGAGTAAAATTAACTTTGGTTTGTTGGGCTTAGTAGTCGCTTTAAAGCTGAATGGCAACATAGATTTATGCCTAAGCTTGTGGTTCCAATGCAATCAATGTCAGTTGTACAGTGTACTTCGATGTAATATAGATCTTATCCTAAAGCTATTCACAGTTTTATTTAACAAAGGGGAGAGAACCTCTTAGCCAAACCTTTATTCACAAAACCTTCATCTTCTGTGTTTCATTGACTGCCTTACTGACTTCCTCGTATCTCCTTGTAATTTCCTTTACTTGTCTTTTCCCTTCTTTTATTCTTTCCCCTGTGTTTACTGCAGGAGAACCAACGCATGCAACAGAGAATAGAATCTATAACCAAAGAGGTGTTTGACCTCCAGGAAACAGTTAATTGGAAAGATAAAAAAATTGGGGTATGAGATGAATACTGAGGTGAAGAGTGATTAGGAATAGACTGGTATAAGTTGGCAGCGGCATTGTTGATGGTTCCAGTGTTGAATTGGGTGTTGCAGATAGAAGTATTTCATACTGAATATTTGAGAGTAAATAAATACAGCATGCAGCTTGAACCTAAAACGTCATGAATTAGCAGATTTTGAACATAAAGATAAACATACTCAAGCACTGCAGTGATTAAATCCAGTGTTATAGCTAGATTCTAGTACAGTTATTTTGGATTTGGATGATAGGCCTGTTCTAGACCTTTCGTTGCACTGATTAAAAATAGAGCTTTGAGGCAGCCTCAAAAGCCTTTACTGTCTAAATACTTAAGCATTCAGATAGGGCATAAAAACAATTTTGCTTGGTTGGGCACACACATACGTATGTATTAGTCCAGAAGAAGTTAAAGGTCATTGAAGTCAATTGGACTTGTAACTTAATACCCACTGATTTCATTTAAACTGTACGCCATTCACATATGAATCATATAAGAAGGCGTCATGTATAGAAAAAGGTGCTGTGCATCTGCATGGCTACTCAGTCCTTCCCCTGCCATCCCTGTGTTGAGCACTTTGGCCTTTCCCTGCAGACATCCATGATGCCCTTCATGCAAGTAATATGCAAAATGGGTGTATACGAGTGTGTGGTGTTAGAGATTCTGAGACTGACACTATAAATTTGAAAAGTGTTACAACTTGTTAGTGCAGTAGAACCTTGGTTCTCAAACTTAATCCGTTCAGGGAGTCTGTTTGACTCCCGAAACCATTCCAAAACCAAGGCACAGCTTCCGATTGGCTGCAGGAGTTTCCTGCACTCAAGCGGAAGCCGTATCGGACATTTGGCTTTTGGAAAACGTTTGCAAACTGGAACAATTACTTCCAGGTTTTCGGCATTCAGGAGCCAAAACATACAAATACCAAGGTACGACTGTAGTATAAAAACTGGCCTATAGCATAATCGAAAGCTGCCAGGGCATAGATTTAGAGTCTGTTGGACACTATTTTCTCTCTAGGATTGTTTCTATGGATCAGATCTTGCAAACTACCTTTTCCACATGTGAAAATATTTTAAAATGAGATTCCATAAATAGGATCCTGTTTGTTAGTAATCTACTTTGGATGCAATCTCCCAAATTTATAGGAAATTCTGCATTCAAGTAACTGAAAAAAATCTCTCATTTGGTTATTAACTTCTCCTTATGGTGAGGGAGGGCCTAGTACCCATTTTTTCCCCTCTAGAGGATGCTTAACCTCTGAGCAGGCACAATACAGAGTCACTTCTTTCATATATGAATATCTTCCCATAAAAAGCCCTTGCTCGTTTCCTGTTGAAAAAGTTGTATTGTATTGCAGGAATGGGTATCCATGGTCCTTTAGATGTTCTTGGATTTCCTCCATCCTTGTTCACTGAGCATGCTGTTTAGGCATCCAGCAAGAGCTGGAGGGCCACAAGTGCCCCATCTCTAGTGTAACGGATCAGTACAGCTCACTGTATCCACCTACAACACAATTGGCCGTGTTTGTTTACATAAAATGTTATGCTTGAATAGACTGCAAAAATTAAACATGCTTTATCTCTGATCTTTCAAAATCCAAATGTTTTTGGAACTATGGGATTGTTGAACTCATTCAGCTTGGCTCAAGCACTAGGCAGAAAGCCTAAGGTTACTTTATTAAAATAGACATGAATTGTATTTATAGTTTAGTACATAACATGGAATCGCTGAGATTTTTTAGCATTTCCCAGGTCTGTTGTAATGCCGGGGTGGTGGTGAATATTTATGCCAAGCATGAACTTCTGTGGCAAACACAGGACTGTGCACGACTTTCTTTTCTCCTTTTTGCCTCACTTTTTGTTCAGCTAATTATCTTTTATTTGCAAGAAATCTTTCTTACCTATCGCACATTCTCTCTCTATCCTGTTCCTTTCCGCTACCTGCCTGCACCCAGGCCCTAGAGAGACAGAAAGAGTACTTTGACTGCATTAGGATTGAGCGGGATGAGCTCAGAGATGAGCTGGCTGACCTGAAGGAAACAATGAAGACAGGAGAGGTACGTTAGCTGTAGCAGCACTTGGCAATGTCAACTGCTGGATGAAGCCATAGTCAGTGTGTTGGAGAGGGACATATCATTACTTCAGCATGCCCCTTTTCCACTGAAGCTAAAGCATGAACAGGAGCAGTGGTGCTGCTGCTTCTTGCAGCGTCTACTGAGCAAAGCGTTCACCAGTTAACAGTCTCTAAGAGAAGCTTATGTTTATCTTGTTTTTTTTTTTCCAGAAGCATGGATTAGTTATCATCCCAGATGGCACTCCAAATGGCGATGTCAACCATGAACCAGTAGTTGGTTCAATAACCGTTGTATCGCAAGAAGCTGCTCAAGTCTTGGAATCCGCAGGAGAAGGACCACTAGGTAAATTTACAGAGAACCACTTTCTTCAGAATGTTGACTTTCATTTTCAATGTGTATAGATAAGAATCAAGTAGCTTAGGCCCCCTCCCACATTTATAAAGAGTTTTACTTGTTTTTGAATAGATGGAACTATTAGTTCTGTGTGAATTACATAGTTGCAGCAGTCTTGGAATCTGTTCAGAGATGATATGGTATTTATAGATGCACTGTATGTACCTATATAGCTTACTAAAACGATAAATAAAGCAGTATCATGTGGAAATGAATGTCAGAATTCAAAATGTGTGCAAAAAGCAACAATTATACTCCATTGAATATTAGTTCAGTGGACATTACAGCACTGTGTGCTAGGGTCTATGTCTTTAAAAAGAGTCATTGCCATACTTTCAGCTATCATGTGAAAAGTACCAAATATGGAATTGTTAGTTTAGTTGCTATTCAATTGTAGTATGTCCAATCCTTCATTCTTGAAAGCAAGTCTCTTAGGTCCAAATAAGTATCATTTTTAAAAAAACTTAATACACAATTTTACACTTTTTGAAGTTCTTCTTACTGACCTTGCTGTTTCTTAATGAAATTTCAAATGAAATTCTGTTCATCCAAGAGAGTTCTTCCTTTTAACCTTTTTTGTTTTGCTAAGCTTCCAATGGAAGGAATTGGAATTGGAATTTTCTAACTGAATTGTTTGTTTCTTTTAGATGTTAGGCTACGAAAGCTAGCGGGAGAAAAGGAAGAGCTATTGTCACAGGTAAAGTCTCTCTCCCCTTCCTGCAACCGAAAAGTGATTGAACGGCTCAGACTCAGACTCTTTTCAGTTTGGGGAAAGTTATTAAACAGTACCAGACCCTTGCTGTGCTTGAGCAACACTGCTTGCTGCTGAAAAACTTCATGCTTAATGTTTCTTGCAGACCTTCAGAGATTGCATGTACTTTCATAGCTTTGCCTCATGCTCCAAAGAATAAATTAATGTTACAATCTTAATGTCATGAGAACTATGTACCCCAAACCCTGAGACTTAAACTAGAAAATATATACTTAAGCAAACAACAACCCTGAAATTAGAAGTGCTTGTAGCATTTGTCTGTCACTAGGATTCTCTTTCCACCCCATTGAAAAACTGTCTCAATATTTCCTTGCTGTTGAATGTTGGTCACTTAAGGTCACTCATTGCTACTGGTGGAAACCTGTGATGATATTATTATTTAAAGAAGTCCACTCTTCACACATATCCACAACTAAGTTGCTATTCTCGTAAAGGTAAAGGGACCCCTGACCATTAGGTCCAGTCGTGGCCGACTCTGGGGTTGCGGCGCTCATCTCGCTTTTTTGGCTGTGGGAGCCGGCACACAGCTTCCAGGTCATGTGGCCAGCATGACTAAGCCGCTTCTGGTGAACCAGAGCAGCGCACGGAAACGCTGTTTACCTTCCCACCGGAGCGGTACCTATTTATCTACTTGCACTTTGACGTGCTTCCGAACTGCTAGGTGGGCAGGAGCAGGGACCGAGCAACAGAAGCTCACCCTATCACAGGGATTCGATCAAACTGCCGACCTTTTGATCGGCAAGCCCTAGGCTCTGTGGTTTAACCCACAGTGCCACCGACACATACTGTGCAATTATTTTAGGTTAAAAATAGTTACTATGAACTGCTTCTGGAAGCAGTATACGATGACCATAAAAAGAAAAATGGTTGTAAATGCCAGTAATACACCTTATCAAGTATAAATAGACAATATTGAACTACTCACAGAATGCTATATTTTCATTTCAGATTAAAAAAATGAAATTACAGTTGGAGGAAGAACGGCAGAAATCCTCTGGAAATGATGGCACAAATTCTAATTTAACGGGATTGGAAAACGGTTCAGATTTGCAGTTTATTGAAATGCAGAGTATGTATATTTTCATCCTTCAATTCTGTATGGCATTTCTACTTTTGAAGAGTGCACATGGTAGGAACATTCATGCCTGAACGTTTTTCTGTTGCCACTTCCCACATAAATAGCAAAAGATAAATATATAGAATACAGTAAAATGCAGTAGATGGGAGCATAAGGTGACCTTGGCTTAAATTCCTGGAATTTGTTTGATTAATCTTCTTGCTTAAGCTGCTACAGATTTTGAGAAAATTAAATGAGAGTAGGAACTCTTAGATTGTTTGTAGCATAGTTCAATCCCTGTTTGTCTTTGTGGTTTCTCTGCAGTTACACCTATGGGATCTGCATGTGTGCAGAGCAGCATTTCAGAAACATCTTGAGCAGGGGTAGTCAACCTTTTTATACCTACCGCCCACTAATGCATCTTTCTTGATGGTCAAATTTCCTTACTGCCCACCAGTGCTCGATGGAAGGAGGATTCAATTCAGCTTGTGCCATAGTACCCCCTACCACCCACCTAGAACCCAGAAACACCCACTAGTGGGCGGTAGGGACCAGGTTGACAACCCCTGGTCTAGAGGTTTGCAGAGCTTGTAGTCCCATGGCTAAAGCAGGGAACCCTGTGTCTCTGCATTGCTCAAGAGTGGGACCAAGAATCTCTGCTCATTTCCCATGAAATTTTTGGATTATTGTTCAACAAAATTTGTACATCACAAAGTGATGTAGTAGACGGAAGCAAAAGGAGAAATATAAACATATCTTGTAGAATAAGGTGATTATTCAGTAATGAATTACTGAAGTTGAAACCTGCAAGTTGAATTTCATCTTCCAATGGCTTTAAGTCCATCCTACATCACACATTACATTTTATCTACATGTTTGTAATGTGAAGATTGCAGTTGGTCAAATATGCACACCCTGAACCCACAGAAGTCAGTGAATTTCCTACAATGTGTACACACGGTCTGTGTCATCTTTACAATGTCTGCTACGTATACTGTCATCTGTACCCACCTATTCATATATAGTAGGTACAGCTCAGTCAGTGAAACATGAGACTCTTAGGGTCGTGGGTTCAAGCTCCACAGGGAGCAAAAGAGTTCTGTAGTGCAGGTGGTTGGACTAGATGAGCCTCATGGTCCCTTCCAATTCTATGAATTGTTGAATGAAGTAATCTTTGGACCCTAGTGAAATTATACAGTGCTAGGTACTTTTAGTAGATTTGGAGTGTAATCTAGCCATTTGAATTTGAAAATGTTTATTTGTATTCAAAATCATTTCGCCTTATGTTAGGAAACATCCCTTTTCATTTTACTTTAGTGCACACTCCCCACAATGCACTTGGACCTGATATAGTTACTTTAAATGAGATAGGGTTTCAAGAGTGAAGATCTACAGTGGTAGGAAGAAATAGGTTCAGGAGGTTTAACAGAAGACTACAGTTGAGGGAATATTTCATTTAAGAGCTAGTACCAATGAGGGCTTCTTGGGTGGCTTTTAACTACATTTTACTCAGAGCAGACCTATTGAAATTGATGAACACAACTAAGGTGGGTCTACTCTCTCAGTAAAATTTATTTTACTACCATCCCCATTCATTCTCTCTGAAAGTAGCATCCTTTAGCAGGACTTACAACACATGCTGGATGAGGTGTGATTTAGGAAATAAACTCTCCAGATTAATTTCTGCAAAAGGGTAGCCTGTTACAACTTTTCTCAGATCAGGTCTTAAAGAAATTGACCCTCAAACTTCCGAAGGACTGCTTATACCCCACCCACATCTAATATTTTAAATATTCTTGATCATTATGTAACCAGTTGAGTATATTTTCTAATCGCCAACCCATCACTACACTCAGAATGAAGAGCCCATTATCCAGGAAAGCTGTGTTTTATTTCAATAAAATGATCGGCTAAAACTCTTTAGATTTTGAGGGATAAAAAGCCATAGGAAATTCACTCCTCAAAGAAGTCTATTTTATGTACTGTGTGCTATCCTTTCATCAAATAACAAATTGTACAGGTACGTTCAACATTTCCTTTCCTTTTTTAGCCAAAGCAGAAAAATATAATCTTCGCTGACATTTGATTTAAATGTTCAGTTGACAGCCATTAAATGCTTCATTTTCTTGTTTCTAGGAGATGCCAACAGACAAATAAGTGAATTCAAGTTTAAGCTTTCAAAAGCTGAACAAGACATAACTACTCTGGAACAAAATGTAGGTACCTTTTTGTTATACATATTTCCTAAACTTTTATTGATTCCACATACATGTATTATGGTCTTGTATAATAGACTGCAGAAACTATGTCCTCCACGTCATAATTCAGTAGAGCCAATGTGACAAATTATCCTGAGGGCTTCATGCTCCTTTAGAGAATTTGAACCTGAGTTTCATCCTTTCAGAGGACCAGATCTATTAGGTATATGAGTTGGTGGGTGTGAACTTTGCAAGAAAATAGCCACTTGTATTCTAAGCTAACAAAATGAAAACACAGCTATATAGTGCATGTGAAAATTGGTGGGGAACAGGTACACATTTTAAAAATAAGGCTTTTACAGCCTTGTAAAAGTGATGTTTTTAATGTTTGGTGCTTTTATATTTGTGGGAAGCTGCTCAGAGTGGTTGGGACAAGCCTCATGGATTGGTGGAGTACAAATAATAAAATTATGATTATAAAAGTGCTTGGTAGAGTTGAGCCTAGTCTCACCGTTCACATAAATTCATTGGTACCCTGTAAGATTCTTGAAGATTCCATTCAGCACATACTGGCCACATTCAGACAATCATTACCTGATTTCCTAAGTTTTATGATCAATACCTTGTGAACAAGCCAAGATATTAAGCTGTTGGCTTAATATTCTGGCATGTTTGACACAACAGGGAGCCACAGTTTAACTGAAGACTTTCCTGCCTTGTTCACTCGCATGAAGACGTCAAGCAGGCTTGTTCAAAAGTCGACTGATGAAGCTGAGACATGATAGTTTGAATACAGCAATGAGAGTTGGCTGCCTCAAGGAAGGCAGTAAAGGTGACATGTTTTGTGCCCTTTTAGTGCTACATAAAGGAAGGTCACAGATAAAGGGGGCATTCCTTGTATACGGGAAAATGAGTGAATCATTGCTTTAAACCTGTTTGGTCTTTTAGGTTGTAAGACTTGAAGGGCAAGTAGTAAGATATAAAACTGCTGCTGAGAATGCAGAAAAAGTAGAAGATGAACTCAAAGCAGAAAAGAGAAAACTTCAGCGAGAGGTAATTGTCTCTTTCACACAGTGTGAAAAAGTTCTAAGAATTTAAATATAGGAGGCAATAACATTTAAAGATGGCGGGAGGTTATTTTTATATAAAAGTCTTTAAAATATTATTCCTGTTGACTGTCTATGGAAACGGGAGTGGTGAGCACGGACATTGTCATGTGGGATTTTTTGGACTGTTATATTAATAAAAAAGTTAGTGGTTACTGAGGAACTATATAGAGAGATCAATCTTCTGCTGTTGCAGTATGCTTCCCTATGTTTAAAATCAGAATGTGGTTACTGCATACTCATGTACGATGGCTTGTTATTAAACAATAGCCAGGGGGTTCTCTGGTGGAAAAAATACTAAAGACTGAAAATCACAACAGATTACTTCTTTAAACCTGTGTGTGCTCTAATGAATTGAGAAAATGTGTCCCAATGTTAATAGAAAAAGTGGTTGTGCTCCCCTTCCCTTCTTAGAGCTTTCCTCTCTACTGGGGTTTGATGCCATAATCAATCATAGCTTGGAGAAGTGAGGAGGCAGATGGAAGGTTCTGCACATACATCTATGCCCCTCTTTGCAGTTAAGATATCCTTTCAGGTTCTACATCATTGCTTTAGATCCAGTTTATCCACCTACCTTTCTTTGGATTCAAATTTTGGATTCAAATTTAGTCAAACTGGCAGAGTTTGTAGATGGGTTGTTTTTGAGTAACTACATGGCCTCTGGACCTTCATTGTATAAACATGTTTTTAAACTGCACCAAAGCTCCACTAAAGTTTTAGTTTTTCCTTTGTTTTTTGAAACTGCATTGGCTTGATTTAAAATTCTTTAGTCCTCTCAAACTGTTGCACTTACAAGGTACTGGCTTTTTCTTTTCAGTTAAGAACAGCATTGGACAGGATAGAAGAGATGGAGATGACCAACAGCCACTTAGTAAAACGGTTGGAGAAAATGAAGGCAAACAGAACTGCACTCCTATCTCAACAATAGAAAGAAAGTTTAAAAAACTGCACTGCTCCTTGAAAACTTGTCCCTAGCTTGTTTTAATACAGACTTTCTTTGGCACAAACTTTGAACATTGAGTTGTTCAATGAGTTTTAGTTTCATAATTAAGTGGCAAATATTTTGTAACAAGTGGATGAAAAAAAAAACTTTGAATTTTTATGCGATTGAGTTTTGCAGCTTAATTCTAGAGTCTTCTCGAGCCCAATGCTGTTATTTCACAATTGTGAAATCAAATGTATTCATTGAAACTCTCTTCCACTGCTTTAATAATGCTTGGTGCTTGGAGACAACTGCATGAATTCAAGTGAATGCTGCATTACAAATTAACCAATTATGTGCTGAAGACATCACATGGCACAAGTGCCTTCTATATGGTGCAATGTAGACGTCAATGATTAAGATAACCTTTGGAATCATAACATTTATTTTAAGATACCTTTGGGGGTTCTATGTTTGCTAAACTTTATACATTTTGATGGAAAACACTTTTGTAAAATATTTAAATTTATATAAAATAGAAATGACTGTATAAAATTTGCTTTATTGCATGGGTGATGCACAACCTGAGTTTAGACTTCCTAAAGTACTATTCATAACTACTCTTTATGGTAAGAGTGGTGACTTACGTTTTGCTGTACATTGTAAACCTGGTGTTGGCAGCTGCTCAAGCGTGGAGTGGAACACTGGGTGGGTAGGAGAAATGTGGTGAAGGATATAAACAATAAATGGACAATTTGCTTAACAAAATGAACACTGAATGTGTCTGGGTATGTTTTTACTTTAGTTAGCAACTTTTCATTGTGTTAAGCATTTGCAATGTTAACTTAAAAACAAATGTGTGACACAAACAGCTTCACTACATTATGAAATTGTAACACAGGTTAGGTACCTGACCATGGATGTGGCTAACCTTTTTATAAGAGGCTAAGTGTGTTCAATCAACAGTTGCAGATTTGCCAAATGTCTAGGGCTTGTTACATTGTTCTTGGGCTCACATAGATTAATTGACCAGGATCCTGGAATCACAGAAACATTAGTCTGCTGTTATCTAGCCCTTATACAGGTAGGTGCTTTGAGCATTTCCTGCCCCCTCACCTTGTTTCTTGCATTCAGAAGCAAAGATGGTAGTTCCTCGATTTTAATATGGTAACCTCTTCTAGTCCTGGATGACTAGCATTTAAGGATACTGCAGTCAGATTTTTGTATTTATCCAATCCATCCCCAAATGGACCTACATAATTCATCATTAGTTCATAAGATAAAGTGAAGAGGGCTCCGTACCTTTGTCTACAGAACTCTGAACTGGCTACCATGTCCACTTTTCAGCCACAGGTGGAAGCTTTAGTATTTGCTAGTCATCCTGTACAAAAGTTGCGTATTCTGGCATCTTGTAAAGCTGAACACTTCCTGGTCTGCAATTCAGTCACTTCTACAATTCTCAGTGATAACAGCACCACTGCAGGGAAAGCTGTGTAATAGGTACTGATCTATATATGTCTGTGTTCAGCATCTTTCAAACACTTTATACAAGTCTGGTAAATTAGCAAGCTGCAAAACGCTGCCATCTTCTGTGAAGTTTTTAGGAGGCAAAAGGTATGTCCGAAGAACTTTATAAAGCACATGTTCCACTGTCCATTTCCATGATCTCTTACCAGCTCCAGAGTCTTCAGTCTGCAAAGAAGTTTAAATAAAGCAGTTTGACTAAGGTTTTAGTAAATACTAATGTTGTGTTCGATAACACTGTGGCTAATGTATCACCTCCTTTTAGAGTTCTATGTATTTATTTGTTTCCCTATCTACTGCTCATTCAGCTTGTGAAATTTATACCAAAAGAAGAAATGGTCAGAAGCATGCACTATTAACATGAGGCTTAATTGTTCTGAAAGGATTATTCATTCTTATGTGCCACCGTTCTGGCAACAGGTGTTCTGTAAGCCACTTCTGAGCATCACTCTTCCTGATGACACCTATACTTTTCTGTTTGGAACCCTCGCTTGATCATTCTGCTAACGGCAATGACTGTCTCAGTGAAGGAACTCCATCCCCTCAGGTAGCACTTGGCTTATAACTAAGGATGAATATAGACTGAAATCTGTGGCATTCACAGTACTTGCTGTCCTTGGGCTTGCCAATCGGAAGGTAGGCAGTTTAAGTCTGTGTGCTCTGTCCCAGCTCCTGCTAACCTAGCAGTTTGAAAGCATAGTGACCCGAGTAGATAAATAGGTACCACTGCAGCGGGAAGGTAAATGGTTTTCCCATGCGCTCTGGCACTTGTCACGGTGTCCCGTTGCACCAGAAGCAGTTTAGTCAATGCTGGCCACGACCTGAAAAGCTGCCTGCGGACAAGCGCCAGCTCCCTCTGCCTGAAGCGAGATATATGCCACACCCCATAGTCAAGTGTGACTGGACTTAACTGTCCAGGGATCCTTTACCTTTAGCTGTCCTTTCTCCACCTCAGAATGTGAGAGCATGACCTGCCACTGTTGTCCCAGGGATTGAGACTCATTTCCCCTCATTTACTCTTGTGATCTTGATAAGGGCAAAGCTCTGCCATGTAAGGATCTTTGCCTATTAGAGATGCTACTTTTATTAACCTGATCCAACCTAAATGATAACGGGGTTTGGTAGCAGCATTTATATCCCTCCATACAAGGTGCCCTCAGAGCTCATAGTGCTCTCCCCAGCATTGACAGTGACAGATCCAGCATATTTAAAACATGCACTAATTTATCTTATCACCACATTTTCTAAAATTCCCCCGTTGACGGGGAAAGGTGGCTGCCACTAAGGCTGTACTTGTGCCACTTTGGTTTCATGAGGGAGGTAGTCCTCTTCAACTCTTTTGCCTGTAGTACTGCCTTCAACTCACTCTTTCCATTCCCAGCCCTAAATGCAAGATTTCAGAATGTAGTTTTGATACAGGGAAAAATAACAAATGAAGACTGTACCTGTTGAGTAGTAAGATCAGAGTCTTCCATTATATACTGTTTTCTAATGGAGTAGAACATGGCACATTCTTTACTCAAGGTATCAAAACATTCCTTTTCTTCATCCCAGTTTACCTGGAAAAGAAAATGTAACTTCAATAAATACAGCATGCCTACGGCAGTTACATATCCAATTGCAGCTATTTCTACATATGAAAATCTAATGTGAAGTTGGAGGCAAAGATCAGTCACATAGGAGGAAGTTTTCAGCAGCACTCTTGTAGGCAACTAGTATTGGCTCAATTGATCAGGACAGAAAATCTCCTTAATTCAGAACTGTTACTCAATTTTTTTGCAGCTAGTATAAGCACTTGAGTTTCACTTTAGACTGAGTTTGTGAGAAAAAGGAATGTGACTAAGCAAGTACCTAAGACTGACCCAACTGCATTAGTCAAAATGAAATAATTCTATGTAAATATGGCTTCACTAATTCATGTTGAATATTGACATACCTCTGTGGCCAAACGAAGAACAAACATAGGCAGCCCTTCCAGTGGAGGGACGTAATTATCTATCAGGAGTGGTAGTCCTGTAAGATTTCCCATCTGTAAATAGAATGTTTCTCCATTATTTTGATGCTTATTCTCCTATGTATACATCAATATTTGGTTCCTAAGCCAAGGACTACAAACATGGCAAAATCTACCTGCTGTCTACTTGTGACATTTTTTGTATTTCTGTTCTTTGGAACTAGCGTAGTATCCTGTTTTATTTATCTGTATCCTTTACCAAGGTGAAACAAAATTCATACATAAAACAAAAAAGATTTCGGCTCAGCTGGTGTGACATACTACTTTCTGCCTTTCTGTTTGGTAATAATAAATTTATTGCTTTCCTGTAGCTTTTGTATCCCCACTCCTCCCCAGTGGCCCAAAACTGCTACTTATATAGTTTCTCTATTTACCGACAGCATTCAGGTGATTATTACTCAGATGAATAATCAGAGATACGATCAAGTCTTATTTTCTCATGTGCAGCCAATTTGCTACAAGTGAAGACATCTGGAAGAATTTACAGAACAATAGCTCTGTGTTACCTCAGAACTGGGAAACAGTAGTTAAGGGCTTCCAATAAAACTAAGACATTCATCCGACTCTAAGCCACTGTTACCCTAGCATTAAGGCATAGTTTCCTGGTTCAGACATAATAGGAAGCTATATTTAACGGAATACTTTTTGGTTTGCATGAAATGAGGAATGAAGCTGTTGCTTGTAGGTGTATTAGAGTGCTTCTTCATATCTTCTTAAGATCATCTGATAATTCAATCTTGCTCTGTACTCAATGGATACTGTAAAATGCACAGTACAGCAGCTAACGACTAAACCACCCCAGGATCAAAAAGGCAGTTACTTCATCAATTTCAAGAGAGAAATAGTCTTTCAGCATGGCACTCTTCTTTGTTAGAAAGTCAACAATGTATTCAGCGAGGCCTTCCTTTGGACCATCATCTTCTGTCCAACCACTTTCATCATTCTCCAAGGCTAGCATAGCTAGATCATAGAGTGGAGCTGGTTCCTACATTTACCAAAAAAAAATTAGCACAAATCATTACCTGTCATTCATGCACGCAACTGACTTTTCCACAATTACATACAGCTTGGGGGATGGATGCTTCTTTAAAAGGACTGTAACCCTATCAAGAGGATGCCACCTCCCATCCATCCAGTCTAGGGAACCACCTACTAACAGTGTTTTAGTTTATTTGGATTGAGCTTCAGTTTGTTGGTTCTCATCTAGTCCATTACTGAGGCAAGACAACAGTCCAGCACATCCACTGCCTGCAGATGTAAAGGAGACGTAGAGTCGTGTGTCATCAGCATATCGCTGACAACATATTCAGCCCACTGACCCCACTCAGCGGTTTCATTGTTAAATAGCAAAGGGGATAAAATCAAACCATGGGGAACCCTACAGTGAAGGTTCCACATGGCTCCTCAGGCATCACCCTCTCGACACATCTACCCAAGTAGGACTGGAACCACAGCAAAGTGGAGCCAACAATACCTAACTCAGACAAAGCACTTGGATCTGGTCTCTGACTATGTGCTCAAGAACCTTGCCCAAGTAGAGGAGATTGGCAGCTGGCCAGTAATTACTTAGGTTTTCCAAATACAAGGAGTGGTTTAACCACTGCCTCCTTCAATCAGGCAGGAACCATCCCCTCTTGTATGGAAGCACTGATCAGCTCCCTGGCCCAGCCAGTTGTCCCCTCCCTGCTAGCTTTTGTCAGCTAAGAGCAGGCAAGAGTCCAAAGCGTAAGTGACCAATCCAGGCACCTTGTCCATGTCCTCAAGCCTTACTAACTGAAACTCATCCAATGCAACAGGACTAGACAGTGCTCTGGACACCTTTTGAGATTCATCTGCTGTAACAGTGAAGTCAAGGTCCTGGCAGATGCAAGTGATTTTATCCTCAAAATGCTCTGTAAACAAAGTCACAACAAGTTACTTTAGGTTCTGTCCCTTCTTCGGACCAGACTGTAAAAGACCTCACATTACCTGTTAAAGCTCTGCTGGACAGCATATTGAGGATGCAATGGAAGCAGCAAAGTATTGCTGCCTTCACTGCCACTAAGTAGGCTCAATGATGAGCCCTCACCAGTGTTCAGTTGCATTCCATTGGACTTTTCTTTCACTTACATTCAAACCATCTCCCAGCTTGCTTCCTCACAAGGAACCAAGTGGGCTGTAGCAAGTGGGAGAGGGCGCTCAGGGGCAATCGTGTCAACAGCCCAAGCCATTCAATTTAATTTTTTCCATTGGCTAATCAAAATAATTTTGTTGCCCCATGATAATCTTTGAAATCAATGGCAGCTAAAATGTTTTGGTGTAAAATAAGGACTATATTAGGGCTCTGGATGCAGAAGTGGCTGCACCACAAACCTCCCTGCACCACCACCAGATATTGGGTAGGATTGCTCTACCCAATATCTGCTCTATATCTTAGTAAGTTATATATAAGATAGATAACTTAAGTGTATACTTACTGACAATCTTAAAACGCCGAAGTTTCCAAAGTCATAGATAAGGATCTGATAGAACATTTCTTGACTTTGAGAAAGGAAAAACAAAGAGTTTGCTATTTGCTCATGGTCCACTCTGTAATACTGTCAATGAATAGGAAGCCTTAATATGGAATTCCAATGGCAACTAAAATCTATGGGTTTTAGCTACGAGTGGGACGTATGTATTTTTCTAGAGTACAGCAGTTATGATAAAATATCCAGCATTGTTTAATAAAATAGATAAGCTTCCCAGTAGTGGAACTGATGCAGGGGGAAGGGCTGTAGCTCAGTGGCAGAGCAGCTGCTTCTTACACAGAAGATCTCAGGTTAAATCCCTGGCATCGCCAGGCAGGAGCTGGGAAAGACTGAAAGTCTGGTGAGCTGCCACTCAATGCAGGCAATACTGAACTAGATGTAGCAATGACTCTGTAGACGGCAGCTTCCTATGTAATCTAATATTAATTAAAGGGCAAGAACACATCACTGACTACAATTCTTGTGAAACTTAAGAACATTACAAGTATGTATTAATGAAGGGGAGCTGGTATAAGAAGCAAACACAATTATGTTACAAATAAGGTTAGAAAGTTTATCACTTTAAAAACTGCCATACCCATTTCCATTTATAAAACTCAAAGCAGTTCAAACTATACGTTATAAAGTCATCTTACTGTCTCTTAGGTCAGCAGATGCAATGACCCCAAATGACAGGGTGAGGCCAACTTAACCCAGCTGCACCCATAGCTTCCTTTAACATCAACCACTCTTTGGTCTTCTAGGACCTCTCTGTTTTCTACTTCCTATACACAGTGGTACCTCTGGATGCGAACGGGATCCATTCCAGAGCCCCATTCACATCCTGAAGGGAACGCAACCTGTGTCTGCACGGGCCGCGATTCGCCGCTTCCGCGCATGCACGTGACGTCATTTTGAGCATCTGCGCATGGGGCAAAACCCGGAAGTAACGCATTGTTACTTCCGGGTCGCCGTGGAGCGTAACCTGAAAATGCTCAACCTGAAGCGTATTTAACCCGAGGTATGACTGTATATCGTTTATCTCTCTCCAGCCTTTCTGGGAGGTTCATCAACTGTTTTTCCTCTGATGACTAGAATCCAGACAATATCTTCATGGTCCTAATGACCTATGTTTTCACTCACTGTTCCTCCGCAGCTGCAGCTGTTATTTTGGGGCAGTGACCCGAAAGTACTAAAAAGTTAAAAACTACAGCACAGCCCACACCACTCCATTTGAAAATGCACTCACTCATTTTCTTCCTATCTCAAGCTACTGGATACTATTTGTCTTGACTAAAACAATATATTTAACTTGGTTCTGTTACCTGAGTTTTGTGGTACTGAGCAGATACAATTTTGTCTGATACTGCACCAATGCCCACTGAGGGTTAACACATCCAACAAAGGAATGATCATGTAGCATCTCTTGAAGATCTGAAATAACCCAAATCACTTGTTTAGTACAATACAGAAGAATATCCTTCCTTTTAAGAACTCAACTATTCAATTTACTAAAATACTTAAAAGCATTATGGACTTCAAATATCAACTCTTATTCAATTTCATATAACCCAATTGGAGCCTAATCCTTTTTACTCAGAAAAAAATGCATTTTGGAAAGAAGTTTAATCGCTGCCCATGCTGTTCTTAAAGTTGCATGTACTTTCCTTCTGTGGAATTCCTTGGAATATGCTTCCTCCAGCAAACCTACATGCTCCAAATCTGCCAAAAATCTCAAGAAGCCCATTCCACAAACCAGGAGTTGGCTTTCATGCAGTTTGTAAGATTGTTTAAATCCAAAAACTTCATTTTAACCTATGTATTTATCCATTTAAGCTTTCTTTAAAACTCAGTTGCCTCCAACCAGCTGAGCTGGCAAATTAGAAACTGGGTGCCAGTCCTTATTTTTCCAGACCTAGCTGCCAGACTATATAGGTAGCCTAGTGGTGTTAACTACCTGTGTCCAGGTACTAAAATGAAGGAAAGAGTACTGGATCCAAAGTACTTCCACTTCATAATACAACTATTAATTAATTAATTAATTTAATGCCTGTTAAACTTCAGCTGCTTCTATTACAGAAGAATTTTGCCCTGAACAATGCAAGCAGCAGCTGAAAGGAAGCCACCCACATAAAAAATTTGCAAGCTATTTTGTTTCCTTCAAAATAAATATTTACTGGACCTGAGAGCAGAATTCTGCTCCATTCTTCTGAACTGCTTCTGTAATGGGTCATGAGCAGCTGCCAACAGTGTTCTCAATCAATGCCTCCTTCATGTGTGACTATTTCCAAAACAGTATCAACAAATTGCAGCAGCCTAGTCTCCATGTCCAACTCTGACCCTTTCTGTGCTGTTCAGAATTTCCCCCCCTTATCCCTACATCTCTAGCTAAAGTATATAAAGCTTTGATTTTCCAAGCTGATTTTTTAGCAGAGTATTAGCCTTGAGTGCAATTTAATACTTCATAGTATAGTAAAAATAAAAAATAAAGAGCATTCCTGACATAGGAGATAGTTTTTATAAATCCTGTAATGCAAGTTATGCTATCTTAGTGGGTCTAAATTTGCCATGAAACACAACGGTAATAGCAGAACATACATACTTGCATGTGCCCGATTACTAATTTCCTCTTGAAGGGTTGCTATGCTAGTTAGGTTCACAATTCTCCTTCTTGGAACGCAGGCAGCAGTCATTTCCTGTTTTTGCTGTTCTTCCATTTCCACATCACATTTTGTTCGCTGCCTCTTTCTGGAATATGAAAAGGAAATGCATTTTGTACTATTTGACATGTATATAAGTCAAAGCAGAGTGCTGTGATTAACTCTGGAGTAATTAAACAGGTATTTGGTTAAGTAGATTAAAAAATACATTTCACACTCAAAAGCTACATTTACCAGAAAATCTGCCCAAGGCTTATGGAGCTAAACTATGACAGCAAAATTTGGCCACAAGCAGAAATACCGTATTTTTTGCTCCATAAGACGCACCAGCCCATAAGACGCACCTAGCTTTTGGAGGAGGAAAACAAGGAAAAAAATATTCTGAATCCCAGAAGCCAGAACAGCAAGAGAGATCGCTGCACAGTGAAAGCAGCGATCCCTCTTGCTGTTCTGGCTTCTGGGATAGCTGCGCAGCCTGCATTCGCTCCATAAGATGCACACACATTTCCCCTTACTTTTTAGGAGGGAAAAAGTGAGTCTTATACAGTGGTGCCTCGCAAGACGAAATTAATCCGTTCCGCGAGTCTCTTCGTCTTGCGGTTTTTTCGTCTTGCGAAGCACGGCTATTAGCGGCTTAGCGGCTATTAGCGGCTTTAAGAAAAAGGAAACAAACTCACAAGAACTCGCAAGACATTTCGTCTTGCGAAGCAAGCCCATAGGGAAATTCGTCTTGCAGAACGACTCAAAAAACGGAAAACTCTTTCGTCTAGCGAGTTTTTCGTCTTGCGAGTTTTTCGTCTTGCGGGGCACCACTGTAGAGCAAAAAATACGGTAGATGCTAGTGAGTGCTTCTAGACCCAGTCTTTATCTGCCAAGGTGACCTATTATGCTGGTCCTTTTTATTAACTAGATGTATTTACCGTATTTTTCGCTCTATAAGGCGCACCGGGCCATAGGGCGCACCTAGCTTTTTGGGGGGGGGGGAATAAAGGGGGGGGAAATTATTTCCCCCCCCTCGAGCCCCAAAGAGCAAAGAAGCCATGACAGTGAGCGGGATGGATCCCGCTTGCTGTCTTGGCTTCGGTTTTAGCCTCGGGGCTGGGGCAGGGGAAGCCCGAGCTTCCCCCGACTCCAGCCCCCAGAACGGGTCCGGGAGCGAAAGCGAGATTGCGCTCAACCTTGCCATCGCTCCCGGAGCTTGCCAGGTTGGGGGGTGGGGGAAGCCCGAGCTTCCCCTGACCCCAGCCCCCAGAACAGGTCCAGGAGCGAAGGCGAGGTTGCGCTCAACCTCGCCATCGCTCCCAGAGCTTGCTGCTATCCGCAAGCCTTCTGAGCATGGCAGGAATTCCCGCCGGGCTCCCCAGGCTTGCGGATAGCTGCCCTAAGCCCGGGGTGCGCAATGCCGCGCTCCCCGGGCTGCAAGCACTTATCTGCATTTGCTCCATAGGACGCACACACATTTCCCCTTCATTTTTGGAGGGGAAAAAGTGTGTCCTATAGAGCGAAAAATACGGCATTGTTTCACTCTGCTATTGGTTTTAACATTTCCAAGTGTTTTACATAGGATAGTTTGTGTGGTTTTTATTTAGTGCTATTATTTCCGAAAAAGAGGTGATAAATGTGTTAAAGAGAACTAAAAAGACAAGACTTCTTAATTCAGCCTGGGGCAACCCTTTTCCCCCCAAAAAAGAATGTCAAAGACAGAAAAGTGCTGTGATTCAGGAGCGTCACCAAGCAAAGAGGAGGGAGAAGAAGATGCCGAGTTCTCATCAATGGTAGTTAACTTAGAAATGCTATTCCACAGAGATCACTCATACCTAGCAGGTAGAGCTTCAAGAGGTGCTGGTTGACTTTCTGTTGACCCTTCTGCAATCTCCACAGCTTCTACTCTTAGATTTCTTGAATTCAAGTCACTGCAGTCTTCCATCTCAGCATCTTGTAGTCCAGTTCCCTTGCAACTCTGCTTGTTGTTGTTATCCTGGGATGTCACTGCAGAAAGTTCAGATGGCCTAGGTTTATTTGCTGGCTGAAGAAAAGCATCCAGTTTCTGTTCCCGGGAATCAGTGCGGACCATCTGACGGGCACAGACCTTGTCTCCCCCTTGATTAGTTGAAGAACTTGCTGATTTAACAACATCGGTGGAAGAGGCAGGAACACCTGGCAGCAATGTCTTAAAGGAAGAGATGAAAGAGAAACAATTCAGTATCTGGAACTGTACAAGTCTCCTTCTAAGCTAGTTGGAAAGCCAGATAAGCACAATTCACAGGCATCACATAGCTGCAACTATAACATAATCTACCTGTGTGGAGTAGCTATTACAGATTATGCCAAACGTAACAGCCTGCTCTTGACAAAAGCATTGCAGGGGATTGGTCTAGATGATATTTGGGGTCCCTTCCAAATCTACAACTGTATGATTCTATGAGTACTGCCTTCTAGTTGAAGACCAAATGCATACAGAAATCTATCCCATTTGCACATATAAAGTGAATCACAACTGTCTACTTAACATTGATTCTGTCCATTATCCCCTTTCTGTCAAATAGAATCATGTTAATGCCCTTTATCAGTGGTTTCCAAATGTCCCATCACCAGTATATTCCATATTTGCCTGGCATAAAACCTCTGTCGGTTCAGTTGAGGCCACTTTATCTGTTTGTGTGCAGCAATGGTCTGTCTTTGGGCCCTTTTTTGTGTAAACCACTAATCTATATTAAAGAACACACCTAAAAATGACATTTTGTTTTGTTAAGTCCAGCTTATCCAAAACATTTCACTAGACAAAACAAATCCAAATCCTGAATGCAGAGCACTCACTCTCGCAACCACCAACAAAGCAGACTGGTTAGCTTTTTCCTTTTCAGTGACGTGCTCAGATTCACTCACCTGTGTAAAATATACCCTTGATGAGTTAGAGCCCAACAATTTGCTCTCTATGTGTTGCTGTACACTCTCCAAGATGCTGTCTTCATGAAGGAAATGAACTTCATGCTTTGTGGGATGCACATTCACATCTACGTTCTGAGGGTTTATTTCTAGGCTGCAAGACATTTTGAGAACACCATGCAAAGTTAATCAAAAGAACGGCACTTCAGCATATTTGTTAGAGTGGGTGCTTGTGGCGATCACACAGGGTCCCCGGACGTTTCACCGTCTATTGATCCCTGTGCCACCACTTTATTTCTCGCTGCCACCACCCAGGCCCTACCTGGTACAATACTGAGTCCAGTCAGGGTTAAATTCGAACATAAACTTCTGTTTATTTATTGCAGTTTAAAAAGCGTGTGGTTTCATAAACGGTATTGGTCAATTACAATCATGGGGTGCCTATCCAGACCTATAACTTCCGCTACCTGCTCTCACTCACTAAACCATCTCTCAGATATTTACTTGTTTTCCTAGCCCCTAACTATTCCTGACTCAGCTTATTTCGCTACACTAACTCAACCTACACACAAACTCTATCCCAATTCACTCCCACACCAACCAACCACCGAACTCCCAACTAACTCCTCCCTTTACCCCTTCCAGAGCTGGTTTTATAGTCCCTCTGACTCCACCCCTCTGGGTTCTGATTGGGTAACCTGCTTAACTATTTCACCTCCAGCACTCTCACATGTTAACGTCACAGTGCCACAGCCACAGAGTTTAGGGTGCTCTGTGTTTCTCAGAGATTGGATCCTTGTTTGTAGTGCTTCTGAGTTTTTAAAACTGCAGAGAAATAACATTTCAAGTCTCTTATTTATTATTGAGCTGATGATTATTTAGCTTTTGTATTACCTGGAAATTTAAAAAACTAAAATATGGATTAGTACTCATACTGCAATGACATTAGGAATATTTTTGATGTACATGCATGTTAAGGTAATGATAAACTGCATCCACTGTTTTCATTGCTCTTAACTCTAGATTTGTACTTGGTTTTTATTTAATAAAAACAAATGATAGCAAGCACTGCTTAGCAAGGTTAATTTTGTTTAACTGAGGTTAAACAAAATCTTGCCCATTTTTACTCAAAAGTGAGGCCCACTGTGTTTAGGGGGGCTTACTCCCTGTGTGCATATGATTGCAGCCTAGATGCATTTTTATCTTTTTCGTGGTCACATGACTCTACATAGAAAAAAACATTTTACCTTATGTATAAAAATGGATGTGTATTTTTAGGTAAATAAGCCGCATATACAGTTTCTATTGCTTTTCGCAAAGCATTTGACTCAACCAGGCGATCTAGGGAGGAAAAACATAAAAATCAGGGGAGACAGGTAAGCAGTCTACATTACTTTCTGTATAATACAACTTTTACACCCATCTCTGATCAGTCTAGATCTTCACTTTTTTATTTATATAACCAACTGGAAATATATGGTAACAATTAAAAAGCAAATGTGACTTTATCATCAGCAGTCCTCAGAATATATCCGCAATTTTGCATGTTCATGACCACCAGATGCAATGCCACACCCTGATCCTAAATAACCTTCCCATGCATATGTTTACTTTACAAATAAACACATTGCCTTGGAACCGATTATTTCAATGACACTTAAATGCACTTTACTTTCTCTGGATTAACAGCTAATGTCTGTACTGCAAAGGATTATCTAGTGAAAGTGTAAAGAATGGATTAACTGCCCTGCCCTAACCAAGTAGGATACCTACCGGTACGTTGGAAGACAAAGCTGGAGCACTGAGAGGTGCAATATTTTAGGTCTACTTGTTTGTATCAAGTAGAAAGTTAAGAAAGTCAAACAGGGACTTATATTTCTTTCAAAGACCTTGAGTACAGCAGTACTATACTCAACTTAATTCACTGTTTCTTCCTTCTGTTTTTGGCAAGTCAGTTTGCAGTTATGTGTGAACTCAGACTCAAATATGGTATACTAAATTATATGAGGGGCAGGAGAACTGTAAATAAGGCCAATATATTTCACATCTGACAACCAATGCACCTCTTGGGTAGAGGAGTCTAAAAAGCCTAGGACACATATTTTCATGGCCCTCTAGAAACTATGGTTATGTTTTTGGATTAACTCTGAAGTATAAGTATATACTTGATTCTGACCAAACTAAGCTTCCTTGGAGCATAGGCTTTTTAATGAACTATCTGAAACCAAAAGAAAGCATTCGTTCCCAGATGTGATTTCCCCACCCCAGTTTCCTACCCCAGTATAACATCTTGTCTGAAACAGGCCACTGCTTCTCAGCTATGCCAGTCCCAATTTCTTACAAATACAGTGGACAAACACTGTAAATTCTGACAAAGAAAGTGAGTGGGTTTCCAGATGGCAGTTTGCCCCAGCTGTTGGGCACCAGAGGGGAAACACCACCTCAAGAAACAGTATTGTTTAGTACAGGAGTTTGGCAGCATCAAATGGTTAGTCTCACTGTTTCCATCTGAGCTGAACCTGATGCACTGGGACAGCAGCAGCAGCAGTTCTTGCTGCAAAACACAGCTTCCATGTGGCTTGGAAATGCCTGGCATGCCAATTCTGCTTGGCTGACCCTTAAAAACTCCTCTGTCTGAAATGACCCTTACTATCAAAGCAGAGCAAATGTGACTAATATGCACAATGCATTAAAACAGCAAAATTTGGGAGTTTAGGGCATAATCCCTGACCCTTTAAAACACATAATAAAATCAAGAAATAAAGCCAGGAGACAAAAGCAACCCCTTCTTTCTCTGGACAGCACTTCACTGCCAGCAACGTTAAACACTGCTCACAACCATTGTTTAATAGAGAAAGTGTTACCTTGTTAAGACTACAGAAAATTTCATAGAATCATAAGGAAACCCAGGAATCATCTAATCCAACCCCATGTAATGCCCTAGAACACCGAGAAATGTGTACTTTGGTACTTACGGTTTATGAAAAGCAAGAAGATGCATTTCTTTACTGAATAGTTTGCATTGGTTACGTAACCCTTCATTTTAAAAGCCAATGTTGCATCTTCACAGCCCACTTCAATCAACTCTCTGGATAAAATTAAAAAGTAATTAATTCCCCCTTCTGTATTCTTAGAAACCATTTCTCTAGGACACAATCAAATCTTCATAAACTTCATATCCATGTATTTATTCAGTAACTCTAATCTGACCAAAAATTAAGGAGCAATAGAACATACTTAAAGCTATTTTATGTCTTTCGTAGGGCAATCCTATACATGCTGACTCAAAAGCCAGCCCCACTTGGTTCACTGGAACTTACTCCCAGTTATGAGTACAAAGGCCTGCTCTCTTCCAAATTCAAATTTCAGAATGCCACACAGATAAGTATCTGTATTTAAGTAAATTCATTACATACCGTATTTTTCGCCCCACAGGACGCACCACCCTATAGGACACACCTAGTTTTTTTTGGGGGGGGAGGGAATAAAGAAAAAAAATTATTCCCCCCCCCCCCAGGCACGGGGCTGGCGTGGGGGAAGCCCAAGCTTCCCCCGACCCCAGCCCCCAGAACAGCCTGCTATCCGCAAGCCTAGGGAGCCGCGCCGGACTCCCCAGGGTTGCGGACAGCTGTGCGAAGCCCGGGCGCGCTCTTCAGCACGCCCGAGGCTTTGGAATGCAGGCAGCTCTGCACGACCCTCCGGAGGGTCGCGCAGAGCTGCGCGGAGCCCAGGAGGACAGGCAGCTCTGTGCGACCCTCCGGAGGCGGGCGCGGCTTGGCGCCGGGCTCCGGAGGGTTGCGCAGAGCTTCCTGAAGCCTGGAGAGCGAGAGGGATCGGTGCGCACCAACTCCTATCGCTCGCCAGGCTTCAGCGAAAGCCTGTATTCGCCCCATAGGACGCACACACATTTCCCCTTCATTTTTGGAGGGGAAAAAGTGCGTCCTATAGGGCGAAAAATACGGTAGTTTGTCAAATTACTCGTAATTAGAGACTGTGTCGTTACAATGGCCCAAACACAGGAATGAGTAAGATTTCATTGTACACAAAATAAATTAATACCAATATATATTGCCTCTTTAATGGTGGCCATTTGTTCCACCTCAGTAGTGTTTCATCAGAATTTTAAGGAGTCAAATCCGTTTATTGTGAGGACCATGCCTGTACACAAACATTAACACAACAATAGTTAAAAAATATTAAAATTCATTACATACTACGCCAACAAAACCTTCATCCCACAAAATAGAAAGAGAGGGAAAACGAGCAACGAGTTAAACAGACGATGAAGGGGTCTTTACATTGTCATTCATCAGAATTACTTTTCTCCTTTTACTACAATGGGATGCCATTTATGGAGAGTGGCCAGATTCACCCCTACCTTTTCACAGGGACACATTCTAAGGCCTGGTTCAGATGATGGTCTATACCAAGCATAAGGCTTAGCAAGCTCTCTGCTCTCCCCCCTTACTTTGCAAATACATATAATATCCACCGACTGTTAAATACAAAGCCAGGGAACTGTGATTTACTTTAACCATGGTTAACAAACCATTTAAACAAATCATGCTGTAGATCAGCCTTTGCCAATCCGGTACCCTCAGATGTTGGACTCTAATTCCCATCAGCGCCAGCCAGCAGTTGGGAGTGGCAGTAGGTTGGGGAATGGTGTTATAGATTATCATCTGAACCAGGCCTATTCTTGTAATTAAACATCTAAACACAATGTTGACAAAGAAGGAACAATAATTCAAGGGCAGCTTCACTAATATATTGAACAAGTGATTTTCTCTCCCTTCTAAGACAACTTTATACAACATAGCCTAGAAATGATTTAACATTAACTTTTACTACAGGTGCCTTCACCCACATTCTTTAAGAAACCAAAGGTCAGATCAAGATGTTTTGTACAGAAAAGGGAGGGTGATTTACAGCTGCGTAAACAGAACTCAGCAATGAACAAGCTATTCTGTATAGTTTTCATTAGAAAAGCAATGCCTTCTTTTCAGTACTGTTTCTGCCAGCATGGCGGAAGTATTGACTGTTCAGCCCTACTACTGTAACTGTCATTTCTAAATTTAGAAAGTCTCACACTGACCTTTATGCCAGTGTTGGCAGGAATCCTAAAGAACAGGCAGCAAACAGTTCTGCTGATTTGCTCTATGTTGTCTGAGTAATGACGGGAGAGAGGCTCTTTCTACAAACACAACTGAAAATGCATTGAGAGGCCTGTTTCAGCAGTGGTTTAAGAGATATTTAATTATTCAAATCACTATCTGTCCAATTTGGTTCAAAAGCCTTTAAAAGGCTGTCTTTTTTCTGTGAAGTCCTTGACACAGCCCCCTGGCCTCAATACTAAGCTGTTACATTTACTGTTAAGTAGACTACTCTTAAAGTTGCTGTGATTACTAAGAACAAGCATGGGTTTCTCCAAAAACAACTCATGCCAGACGAATCTCTCCCTCTCTTTGGATAGAGTTACAAGCTTGATGGCTCAGGGGAAGGCTGTGAACGTAGTGTACCTTGAATTCAATAAGGCTTTTGATAAAAGTCCCCCATAATATTCTTGCAGAGAAGTTGATAAAATGTGTACCGGACCAGATAGCAGTCAGGTAAATTTGTAGCTGGTTGACTGGCTGAACCCAAAGTATGCTCACTAATGGTTCATCATCATTCTGGAAAAAAGTGACAAATGGTGTGCTGTAGGGTTCTGTCCTAGGCCCGTTGTTGTTCAGTATCTTTATTAATGACTTGGATGAAGAAATTGGGGGAATGCTAAAGGCTCTGGAAACCAAGCCTCATGAGGAACGGTTGGGTATGTTTAGCCTGGTAAAGTAGTAACTGAGAGGAGATATGATAGCCAGCTTCAAATATCTAAAGGGCTGTCATATAGAGCAAACTTTTTCTCTCCTGCTCCGGAGGCTAGGACCTGAGCCAATAGATTTAAGTAACAAGAAAGCAGACTCCAACTATATATCAGGAAGAACTTTGTGATAGTAAGAGCTGTTCAACAGTGGAACAGACTTCCCATGATATGTAGTGGACTCTTCTTCCTTGGAGGTTTTTAAGCTGAGGCTGAATGGCAATTTGTCATGTATGATCTAGCAGAGATTCCAGCATTGCAGAGGGTTGGACTAGATGCCCCTCAGTCACTTCCAACAGTTCTAAGATTCTACGATTCTAAGTAGGTAGGCAAATCTGAAATAACTACATATTCTTCACCATTTACTATGTCTTCATTTCCCTCTCCTGCTGTTGCCCTGTGTCAAATTCTAGATTTTCTTGATTATGCTTTCCTCAATCTTTAGGAAGTACACTGAAAAATCGATGTACGCTAGAGCTGTTTCCATATGAAATATTCCTGGGCCTGTTAAAATATACTCTCAAATGTACCCCACAGCATTTAATGTTAAGACAACTGTTGTCATAATCAGAGGGGTTTTGTCTGCTACTATTATAAAGTGTTTGACATTTATTCTTAAGTTAAATTGAATTTTGAGATCAGTGTACCTGCTAACAGCATTTCCAAAGACGGAGCGGATATTGTCAACGGTTGTAGCATTCAACAGCGTTCTAACATCTGCTACTGTATCACCTTGCTAAAAAGAGAATATTTAGATTTACGTTTACTAATGTTTCTGATGTATTATATGAAGATATTTAGGCAACTTAAAAGGCATGTTGAATGGAAATTTACATTTATCAAAACAAATTGGATTTATCAAAACAGTTGCATTGTACTGCCAGTGAACAATATTTTGCCATCCTGTTGTGCATCTCCTCATGAGAACCTGGGTTCAAAAGGCCATTCTGTCTAGGAAGGAGAACTGCTAAGGTGTGATTTGGGGGGGGGGGAGGAGAGAGATATTAAGGATCTAACAAACCAGGAGATAGTGCACTTGAAGTTCCCAGCCAAACCGCAAATGAAATGGATAAGGAAAAGCATTGACACAGGCACCCCTTCGGTCCAACCTAATGAAAGAAGCCTCAGTGAGAGAAAGAAGCCTCTGGAGAGCCTACAATTTAAAGTGTCCTTCAAAAGTAGTACCGTATTTTTCGCCCCATAGGACGCACCGCCCGATAGGACGCACCTAATTTTTTGGGGGGGGGAGGGGAAATAAAGGGAAAAAAAATTTTCCCTCCCCAGGCACGGGGCAGGCGCGGGGGAAGCCCGAGCTTCCCCCGACCCCAGCCCCCAGAACAGCCTGCTATCCGCAAACCTAGGGAACCGAGCCGGTCTCCCCAGGCTTGCGGAGAGGTGCGTGAAGCCCGGGCATGCTCTTCAGTGCGCACCAGGCTTCAGAATGCAGGCAGCTCTGCGCTACTCTCCAGAGCCCCGCGCAGCTTCGCGCCGGGATCCGGAGGGTGGCACGGAGCTGCAGGAAGCCCTGGAGCGCAGGCGGCTCTGCGCCACCCTCCGGAGCCCCACGCACCTTCGCGCCGGGATCCGGAGGGTGGCGCAGAGCTGCAAGAAGCCCTGGAGCGCACGCAGCTCTGTGCTACCCTCCGGAGCCCCGTGCGGCTTCGCGCCGGGATCCGGAGGGTGGCGCAGAGCTGCAAGAAGCCCTGGAGCGCAAGCAGCTCTGCGCTACCCTCCGGGGCTTCGCGCCGGGATCCGGAGGGTGGCGCGGAGCTGCAGGAAGCCCGGGAAAGCCTGCATTCGCCCCATAGGACGCACACACATTTCCCCTTCATTTTGGAGGGGAAAAAGTGCGTCCTATAGGGCGAAAAATATGGTACTTTCAACACTACCTAAAAACTAGACTTCTTTTATAATAATAATAATAATAATAATAATAATAATAATAATATAAATTTTATTTATATCCCGCCCTCCCAGCCGAAGCTGGGCTCAGAACAGCTAACAACAATAAAACAGTACAAAAGTACAGCACAAACAACACTCTAAAACCATTCATTATAAAATTAATTCAAATCAAGCCACTGGCAACCATTGGGCCAGAGCTCTGCGAAGATTGCCGAGGGAGGGAGTCAGGCTGCGCCCTGGCCAAAGGCCTGGTGGAACAGCTCTGTCTTGCAGGCCCTGCGGAAAGATGTCAAGTCCCGCAGGGCCCTAGTCTCTTGTGACAGAGTGTTCCACCAGATCGGAGCCACGGCCGAAAAAGCCCTGGCTCTAGTTGAGGCCAGCCTAACTTCTCTGTGGCCTGGGACCTTCAAGATGTTTTTATCTGAAGACCATAAGTTTCTCTGTGGGGCATACCAGGAGAGGCGGTCCCGTAGGTACGAGGGTCCTAGGCCGTATAGGGCTTTAAAGGTTAAAACCAGCACCTTAAACCTGATGCTGTACTCCACCGGGAGCCAGTGCAGCTGGTATAGCACCGGGTGAATGTGATCTCGCAGCGAAGACCCCCTAAGGAGTCTCGCTGCAGCATTCTGCACCCGCTGGAGTTTCTGGGTCAGTCTCAAGGGCAGCCCCACGTAGAGCGAGTTACAATAATCCAGTCTTTTGGAATACAAAAGATGGAGGTATGAGGAAGTCCGGGAAACAAGTAAATGTAAAAGAAGTTATGAAAAGACGGAATTGTTTTTAACTGTTTTTTTCTCTTTTTCTCTTTTTGTATTTTGTATTCTCTATTTTGTATTGTGTATTTTTCTTTTTAAATTTTTCTTGTTTATTAATGTGATTTTATTTCTTTTCTGAAACTTTAATAAATATTAATAACAAAAAAAAATCCAGTCTGGAGGTGACCGTCGCGTGGATCACAGTGGCTAGGTCAGGGTGAGAGAGGTAAGGAGCCAACTGCTTAGCTTGGCGGAGATGGAAAAATGCCGCCTTTGTTATAGCTGCAATCTGCGCCTCCATGGAAAGGGAGGTGTCGAAGATTACACCCAAACTCTTAACGGACGGTGCTGGCACTAATTGCGCCCCCGCATGAGATGGGAGTTGCCCCCCCAATCCCATATCGTCTCATCCCAGCCACAGGGTCTCTGTCTTCGAAGGATTTAGCTTCAACCGGCTCCCACGTAACCATCCAGCCACAGCTTCGAAACATCTGGTCAGTGTGTCTGGGGCCGAGTCAGGATGGCCATCCATCAACAGATAGAGTTGGGTGTCATCGGCATACTGATGGCAACCCAGCCCAAAACTCCGGACAAGCTGGGCGGGCGCATAAAGATGTTAAAAGCATCGGGAGAGTATCGCACCCTGAGGTACTCCACACACCAAGGAGTGGCGCGATGACAATTCCCCCAAGCGCCACCCTCTGTCCCCGACCAGAGAGAAACGAGCGCAGCCATTGAAGGACTGTGCCCTGGATCCCCACGTCAGCAAGGCGGTGGTCCAGGAGTTCGTGATCGACCATGTCGAAAGCTGCTGACAAATCTAGAGGAATCAGCAGCCCCGACCCGCCTCAATCCAGCTGTCTACGAAGATCATCTGTTAGGGCAACCAGAGCCGTCTTGGTCCCATGACCAGCGCGGAAGCTGCACTGGAATGGATCCAGAGCCGATGTTTCATCCAGAAACCCACCAAGCTGTTCAGCAACCGCTCTCTCAATCACCTTACCCAGGAACGGAAGATTCGAAACCGGGCGGTGGTGGATAGATCTAAAGGATCGAATGATGTTTTCTTTAAGAGCGGGCGCACCACTGTCTCCTTCAGTTCCCCTGGGAATGTCCCGTGCCAAGGGACAAATTGATGATATCCCCCAGGAGGGCCCGCACCTCGTCTGGACACGCTCTAATCAGCCAAGACGGGCACGGGTCGAGAGGACAGGTGGTGGGCTTTCCAGCTCGGAGGAGTCTGTCCGGCTCAGCTGGGGATATCCGGTCGAAGTGGTCCAATACTGGACCCGAGGACCGTCGAGGGGCCTCCAGTTCCTTTATTGTATCCAAATTGGCAGGGAGGTCATGGCGGAGCAACAAGACCTTCTCCGCAAAAAAGCTCGCAAATGCCTCACAGCTGTGTGTCAAATTGTTATTTAAATTTGGCTGTCCCTCAAGGGACGTTAAAGACCTGATTATACTAAATAATTGCGCCGGGCGAGAGCTAGCAGATGCAATGGAGGCTGAGAAGTAAGACTTCTTAGCAGCCTTCACCGCCATCTCGTAGGTTTTCATAAAAGCCCTATAAGATGTTCTTGAGGCTCCGTCACGGGCACCCTGCCATACTCGCTCTAGCCGTCTGAGGTCCCGCTTCATTTTCCGGAGCTCCTCGGTAAACCAGGGAGCCCGGTTTCTGCGGGGTCGCAGAGGGCGCTTAGGTGCGATCTCATCGATGGCTGCCAGGAGCTGGATATTCCAGCCCTCAACAAGCTCAGTCAATGAGTCGTCGGGGGAGCAAGGTCCCAAAAGGCTTGGCGGAATCTATCAGGGTCCATCAGCCTCTGCGGGCGAGCCCAAATCGGCTCGCCACCTAAGCAGGGTGGGGGTGGAAAGTCAATCCTGGCTTTCAGAGCGTAGTGATCAGACCATGGCACCTTCATCGAAGGAGACATGATCACATCTATACCTACGCCAAAGATCAAATCCAGCGTGTGGCCTGCTTGATGTGTGGGGCCCGAAACAAACTGGGAGAACCCTAGTGTCGCCATGGAAGACACCAGGTCCTGAGCCTGTGAGGAGGGAGTGGCATCAGCATGGATGTTGAAGTCCCCCAATACCGATAGGTTAGGGAACTCCAAGGCCCAGCCAGCCACAGCCTCCAATAGGCCTGACAGGGTGGCTGCTGGTGCACTAGGTGGCCGGTACACCAGCCAGACAGCCAAGCTCTCCTCGGAGCCCCACACTAGGCCAACACATTCAATGCCGGGGATCAATGGCGATGGTAGAGCCCTGAAAGGATTATCTTCCCGGATTAATAATGCCACCCCTCCCCCCCGGCCCACAGTCCGCGACTGGTGGAGGACGGAGAAACTCGGGGGCGCCATCTCTCGTAAGGTAACTGTTGCCCCTTCGCGCACCCAGGTCTCCGTCACACAAGCCCGGTCGACCCCCAGCGAGATAAACAAATCTCGCAGGGTGGCGGTTTTGTTGCCTATAGACCTGGCATTGCACAGCACCAGTGACGGAGGTGAGTAATCCTTGCTCACCCTACCCTCGTCCCTCGGGATGAGGCGCAGATTAGAAGGGGTACGAGCATATCCATATCTCGATCCCTTTCGCCTATAACATCTGCCCCCACCGCCATACCTCCCTCGCCCCTCCACTCTACTAAGCAGGAACAAGACAACTGACTTTCTTTTGTGCCATCCAGGACCATGCATTCTTTTTGTCTTGTAATCCAAGGTTATAACTACCTCTGAACCACTGAACTCAACAAGTCTCCCCATAGTCTTCTGAGTGTGTCCTTTGTTAGTTTTGCGGCCAGACACCCTGGCTTGCTTAGATAAATGTTGCCTGAATTTGTCTGAAACTCCAGCTTTGAATGCCCTTTTTCTGTACTCCCATGTAGCCTGATTTGTAAAATGTGCCACAGCAGAGGAAATAATTTTCTTCAGGCCTTCATTTTGGATTTTCCCCAAGGATTCCTGCACCCTGCCATGTTTGGATAGCTCATAAAAGGAAAGAAAGGTATAACTATCCATCTTGTCAGCTTTTCAATTTTTACTGCAATTCTCCCACCGTCCCAACAACTTTTCTTCCAGCAAGCTGGTGCTAGCTGCAGCATCACTCCTCCCTCTATTCCCTCTTGTCTCCAAGACAGCCTTCACAGTTATAAAATTGCCATTTGTTATAAAAAAAAACCCTCAACTTTTGAAAAGGGTCTGATCTCATCTCCTTTGCTACTTAAACTAAACAATCCAAAGTTAGGGTGTTTTACTATTTTTGTTTTGTTGGTTTATTAAATATATACAGTGGCACCTTGGTTTAAGAACAGCTTAGTTTATGAACAACTTGGATTAAGAACACTGCAAACCCGGAAGTAGGTGTTTTGGTTTGTGAACTTTGCCTTGGAAACAGAACATCTTCCGCTTTCTGTTCAGTGTGTTCCATTTGTAAATTGAGTCCCCAGCTGCTATGGGAAAGCACGCCTTGGTTTAAGAATGCTTTGGTTTAAGAACGGACTTCCGGAACAGATTAAGTTTGTAAACCAAGGTACCACTGTATATTGATTGCCAATTAATTTACCAAAATCATTCACTGTATTCAGCAGAGCTTAATCCCAGGAAAATGTGCAAAATTGTGTAGCTTTAAGAATTCTAACCAGATATGTTTGAAATAAGGAATTTCATAGCTTAAAAAAAAGCCCTCAGGCAACTTTGTGATCACCACAGAATACAATTAATGACCGTTTCACATGGGGGTTCGGTTCCTGGCCCCTGTGTGTGTTGGTGGAGTGCCTTGTTATGTCCCGCCACGCCCCCATTCTGCCCTTTTAATGACTTGTTTTGTGAAGTTTTTGGTCACTTCCAGATCTGGTGCTGTGCACACATGCGTGATCATGTGTTTTTTGGCTGTGCATTAATTGGTCATTGCCTGTACCTGAATTTCTAGATTTTGGGTTGCATTCAACAAAGTCCTACACAGAACAGACCCATAGGAATTAATGAACCTAAGTTAGTCATATCCATTAACAATCAACGGGTCTACTCTGAGTAAGGCTAGCATTTAATACCACCCTTTATGTTTAAAACTATAACTAGGTTGAGCTTCATTTCTTTAACTGACCATGTTACATATTTTTTTAGAAAAATAAATATATAAAGGAATATGGTTTGGACACTGTAATATTACCATAACCGCTATTTAGCAATAGTGAGGAAGCAAAAGTTTACTCGCCTTTTTAACTGAAAAACTGATGCCAGAGTTGTGAATAGCATACCTGGGAAGAGAAAATACACAAGCCTTAATTAATTAATTAATTAATTAATTAATTAATTAATGTTATAGACTGCTTTTCCAGCAGTTTCTGAATTCAGTCCACAATATTCCCAAATAAACCACAATTCAACTTGAAAGCCAAGTTAAAACAACATTTCAAAAAAGTACAAAATATCATTAAAGCCAGGATGAACTATTATGAGCAAATACATGCACAAGGACAGCCACAGCTTCAGCCATTAACAGCAGTGAAAATACAGTTCTATAAGTCCTATTGAAAGGTGTTGAATAGAGCTGAACAGAGTTTTGTAACTATGGCTACTAACAAGACCCTGTCCTGTGAATGACAAATATTTTTTAGCATACACTTTATGAAGTGATAGTGAAGTGTATGGAAACTAGCTGAACTTCTTAGCATTTCAAGTCAAGAGAAACCAGCATTTGATTTCATAAGGGTTGTTCAAGCATCTGCCTAAACACACAAACACTGGATCCATGGACAAGAGGCACTGGTGCACATGTAACATCACCTTGTCTGCTATATACCCCTCTGGGGGAGGGGGCTTTTACTCACATTCGCTCAATATGCTTTCTCACGCCTGAACATGCCTTTTTAGTTAGTCAGTGGCAGTCATGTGGCTTCCATATTTTCTATGTAACCACCTCCTCTTCCCTCCCCTGGTGAAGGTGTGGTAAAACAAATAGGCTACCATGACATCACAGTTTCCATGCCTCTAGAACCAGCAGAACATGACGTGAAGAAACTCTTGAGTGTGATTATGTCACAGCACACATTTGATTTTATCACACATTACTGGGGGGGGGGGAGGAGGAGTTGGGAGGCAGACACAAAGCTCTGGTAACATCTAAAATTAACCAAGATCTGTCTTGGGAATACTAAATCATTTGCTGTCAGCTAGATGACTCAGAACAAAAAGACCAAGCCACACATTTTCATCTTGGCAAAGGCCCTCTTGGCTTTCTTGTTTTGTTGGATTTACAACCCTGGGAGCAGAAGAACCTCATCATGCTGCTAAGTACAATGGAATTTGTACTTTCTTTCGGTCTCTTTCAGACATTTGCGCACAAACAAATCTGGAGGCCTTTTGCAACTGTCACGTGAATGTTAGAGAGCACAAATGCTATGTGAATGTGAAACTGACTTCAGTAGATTCTTCTCAAGTCTAAAAGATTGTCAAGTTGTATTTGTGTCAGTATACTGACATCAGTAAAAAGGCATCCCTCTTGCTATTCTGAGTTCCTAATTTATCAAAGATGTCATTACTGGCTAGAAGGAGAAAAATGCCCAAATCTAACATAAAACAAGGTTTGCAGGTGGAGGTGGAGCTTCTGCTCCTTTAAAAAATGGATTTACCTGCTAACAACTTCCAGAATTTTTGCATATTCTTCACTAGGTTTGTTTAAAGCTTTTCTCCTAGTGGTTACATTGTAAAATAGATCCTCAACCTGCAGAGAGAAGAAAACAGGCAGTTTAAAGCAAACTCAAAACAGAAACATGGATCACTCTGCAATGCCCTTTTGTGCTGGCAGAAGGAAAGAAAATTGCATCCAAGTACATGGGGCGTGCACACAGTTTGCTTGCACCACTTCACATATGTTTTCCGTTGTCAGCTCACAGTGTTGACTGTGTGACAGATGGGAGAAGGAGCCCTCACAAGCTGCATTCCCTGCTCCTTAGTCTGTTCCCTGCAGCTGCCCAGTTCTAAATGAAGGATTTTTTTCTCACTGCAGGGCATTATCATGAATGAGGAAAACACCTGAACATTAACAAACAGGAAAGCCCTATTTTTAATTCAAATGCTCTGGTCAATATTGCTCTCCCCTGCAACTTACAAGCATGATAAATTCAAATCCATTTTAATTATAATGCTACAAAATTATGGGAGTCATAATGTATACTAGTTAAGAGTACTGGACTAGGACCAGTGAGATCAGGGTCCAAGTTTCTACTCTGCCATGAAGCTTTCTAAGTGACTTGGAGCAAATTAGTGCCTCCCAGCCTAATCTACCTCACACGTTATGGGGCTAAAATGGGGAGAGGGGGAACCACACAAACCACCTTAAGCTCCTTGGAGGAAAAGCAGAATTTCAATCAATTAATTAATTAAAACACGACTTTCTCTCTTGCCCGCCCCCCTCGATAAAAAGTACCATTCTCTGGAAATACAAATACATTTCTAAACACCACTTGTGAAGAGTTCCTGCAATATAATTCAGTAAAGTTAAAAGGTGATTGTTGAAGCCCAAATAAAGCATCAACATGGGCAACGAACATGCGCCAACTGAAGTTGACTGTATTAAATGCGCTTCAAACTTGTGCCATTAGTGAACCCTCAGTATCACTATTATTATAACTGCCTATGGTTGCACTGTGGTGTCTAGCAAGATGCTACAAAGCAAATGTTCTGCTTTAAAAGCAGTAAATAATTAGTGTTTTATGCAAGAGGTATGTGTAACTAAGATAGATACAGTTACATTCCAGTTTTTAATGTACTCAAATATGCATGTATTATGAATAAGGCTATTCCAAGAATCATAGAATTGTAGCGTTGGAAGGGATCCTGAGGATCATCTAGTTTAACACCCTGCAAGGCAGAAATATGCAGCTGTCCCATGTGGGGATTGAACCTGCAACCTTGGCATTATCAGCGCTACACTCTAACCAACTGAGCAAGATAATGTTAGTGCCACAAAGTTCTGCAAAAGAATACACAGGTCTCCTGCTTCGGGGTTTAAGATTAACTAGGAATGCATCTGCTCCAGTGCTGCAAAAAATTCAAAAAGCAAGTAACCCACTGTGATTTGAGTTCCCTGGTTTCCAGCACAAGGTTTGGGGGCAGCCTTCAATTTTCCATCAGAATAGTTTGCCCTAAAAGCAAAGTAGAACAAATCATCAACTATTTCAATCAGTTATTAGATTGGTCCACAAAGGATTATTTCAAGCCAGCAGTGCTTCAGAAAGAGACATTAAACTATCACCACCACTTGCAATGTTTTCCATCAATTTCTATGGCATTAAAAGTGAAGTAAACACAGAATCTGTCACTGGTACATCTATTTCAGTATTGTCTACACTGAGCGGTGGTGGGTCTCCAACGTTTTAGGCAGGAAGTCTTTCCAGCCTCACCTAGAGATGTCAGGATTTGAACCTGGGACCTTCTACAAGCAAAGCAGATCCTCTACCACTGTTCTGTAGCTCTGACTGGTGATACTGTAGTCAAATTTTGTTTTATTATTTATGCTCTTGAGCCACCCCCAAAAATGTCATTAGACTTCCTTTCTAAATGAGATGAATTTACACACACATACACAGTCTCTGCGTTTAGAGCTTACTTGAGAATAAGCACTGTTGACTAGTGTGGGAAATAACACACATAGCATCAGATTGCACATCATGTTATTGCTTAATCCATCTTGTCTCACTATAAGGCAAGGCAGATTCCTGTTACTTAAAGAGTACCTTTAACTTTTCTAGGGATTTTGCTACATTTTTACATTCTATTGAGAGGGAACAGAATGGCTATAACCTGTAATTGTGTATAATCTACACTGGATGAAGAATGCAGTGTATAACAAATCTTTAAAATGATTTCTACAGAAAAATTCTGCTCATACTTGATGCTCATTAAAAAAGGGTTTTGTTTGCATCAATGGTGCAATGAGTGACCTCCTGTGGCTAAGTGATGTATTGCACAATGCTGATTTCTCTCGTTTCTATTCTTAAACAATAAGAAGTCTTCTGTCTGCCTGTTCTTTTAATGTTTTTAGAGACATTGTTTATCTTCTAAAAGTTTATTATATTTGAACACTGCATAAGTGCAGTAAACAAATATTTGAATATACCTACCTGTAGGCACACTTTCCATCAGCTGTCTTAGTTGTTATAGTAACGTGGGCAACATGACTTATACTTGCCAGCGCCTGGAAGAGAAAAAACTAAGTTTTAGAAACTGAGTAACATACAGTAACATGCAGATGTTGAAGGTGGTACATAGTTCTTTACTGGTACGAAATAAGCATTCAGTAATCACAGTAATAGCATAGTAATTACATCCCAACTAATTATCTGTATTTGTAATCCTCACTATAATGATCTACATGCAGCTGGATACAAATTCTGTTCAAATAAAATGTTTTATTTATTCAGCCTACTTTAACAAAGTAACATACAAAAAAAATCAACACAATGAAAATAGGATAAAACCCATAACATAAAGCCAATTCATCTACTATATATTTTTGACAGTTGTTTGTTTGCTACGCATTTGCATACCCCTTAAGCTGTAATGAGATTTTGCATGATGATTCCTGAGATCAAGGAACAGATCCTTATATTTGCACACAATCAGACATCATTTTGACTCAAAATGACAGACTGAACCTTTTCCAACTGGACTGATTTTTAAACTGATTTTTTTGTTTCTTAGAATTCCTGAGCAATGCCTGATACAAGGTTGCTATAACAATATAAACAACAATTTAGGGCTGCAGAGGACAGCATAACATCAGGATCCAAAAAAAGAAGAATCCCAAATCAATTTAAATGTAATTGTCTTTACTGCCTACCTAAAACCAGGCTTTCCATCCCTATGATAGAGGTTTGGTGCAATACGGTCCAAGTGGCTGTTCTCAAATGAACCCTTGCAGCCACCTTATGGATGGTTCTGCATTACAGTCACATTGATTACATCTGAACCAACTTTCAGTGCACCTGAAATTACTTAAATATATAATTATTGAATGGTGACAAGCTGTGTTCTACAGAACTGATAAACCTGGATGGAATAGGAGAGCAAAGGGGGAAAATGGCAAAAAACTTATGCACTATGATAAACATTATAAAACTTAGTCAAAAACATACCTCGCCTCTAAACCCATATGTAGAAATACTAGCTAGGTCCTCAAAAGTCTGTAGTTTACTTGTGGTGAATCTCTCACACACAATATCCAAGTCTTCTCTCTGCAGAAGGAAGACAGATGTGAGCCAGAATTATCTCAAATATTGTTTGAATTGTTTTAAATAAGGTCTACTTTCTAGAAAGACAAATAGGTTTACTTACCCTAATTCCACAACCATTATCTAGGATTTGAATTAGTTTCAAACCGCCATCCTTCACTGTAACCTGGATGCTGGTAGCTTTGGCATCCAAACTATAGATACAAGAAATAAATCTCAGTGACAGAGACAACACAGTCTATTTCAATTCTATTTCTATTCCAAATCAGTCCAACACAAACATTTATCTCTGTAGGAAAGCAATGTGATGGGGAAAATGGCTTGTACCCCTCTCTATTGCTCCCCAAGTTACTATAAAGTCTCTAGAATAGTAAACACCAGGAAATGGAAGTAATGAAAGTATTGACTGACCTTGCTTTGGACAATGTCTGAGAATATTTATTTGCTATTAGAAAGCTAATGAAGTGTTGAGAAAAGGGTTGTTGATCTAATGCCACATATACTGTACTGTGGACCAGGCTCTGTGCAGTGCAAATAGTAGCAAATCAGCTAATAAGAATAAGAAATGGGCCTCGCAATGAAGATTATTAAAAGATGTTAATGTTTTAGATCAGGCATGACCAAACTTGGCCCTCCATATGTTTTGGCGCTACAACTCCTATCATCCCTGGCTAACAGGACCAGTGGTCAGCGATGATGGGAATTGTAGTCCCTAAACATCTGGAGAGCCTAGTTTGGCCATGCCTGTTTTAGATGATTCAATGTATAAATATGCATTCTTGTTGCTTTAGTCATATTCAATATTTCCAAAAAAGCTCAACAACTTTGCCAGATTTCTGTCCAGATTTTACTGTTTGAAATATGGCAACCATATATACAGCAACCATGTGTGTGGAGAGAGAGAGAGGGCGAGGGAAGGAGGGAGAGGATTTCACCAATATTACGACTATGCAGACTAGAACCAAGGATAAAGAAGCTGAATGCTTTAGTTTAAAGATTAATATTTGTGTGTAATCTGTTTATTGTTTGCTGTTGCTGATCTAAGGTCAGTTTGTTGTACTAGTGATGACTTGTAAGGAGGTCTTGACCAGAACATGAAGATGTCATGTCATGGCTGACATGGAATGGACAATGTGGAACTAGTTATGTACTTAGCATGATGTGTAAGCTGTATGTAAAATAAAAGTCTGTGTGAAATCTGCAATCGGTACAGCACCCATCACTTATGGAACCCTGTGCTGTTGGGGTGGCGACGAGATCGCACTGGTCTATCTATTCTGATGTTGGGAAAGATTGAGGGCACAAGGAGAAGGGGACGACAAAAGACGAGATGGTTGGACAGTGTTCTCAAAGCTACCAACATGAGTTTGACCAAACTGCAGGAGGCAGTGGAAGACAGGAGTGCCTGGCGTGCTCTGGTCCATGGGGTCACGAAGAGTCGGACACGACTAAACAACAACAACTAGTTTTCTGCAAAGCAGACAACTGTACATAAGCAATTTTATTTCACCCCAAAGAAGTAAAATTTCTCAGCAATCATTATGATGACTTTAGAAACTTTCTTCCTCTACAATTTTAGGATGCACAAAGTGTAGTTCTAGGCTCCCATTCTCAATCTCCTACCATTAATAAACTAAACATTTCATGAGAAATACAAACTTATCTTAAATAAGCATAATGGAAGTTGTTGCCCACTGTGTGCAAATGTTTGCTGTTACAAGGCTACAACCCTAAACACACTTACTGGAATGAAAGCCCCATTGAACTCCAGAGTAAACATCCCTAAGATTACACTAGCTGCTAGCACCTCTTGTCTGCGCTATTAAAAGGTAAAGGTAACGGACCCCTGACAGTTAAGTCCAGCTGCAGGCGACTCTGGGGTTGTGGCACTCATCTCGCTTTACAAGCCAAGGGAGCCAGTGTTTGTCCACAGACAGTTTTTCCGGGTCATGTGGCCAGCATGACTAAGCTGCTTCTGGCGCAACAAACCAGAGGAGCGCACGGAAACGCTGTTTACCTTCCCGTTTACCTATTTATCTACTTGCACTTTTTGGTGTGCTTTTGAACTGCTATGTTGGCAGGAGCTGAGACCGAGCAACGGGAGCTCACCCCGTCGCAGGGATTTGAACCGCCAACCTTCTGATCGGCAAGCCCAAGAGGCTCAGTGGTTTAGACCACAGAACCACCCGCGCTATTAGGGATACCATAAAGCAGTTGGGGAACTTGTGGCCCTCCCAATGTTGGACTATGACTCCCATCGGCCCAAGCCAGCATGACCAATGGACAGGGATGACAGGTTCCCCATACATGTCTTAAAGTTAAGAATGAGAGTGGGCAGTGCTAAGTCAACAATATGTGTTGAACAGCAGAGAATACCTTTCTTTAGCTAGCAAGATTTAAATACAGTGGTACCTCGGGTTACATATGCTTCAGGTTACAGACTCCGCTAACCCAGAAATAGTGCTTCAGGTTAAGAACTTTGCTTCAGGATAAGAACAGACCTCGGGCTCCGGCGGCATGGCAGCAGCAGGAGGCCCCATTAGCTAAAGTGGTGCTTCAGGTTAAGAACGGACCTCCGGAACGAATTAAGTACTTAACCTGAGGTACCACTGTACTTGACTGTAAACACCCCTAAGAAGTTTGCAAGTTTACAAACACTTTCTTTTTGTCTAGAGTCACTCCGAAGTAGGATATCATTGTAATAAGGAGAAACCCACTCTAACCACTTTCTTGCCACGATTCAGAATTGGGCAAACCCCTATAATCGTAGGCGCAGGAATCCGCCCTGGACACCTGAGAGACTGACTTGGTGCAGGAGATTCGTCCTGCCTTGAAGCAGATGGACACACACACATATGTATCCTGGGGCTTTTATAGCATTGCATGTCTGGCATCATGCTTAAGAGTGTCGAACTGGGACGCAGGAGAGGAGAGTTCGAATCCCCCACTCAGCCACCAAGCGCCCTGGGTGACGTTGGGCCCATCGCCATCTCTTAAGCCTGACCTACCTCACAGGGTTGTTGCGAGGATGAAACAAGGAGGGGGGGAGGAGAACCATGTGTACCACCTTGGAAGGTAAAGGCAGCATAGAAATGTGAAAAATGAAATAAATAAATAAATTACCAACTACCTTGGGAAGATAAAGGTGGCATAGAAATATGAAATAAATAAATAAATTACCAACCACATTGGAAGGTAAAAGTGGAATAGAAATATGAAAAATGAAATAAATAAATTGCCAACCACCCTGGAAGGTAAAGGTGGCCTAAAAATATGAAAAATGAAATAAATAAATTACCAACCACCTTGGGAAAGTAAAGGCGGCATAGAAATGTGAAAAATGAAATACATAAATTGCCAACCACCCTGGAAGGTAAAGGCGGCCTAAAAATATGAAAAATGAAATAAATAAATTACCAACCACCTTGGGAAGGTAAAGGCGGCATAGAAATATGAAAAAATGAAATACATAAATTGCCAACCACCCTGGAAGGTAAAAGCGGCATAGAAATGTGGAAAAATAAATAAATAAATAAATTACCAACCACCTTGGCAGGTAAAGGTGACCTAGAAACATGAAAACTAACTATCTATCTATCTATCTATCTATCTAACCAACCAACCAACCAGTTCTCCACCATCTCCTTGATGGCGTTGGCGGGTCTCTGGATGACTTCTCCAGCCGCGATGCGGTTCACCACAGCCTCGTCCAGGCGGCGGATCACACCCGCCATCAAGGCCATGAGGGGGCGGCCGGCGGCGGCGGCGGCGGCTGTGGCGAAGGGTCTCGGGGGTCGCCGGGGAAACGAGGGCGAAGGGGATACGGCGGGCGGCCGGCCGTCCCGGGGTTGTGGGACGGGGTTGGTCCGGAGGGAGAAAGGAAGGGGCCGCCCTTGCCGAGAAGCTCCGGGGAAAGCCGTGCGGAGACGCGCGCTCCCTCAGAGCAACGGCCGCCTCAACCGCCAAACTCGCGCCTCAAGGTTCCAGCGCGAAGCCGATTGGTCCGCCAGCATGTCAATCGAGGTTGGTCGGTTGCCGGGGTGAAAAGTTGTTTCCGCCTATAGGGACGCGCTTCCGTCGAAAGGGAAAGGATAGAGAGTGTTGTTGTTGTTGCTTTGAGGAAAGGAGAAAAAAATGAAGAGTGGCCCACGCGCTGCGTAAACGCGGGACTCGCTTTGGCGCTGATAAGTCTCTGCTTGAAACGTCGTTATTTTTAACCCACCTGCAGCTGCTGTCATTCTGCCTGCCAGTTTTGTAGTTTAGTGCTGTTGTTTTTTGCTACAATTTGTTCTCTCTGTTTTAGATGCGATATAAAATGAAATAATAATGCTAGGAACAAAACGAAACCAGATATTTCCTGCATGCTTTTATCGCCTTTTTTTTTTTTTTGCAGGCATAGCCTCCAACTTTTCCCGGATTTCATCATGATTATAATTTTTAATATGCCATCTACACCCCGCCCATCTGACTGGGTTACCCCAGCCACTCTGGGCAGCTTCCAACATACGTATATTAAAGCATAACAAAACATTAAACATGGGGGGTCCTCCCCCATCCCTTGGTGGGGATCAGTCTAAGACGCACTTCTTTCGAACAAAACAGCAGCAGCCCTGCTTCCCCCTGTATAAAACACCCCTCAGGCAATTTACTCAAATTGCTTCCTTTCAGCTCAAACCCGAAGCTCAATTGCATACAGGCGCCTCAGTCACCATTGGCACACTGGTCTGCTGAGCATAGCTGTCAACTTTCAGATTCGAAAATAAGGGATCAGCAGCCTCACCTGTCCTGGGGACAGTCTACGGGATATCTAACAATCTGGGATAGCAGCGGGAAGCAGCGGGAAATGGCGCTGGAATAAGGGAATTCCCTGCAAAAAAGGGAAGGTTGACAGCTATGCTGCTGAGTAAAGCTTTATATTATTATTATTATTATTATTATTATTATTATCATCATCATCATCATCTCAGCTTTCTCCCTAACAGGGACTCAAGGCGGCTTACAGATAAAAATAAGAACAGCTTTTAAAAATAATTCCCAGAAGTTGGAAGCTATGTGTCTTCTAAAATATGTCTGTCTTCTGATACAGTGGTAAAGGTAAAGGTAAAGGTACCCCTGCCCGTACGGGCCAGTCTTGACAGACTCTAGGGTTGTGCGCTCATCTCACTCTAGAGGCTGGGAGCCAGCGCTGTCCGCAGACACTTCCGGGTCACGTGGCCAGCGTGACAAGCTGCTCTGGCGAGCCAGTGCAGCACACGGAATGCCGTTTACCTTCCCGCTAGTAAGCGGTCCCTATTTATCTACTTGCACCCGGGGGTGCTTTCGAACTGCTAGGTTGGCAGGCACTGGGACCGAGCAATGGGAGCTCACCCCGTCGCGGGGATTCGAACCGCCGACCATGCGATCGGCAAGTCCTAGGCGCTGAGGTTTTACCCACAGCGCCACCCGCGTTACCCCTTAAGTACTTAATTCGTTCCGGAGGTCCGTTCTTAACCTGAAACTGTACTTAACCTGAAGCACCACTTTAGCTAATGGGGCCTCCTGCTGCCACTGCGCCGCCGGAGCACGATTTCTGTTCTCATCCTTAAGCAAAGTTCTTAACCCGAGGTAATATTTCTGGGTTAGCGGAGTGTGTAACCTGAAGTGTATGTAACCTGAAGCGTATGTAACCCAAGGTATGTCTATGGGCAAGGAAGGGATGACGGAGAATGCTACAATTCCCAGTAGATTGCACAGCAGAAGGCATGCTGGGAAATGTAGTCTGGCGCTGCCCCCAACTTGCTCCCTTCTTCCTCTTCTTCCAGTCAAACACAGTGCAGTAATCTTCCCTTCTATCTCAGCTGCAGCAGCAGACTGTGCATGAATTATCTTAGTGCATCAGGGGTTGTCAACCTGGTCCCTACCGCCCACTAGTGAGCGTTTCAGGGTTCTAGGTGGACGGGAGGGGGTTCTACGGCACAAGCTGAATCCTCCTTCCATCGAGCACTGGTGGGCGGTAAGGAAATTTGACCATTAAGAAAGATGCATTAGTAGATGGGAGATATCTGTGGACATTGAGCTTAACCTGTAATGTAACATATTTTTCCAAGTCTGTTTTGATACCACATGGCTGACTGCATACGAGACGTACTGTAACATCTGTACATGCATTTGTCCTGGAAAAAGACACTTTGTGCTTGGTAATCGTTTTAAAGAAATTCCAGTAAAGTTTGCAATATTTTATTTTTAAGCAAGCCGGCTTCAGTACAGGGTTCCTTGGAGTACTGTGCTTGGTGAAGGGTGGCTTATACTTGTATGCCTCATAATATATATCTCTGCTGAAAGTGATAAGGAAGTTTGCATAAGCTCATTTAGGGTGCTCTGTAATCAGCCACAGTGCCTTTATCTCAAGTACCATTTTGCTTGTTTGTCATGAAGGAGCTCAGCTGTGTTAGTTAAACAAACACTGCAGGACTGAGGCGAACCTTTGCATTTCTAGGGAGGTATGCCTTAAAGCGTTGATATGTGGCTTCGCCACCAGCCATACTCTGAACCTTAGCTAACATTTCACTGTAGCTGGTAGTGACTCTCTGCCTCTTGACCTCTGTCCTCTGACTCACCACCTTCATCTTCTGCCCCTGATTCTGGACTTATCTCTGCCACAGAGTCGCCCTGCTCACTAAGCCCTGTTATCTCTTCAGCTTCTGACACCTCCTCTCCCCATACTTCTCCCTCTGACCACTCATTGTGGACCCACCACCAATCCCTGGACTCTGAGCCTTCTTCTTTTAGGGGTTCCGCAGCTGGTTCCTTCCACCATTCCTCTGCATCCAACCAGACCCTGACATCTGGAGAGAGACCTGAGGGCCAAATAGGGCGGTCTGAGGGGCCAAAGCTGGTCTCCAGGTCTGAGGCTCCCCACCCCTGCCCAAGGGCGTGCTGTTGGCATGTGGGGGACAGGAGTTTGAGCAGTGAAATGCCCCCCTCTGCACTTTCAAAACAACAACAACAAACCTATGGTTACGTGGAACATACTCAATAAACACACAAGACGTAACCGGCTGTACTTTTGAATAAATAAGGTATATTATTCATGGTATCACATTGGAGATTTCAACAGAAGTCTCATAAAGTTCCTTGTCTTAGACTCTGTAAAAGGATTCTGTGGAACTGTAACAACCCTTCATGTGGATTATTGGACTCTATGAACAGACAGGTGGAATAGACACTTATACATGTATGGACCTTATACATGAACTGACTAGAGAATGAACTAATCCACTGGGTCTTCTGCTTTTTTCGTTGAACTTTATGAGACTTCCGTTGAAATCTACAATTTGATACAATGAATAGTATACCTTATTTATTCAAAAGTACAGCTGGTTACGTCTTGTGTGTTTCTTGAGTGTGTTTCTCTGCACTTTCTGGATGCCAAGAAAAGCAGGAATCTTCAGACATTTTCCAGTTTGCTTTTGGCCTTTTGTTTCCATTCATAGCTTTTGTTTGTTCGAGAGCATGAGCAAGCCTTCCGGATGTTGGGGAGGACAACTCACATGATCCCCAGCAAGCAGGTCAGGGAGAACCGGAGATATTAATTCAGAGTATGATATTCTAATGAAGGAAGTACTGCTTATTAAAATGAAGGAGTATGCCGATTTGGTAAAGCTAACAGCAAATATTAGAGATCAAAACAACAAAACATTCTTTGAGGCTTGGGAACCCTTTGTGGAATATCTAAAGAACTATTATAATTGCACGAAAACGCGAGTAGGAGTTGAAATATGAGCAACAGAAAGACATTGAGGCTAATAATCTAGGATGTATATAGGAAGCGTTACAAGTTAAAATACGCAGCATTAAAGGATAAATATAGAACATCATGGAGGGGGCATGGGAAGTCAATGGATAAATTAAAAGTATTGTTGATGGTAAAGTACGTGAACTTTTGAAAATTAAATAAACAAAACAAAATAAAATAGGAGAGATATTCCACTAACAATTCTCAGGCTTTGTTGTGTGGGCTCAGCATTTTCCAGGACTCTGTTGGTGTGTCTTATGATTTTCCTACAGTTTTTGTATATTACTCTGTGTGTGTGTGTGTGTGTGTGTGTTTTTCTCACCTCCTGGGTTGCTGAGCGCACACGGAATTTGTCATCTGCTCCAGGAACTCATCTCCAGAACTGTTCCACTTCTCTGCTCATGCCCTTCAACAAGCTTAAATTGCTAGACACCAATCACGTGTATGAAAAAGTCCTGGAGAGAAGTTTAGGGCAGCCCTAAGGAGCTGCTTTTTTTTTTTTTTAACATAAAGCTCCTTTCTATAATAAATGTCCTTTATTTCAATACTGTGATAGGAATTTTATGGTCTTAGATATATGGTAATGTTCATAACCGCACATACATAGATCAGCACAGGAAGACCAACCTGGAACCATTTTGATTCCTAAACTGACCAAATGTTTTCTCTGCAAGGTCAAAATGGAAAAGCCTCCCCATTGTCTTTTCCTTCACAAATCCTGTCTTAAGGGTATGTCTGTGTTTGAATAAGGGTGTGAGCCTTATCATTACAAAAGACTGGCCAGGCTCCTCAGGCAATCCAATCAAGTAACCTGCCAGACAGGAAATAAACAAGGACAAGGGAAAAACAATATTGAAATTTCTGTTTTAAGACCACCTTTTCTGTGATGCATCTGAGGGGTGGTCTTAGGTTACACCCCTTCTGTGATGTATGTATGATGTTTCTGGGGGTGGTCTTGATCTACAGGAGGGGAATTTCAAAAGTCTTTATAAGCCCTTGCACAGCATTTTTCTGGGTCCTTCTCCTTTCCTGCATGTGAGGGGAGCACCCTGTTGCAACAGATCAATAAAGATCAAGCTTACTAGCTGCTTTGCTGCTCAATATTCTCTGGTTGGCCTCTGTTATTTTCTCCTGCCAATAGGGAACCTATGTAAGGACTCTATATGGGCTCTTGGATACCCCATAAGGGAAAAGGGCATATTTTTATTTACAACAATACCATACCATAAAAGGAAGACTTGCCGATTTTCCTTCTGCAGCAGCAAGATTAGCAGTTGTGAGAAACGAAGTCAGAGCAGGACTTTGACTACAACTTCGATTTGGAATATGAAGTTCCTTGAAAAACTGAGCAACAGTGTGAGAAAGGCTAAGTTTGAAGGAATTTGGTTTGTATGTTGTGTGAAAGAGATAAACTTCTGGAGGTGACCTTGGATCTTTGTGGAGAGTTAGGTTCCAAAGTTAGGATGACCCTAGAGACAGTAAAAATAGGATTGTTTTCCTATGTAGTGTTTCTGTTATTTTTGCTGTAAATGTGAATCAGAACTGTTGTGCAATCACTTGGAAAACCAGTGAAAACATCCCCACCCTAACAAGACCTGTAAATGGTCAGAAAAACAAATTACCCCATTTTCTTGTGAAATTGCAACCACAACACATCTTGTAAAAAGCGCAGTAGCTGCTCAGCTTTCAGTTTTGAAGCATATTGATGTTTCAGTTTTCCTCAAACGAAAATGAAAACCCCAGACACGTTTGACCGGTTTCTTTCCCCCACAGCTGACCAGTTTTAAGTTGCTTTTGTCTTTTTGCTTTTTGGGTGAGGCTAGAAGAGTTGCTTGGCTGCCAACTGCACCAGCTGTTTGGAATGAAGCTCAGTTGTACTTCAGAAGGGTGGAGCTGGAAGAACAGAAGTAAGGAGTGGGTTTTTTCCGCTCTGGAAGCCGCAGAGAAAGAGGAAGAAATGCGGGTGGAAGACAGAGCCACGTGAGAAGCTGAAAAACAAACACATCTCTGAGGGAGGCTGTGAGCACACCTACTGTTTTTGTAGGAAAGGAGGTGGAAGAGGTTGTCCTCAGTCTGACCCTATGATAACCTGGAGCTCTTAGGTCTAACATGGACTGCTCTAAATCCTGTCCACTGGTGTAAGAGGAGGCTGAGAATGCTCTGAGGTCACGGAAATAAATAATTTTTCAAATACCGTATTTTTCGTGCCATAAGACGCACCTGACCATTAGACGCACCTAGTTTTTAGAAGGGAAATACAAGAAAAAAATATTCTTTAAAGGGAGCGCTGAGCATAGCCTGTATGCATCCCAGGCTCTGCTCAGTGCTCCCTTTCACGAGCCGCGTGGAGTGTGTGTGCGGCGCTTGCAGGCTTTTCCCCAGGAGGGAGAAAAGCCCCCAAGAGCCGCACACATGCTCCACGTGGCTAGTGAAAGGGAGTGCGCCTCTTGGGGGCTTTTCCGGGAGGTGGGGGAAGGGACAGAGGGGCTGCCCGCTGTCCCTGCCCCCACCTCCCGCAAAAGCCCGCAGGAGCCACACTCCCTTTAAGGAGCGCGCGGCTCCTGCGGGCTTTTCTACGAGGAGGGAGAAGGGACTGACTGGCTGCGTCAGTCCCTTCTCCCTCCTGGGGAAAAGCCTGCAAGAGCCACGCGGAGTGTGTGTGCGGCTCTTGGAGGCTTTTCCCGCCTGCCTCCCGCCTGCATTCGCTCCATAAGGCGCACACATTTCCCCTTACTTTTTAGGAGGGGAAAAGTGTGTCTTATGGAGTGAAAAATACGGTACCTGTAATAGAGTAGGATTAAGTATATTCCATGGAGTTCAATGGCGCTTAAAGAAGAAGAGCCCCATTGGATCAGATGCCTATGGGAAGCCTGCAAGCAGGACCTAAGTGCAAATTCAAGGCAACTGGTATTTAGAGGCATACTTCCTCTGACAATGGATGGCCTTCCTGGGACCCCTGAGATCTCTCACTGCAGTGAGACCGCTGTGTGTGTAGCAAAAGCAAACGCCTCAAAACGATGCTCAGGCTTCAAGACTGTCCCCACTTGCCTGCAAATAAGCCACATGGAACTTCACGGGACTCACTTCTGAGTAAGACATAGGCAGAATTATATTGTCAAAGGGAGACCATCCGGCTTTGAGTGAGCAACTGCAATAATCTCTTTGCCCTGGAAGAAAGTGATATGCCGAACTATATTGGGGGCACAATATTTTCTAATACAGTGGTACCTCGGGTTAAGTACTTAATTCGTTCTGGAGGTCCGTTCTTAACCTGAAGCACCACTTTAGCTAATGGAGCCTCCTGCTGCCGCCGCGCCACCGGACCATGATTTATGTTCTCATCCTGGAGCAAAGTTCTTAACCTGAAGCACTATTTCTGGGTTAGCGGAGTCTGTAACCTGAAGCGTATGTAACCTGAAGCGTATGTAACCTGAGGTACCACTGTATGTACATTCACGTCCAGCATCCTTTTTGAGGCATTGCCTCTTTTTTCTTTGCTTTTCCTTCTTGTTCTGGTCAGTAAGATCAACTAAAGAAAGTAAGGTTCACAAATAATAGCATATAAGAATTTTACTATTGCAGTGGTACCTCGGGTTACATACACTTCAGGTTACAGACTCCACTAACCCAGAAATAGTACCTCGGGTTAAGAACTTTGCTTCAGGATGAGAACAGAAATTGTGCTCCGGTGGCATGGCAGAAGCAGGAGGCCCCATTAGTTAAGTGGTGCTTCAGGTTAAGAACACTTTCAGGTTAAGAACGGACCTCTGGAATGAATTAAGTACTTAACCCGAGGTACCACTGTATCTGTTTGTCTATATTAATAGGCCGATTATGCAAACAGCAAAACATCCAGCCTTTAAACCCCTCTGTTCTTTGGCAATAAATTAATTGGCGCTCCTGTCGAAGCCCTGGCTGGCTTCTGGAATATCTAAATAATACCCTGTCCGTCTGGCTGGGTTGTTAACATGATCACCCCTGAGCACTCTGTCCCACTTATTTGGCTCCCTGATATACTCCAGAGCTTAGAGCGAGAACAAGCTGAGAGACAGCTAGTATGCAAATGGAGGAAAGATCCAACTGAATGCCACTGAACACTGGTGAGGGGTCATCACTGAGCCTACCTAGGGGCAGTGAAGGCAGCAAAGAAGGTATTTTGAGGATAAAATCTCTTGCATCCACCGCAATCTTGAATCCCCTGCGATTGTGGATGAATCTCATGGGGTGTCCAGAGCACAGTCCAGTTCTGCTGTGTTGGATGAGTTTCTGTTGGTAAGGCTCGAGGATGTGGTCAAGGTGCTTGGATCAGTCAGGGTGACCATGTGTGCTGTAGAGCAGGCATGTCCAACAGGTAGATCGTGATCTACTGGTGGATCACTGGACGTCTGTGGTAGATCACTGGTAGATCATTGGCTCCCCCCAAAGAAGCTGAACAACTGTGGCTCCCCTAAAAAAGGCTCAACATTTTACCACCTCCCTGAAAAACTCAACAACTTTGACCCGAACCCCCAAATAGGGGGTAGATCACTGCCAGTTTTTAACTCTGTGAGTAGATCGCAGTCTTTTGGGAGTTGACCATCTATGCTCTAGACTTTTGCCCCTCTTGGCTGATAAAAACCAGCAGGGAGGGGACAGCTGGCTGGACCAGGGAGGTGGTTCATACTTCTTTACGAGAAGGGGTGGTCCCTGCTTGCTTGAAGAAGGCAGTGGTAAAACCACTCCTTAAGAAACCCTCTCTGTATGGATGTTATAGTGACAGGCAAGTGTCAGGCTTGCTTCTGTGAGGAGGGCATTATTTACAAGGAGAGGGTGCCACCACCAAAAAGGCACTCTTTGTTTTGTTTGGTGGGGGAACCTGGAGAAGCCTCTCTGAATAAGACCTTTAAGCCTAACCTTTTTTTCATTTTGTGTGAAATAGGTAGCTTGGGTGGGAGGATATGGAAATCATCAAGAAAGAAAGAAAGAAAGAAAGAAAGAAAGAAAGAAAGAAAGAAAAGGAGAGAAGAAGGAACTATGTGTTTATAAATGGAGGCTGTGGGCAGGCTTGTGACATTGCAGGGGGGTTGTAGATGACCTTTGGGGCCCTTCCAACTTGCCATTCTATGATTCTATAAAGGCAAAAAGTCCAGGCATTACAATAAATTACGTCAAGCACAAATGTAAACAAGAGCTTGAAGGGTTGGCCTCCCCAGCCACTTTGCTTTCGGTGGGAGGAGAAACTATTACAAATACTTAAGACACCTTTCCTTTCGTTTACGGATTAGACCTATCAACGTAAATAAAGCTAGGTTTCATTTCCTTTAGCAGCTGCTTTATTCGAAGTGCGGAAACGTCTAAGTTTCTGTTTCTGCGAGGTCATGCGGCCACAGTGGATTCCTCTGCCGTGCTTGGCAATAAGCCTATCTGCATCCTTTCAGGGCCAGCCCTGTTAAGCAGCTTCCACGCTGGGACCCTTTGATTTGCACAGAGGGCAGGTGAGCTGGCTTTAGAACACCCTTCCCCCATCCAGTTTCGCCAACAGATTGGTACACATTAACCATTCAGTTTTACAGAATATTAACCGTAATGAGGCAGAGCTCTGATCTGCTGCAGATATAAGGACGTCGGAGAATACATTCTGTGGAGTCAGACCACAGACCCCTCTGCCTCAGTACTGCCTACACTGACTGACAGCAGCTTTCCAGGATCTCCTAGCCCTACCAGGAATTGCCAGGGAATAAACCTGGGACGTTCTGCATGCCAAGCAGGTGTTCTGCCACTGAGTTATGGCCACAAAATCTGAGAACACTCCAAGCCATACAGGCGATATAAAACGGCATTCCGTGAAATGGTGTTTGCAGGCCACTCAGGAAGTAGCTGGGGGTTCAAGGTGGCTATAGCACTGTTCTGGGCCTCAGAGACTATGGTGTCCTACCCCACCCCCTGCCCCCAGCAATATCCCAGCTGACACAAAAGGTAGTGTAGAACAATCTTTTGTTAGAAGGCAAGGGAATTTTTTTAAAAAAAGAAAAATAATTTTAAAAATACAGTAATTACAGTGGTACCTCAGGTTACAGACGCTTCAGGTTATAGACTATGCTAAGCCAGAAATAGTACCTCAGGTTAAGATCTTTGTTTCAGGATGAGAACAGAAATCGCGCTGCGGCAGCAGGAGGCCCCATTAGCTAAAGTGGTGCTTCAGGTTAAGAACAGTTTCACATTAAGAATGGACCTCCAGAACAAATTAAGTTCTTAACTCGAGGTACCACTGTAATTACTAATTCTTACATTTTAGCCGGCATAGCTGCAATTTGTTTGCGGTGATTAAAAACCTTCTGTGGCTAATCATATAAAACGTTTAGCTGATTGATGCACTCACTCTTAGATTCAGATTCTAACTCCTAACGTGCATTTTATATCTGAATGTAGGTGCTTCAAACGGAAAGGGGGTGTTGCTGTTTCTAATTTTCTTCTCCATAGCTTTGAGGAACAGCTTGTTGCTGTTCATGTTTGCCTTTCATCTCATGAACAGTAGCTATTGCCGTTTTGGTTGTTCCTTTCCCCTCAGCAACAACACTGCAGCGTAAAAGGGCAACCTTTACCCCAATAAAGTAAGCCACATTGCAACAATACTGACTCATCCTGTTTGGTTCACTCCCACTCCAAGCCAGATAACCGCATCTGCTGTTATGTCTCAGTGCGATTCTCCCCTTTGTTCCCAAAACAACATCATTTGGCCACGTTCAAAGCCAAGGGGACACCTTCTCACCGGCAGCTCCTCCGTGCCCTGGGATCAAGCAGAATGATAGTCAGTGGTACCTCGGGTTACAGACGCTTCAGGTTACAGACACTTCAGGTTACAGACGCTTCAGGTTACAGACTCCGCTAACCCAGAAACAGTACCTCGGGTTAAGAACTTTGCTTCAGTGTCACCAATGGAAGCAAAGGCTCAGAAAAAACTCAATATGGAGGCCAAATGGCCGAAGTATTGGGAAATTCTGGAACAAGAGGGAGACAGATTAAAACTGCAGAGTTTTGAAAAATTAAAAAACAGAGTGCGAGATTGCCTCCGTTATTATCAAATAATGGAGGCATATAATTTGGACAAAAAACTAGGCTTCCAGGTGGAAAAATCAAAATTGGAAACAGAATTGTTAGACTCCAAAGTTAAGAATCTGTCAAGAATGTATAACTTGCTGTTGAAATGGAATACTCAGGATGAAACGGTGAAATCTGCTATGATTAAATGGGCACAAGATGTTGGACATAACATTATGATGGCTGACTGGGAACAGTTATGGACCACAGGTATGACGTTTACGGCATGGAATGCCTTAAAAAAGAATCTAATGAAAATGATCTACAGGTGGTACATAACACCAGTCAAGCTTGCAAAAATCTACCATTTGCCCGATAATAAATGCTGGAAATGTAATGAGACTGAAGGTACATTCTTTCACCTTTGGTGGACATGCCCAAGGATTAAGAATTTCTGGGAGATGATTTATAATGAAATGAAAAAGGTATTTAAATATACCTTCCTGAAGAAACCAGAGGCCTTTCTCCTGGGCATGGTCGGCCAATTGGTGCCAAAGAAGGATAGAATTTTCTTTATGTATGCTACAACAGCAGCAAGAATACTTATCGCAAAGCATTGGAAGACACAAGATCTACCCACCCGGGAAGAATGGCAGATGAAGCTGATGGACTACATGGAACTGGCGGAAATGACTGGCAGAATCTGAGACCAGGGAGAAGAGTCGGTGGAAGAAGATTGGAAAAGATTTAAAGTATATTTACAGAAATATTGCAAAATTTATGAATGTTAGAAGGATGCTGGAATGAAGCTATATGGCTTTAGCAGAAATGTTATAAAGAATTAAGTAAAAATAGATTGTTAATGGGTCAAAGTGGAAAATTTAAGGTTAGACTGTGTTAAGATAAATTATAGAACAAAAATTGAGAAAGATGGAAAGAATTTGCTGAAATAGCTAATTGAACTAGAATACAAAAAAGGGAGGTGTGAGGAGGTCGATGAAACAGGTAAATGAAAGATAAAGATACGGAAATATTGGATGTGTTTTTAAATGTTTTTGTTTTTCTTGTTGTTTTGCTGTATTGTTTTTTGTTTTTGTTTTTTTGATGTATTGTAAGGTATTGCTTTGTTTTGTTTAACTTTTCATTGTTTCTTTCTTCTTTTTTCTGTAATCTTCAAACCTCTAATAAATATTATTTAAAAAAAAAAAGAACTTTGCTTCAGGATGAGAACAGAAATCATGCGGTGGCAGTGGGAGGCCCCATTAGCTAAAGTGGTACCTCAAGGTTAAGAACAGTTTCAGGTTAAGAACGAACCTTCAGAACGAATTAAGTTCTTAACCCGAGGTACCACTGTAGATGTGCTTCATTCTTTCTTATATGGTGTCCGTAGCTGGAGACTGGTGCAGGTCAGGATTCACAAACACGGTGTCCGTGAAGATAACTCTTTATTTGAATAAACCAATACAGCACAGGCCTAGTGATCCCAGTAGGGAACTGGTCGCAGAAGGATGGGGAGACTCCCTGGATTATTTGGCAAGTAGTACAGTGGTACCTCGGGTTACATACGCTTCAGGTTACAGACTCTGCTAACCCAGAAATAGTACCTCGGGTTAAGAACTTTGCTTCAGGATGAGAACAGAAATCGCGCGGCGGCAATGGGAGGCCCCATTAGCTAAAGTGGTACCTCAGGTTAAGAACAGTTTCAGGTTAAGAATGGACCTCCAGAATGAATTAAGTTCTTAACCAGAGGTACCACTGTAGTAGGATTCCTTCAGCATTCTTCAGTTGTTGACAATCCAGTTTCCATTAATGTAGAATCATAGAGTTGGAAAGCACTGTGAGGGTCATTCTAGTCTAAACCCCTGAGATGCAGGGAACTTGTTGCCCAATGTAGGGTTTGAACCCATGGACCTGAGATTAAGAGTCTCATGCTCTGCGTATTGAGCCAACGAGAGGTCTACTGAAAGAGGAAAAGAGAAGATACCTTAAAATACTACACCCATCAACAGCACTTCCTGTCCTGTCCTGTGGCCAGAAGTAACGCATCCTGCATTTGAATATACGGTGATTTCCTATGGGCCAAGTGAAATCGAGGATACAGCGTGTCCTCTAGATGAGAAACCTTTGCTGAAAGGGTTTGCTACAATGGTGAGAAGCTAAGAAGGTGTTGGCTTGTCTTTTGGAGGGTATCAACAAGGTTTCTCTTTTTGCTTCTGCCGCAAAACATTTGCAGAGGCAATTAGAATAATACATATTATTTGATCAACTTTTTAGCATCCCTCCGCTTAAAAAAAACAAACCCCAACAGAAAGCCTATTGGTTCACATATTTTATCTGTGGCTAAAGGATCATGAATCACTTCCATCATTTGCATTGATGTAAACCTCTGGAATGTACAGTCATACCTTGGGTTGAAGTAGCTTCAAGTTAAGTATTTTTGGGTTGTGCTCCACGGCGCTCCGTTACTTCCGGGTTTCGCCGCTCACGCATGCGCAGACGCTAAAAATGATGTCACACACATGCGCGGAAGCGGCAAAACGCGACCCACGCACACACAGACGCGCAGTCACGTTACGTTTACTTCAGGATGCGAACGGGGCTCCGGAATGGATCCTGTTCGTATCCAGAGGCACCACTGTATTTAGTATAGCTAGCTATTTAGCTCCATCCCCAGTATATTTTATCTTATTGCTATGGCTAGTAGCTAATGCAAATAAAGTTTCTATCTATCTATCAATCTATCTATCTATCTATCTATCTATCATCTATCTATCTATCTATCTATCTATCTATCTATCTATCATCTATCTATCTATATCATCTGTCATCTATCTATGCAGATGGTGGCTCTGCTAGGGCCAGTTCTTCCTTTGGGGAGTACTGGGACCACTTACTGGAAACACTTGTGTGACATTGCGAAACAGCATGAAAAGTCACTCAGGCATTTCACGGTATACAACATTTGGATAGAAACACCATCTAGGTGTGGACTATATAAATGCATTTATGCAGAACGTCACTGCATCATAAACCAAGGAATTCAGCAATGGAGGGGCGTGTTCAAATGCCTAGTGGCTAATACATTGTTAAATATAGGCACTCACTGTGCTGCTTTATATGCCTGCTAAAAACAAGGCAGTGCAATGTAATAAGTATGTGCAATATGATTAAAAGAAGAGCAGGGATCAGAACAGTTAAGTCGGACATGCTCTGATACTGCGAATGGATATGCGACTTGAAGGACTTATGCTTCAAGTTCGATTTCCCTACATTTCCTCAGAGGTTCCCATCCTGCAAAGACTTATATTTGCAAGCAAGAGAAAGGAGACGAAGACTTGAATGCAGAGAGAACGACCTTTTCCCTTTACTGATCAGAAATAGGACCCGACCTTCATGTTGGTTTCTGTTTCCCTCACTGAGCAGCAGCTGGTAGTCACAAGACTATGTTTTCATTCCACAGTCCAGATACTGTTGGATTCCCACGGGAAAGGGAGACGGGATGTGACGTTTACTGGTTTCCTGTTTTTTTTGTACTGTCGTTTCTTTGTTGGAGTTGGTCTCTGCTTCCCACAGAGACAAGATGTATATTTGTATGCTCTCAGCATAGCTTAGAAATAAAGCATAGAAGAAGAGTTTTGGATTTGATATCCCGCCTTTCACTTCCCTTCAGGAGTCTCAAAGCGGCTAACATTCTCCTTTCCCTTCCTCCCCCACAACAAACACTCTGTGAGGTGAGTGAGGCTGAGAGACTTCAAAGAAGTGTGACTGGCCCAAGGTCACCCAGCAGCTGCATGTGGAGGAGCGGAGACGCGAACCCGGTTCCCCAGATTACGAGACTACCGCTCTTAACCACTACACCACACTGGCCCTCAATGTAGCAATGTGCTACTAGCAATGTAGCACCATACCTGCCTCAACCTTTCGTTGCGGACACTGGATGTATACTCTGCTGGGCTCGATCCAAGATGAGCCGTATCTGCTCAAGATGGGCCGGAGCTGAATTTAACTGACACTTCATATCTGTTTGGAATAGAGCCCCTGAGTGGGACTTCTCCACCTTTGAGTACATGCCCAGAATTTCTCATGCGACAAAGAACATTTTATCTGTGGTCACACTATCATGTAAATCCATTGCATAATCAGTATATTCTCAAAATAAAACCGTGTTGTGGTTTTCTCTCACTACGGTGGTGTTTGAAATACCCTTCAAGCACACATTTTTATTTTCAGCCTCCCAAATGCCAAGGCTATTACTCCATCTCAGCAAAAAGATACAAGCTGGATATTTCTGTTGTCATCCGTTTTGGTCATAGAATCACAGAACTGCCGAGCTGGAAAGGACACGGGGGGTCATCTTGTCCAAATTCTGGAATCTCAACATATGGGTCCCCCATCCAATTTGAAACCATAGTAGATGTTGCTTCGCTTTGCAAATATGTTAACAGGTTTGGGTTTTTTTAAATCAAAGCCAGCATTGAACCATCATGGATGCATGATGGTGTTTGTTGAATTCAGCAGTGCTAAAATAACAATAATTAATATGTGATAGGATTTGGGGCAGTCCAGTGCACAGATCTCTAAACATGTTTCTAATTTGCATTTCCAGTGTGAGGCATAAAGGATATTTTGCATGAAGGCATATGGAGCATAAATAATAATAATAATAATAATAATAATTATTATTCTTATTATTATTATATTTATTTATACCCCACCTTCCCCCCCCAACAGAGACACAAGGCAGCTTATAGATAAAATGTTGTTGTTTGTTGTTTAGTCGTTTAGCCGTGTCCGACTCTTTGTGACCCCATGGACCAGAGCACGCCAGGCACTTCTGTCTTCCACTGCCTCCCGCAATTTGGTCAGACTCATGTTTGTAGCTTCGAGAACACTGTCCAACCATCTCGTCCTCTGCCGTCCCCTTCTCCTTGTGCCCTCTATCTTTCCCAACATCAGGGTCTTTTCCAGGGAGTCTTCTCTTCTCATGAGGTGGCCAAAGTACTGGAGCCTCAGCTTCACAATCTGTCCTTCGAGTGAGCACTCAGGGCTGATTTCCTTAAGAATGGAGAGGTTTGATCTTCTTGCAGTCCATGGGACTCTCAAGAGTCTCCTCCAGCACCATAATTCAAAAGCATCATGGTAAAATAGATAAAATAGATAAAATATTTTTATCTATTTTATTTATAGATTTTATTTATAGATTTTATCTATTTTATTTATAGATAAAATAGGAACAGCTAAAAACATAGACAAAAATCTTTTTTTTTTAAATTAAACATTAATAGCATATATCATCTATTGAAAACTTACAGGTAATTACAATTTAAAAATGGATTTTCAGATTGAGGCTCCAACATACCAAAGTTTGCGGATGTCGATCTTTGAGTAGTTTGGACAGAAATATGAGGTGTTACAATAGTGATTGGATTTGATCCACAGTAAGTTACTTGCATTTAGTTTCTACTGAAATCAGTGGGACTTAAATTCAACCGACAGCTTAATCCTATACATGCTTTCTCAGAAGAAGACAGCTCTCTGACCCATCAGTAACAGTGGTTAGGCTTATGGAAACCAAAGACGAGGTCTGTTTAAGTGGTGGTCCTATACTTATGGAATATGCTCCCCTACGGATGTGGGTGGACAACCAAACCCGGACAATGGGTTGAAAACTTAATTTCCCCACTCCACACAGACCAACTTTATAGGGATCACTCGCCTTTCCTAATACTGTAATGACATCAAGTAATTAAAAGCATAGCTGTTAACGTTTCCCCTTTTTTAAGGGAAATTCCCTTATTCCCTGAATAGGATTCCTCGCAAGAAAAGGGAAAAGTTGACAGCTATGATTAAAAGGTGTCAAGAGTTCAAAAGGGGTCACTGAACCTATCAGTGGTTATAGCAATAGCCTTTAAAATGAGCTCATTGGTGCTTTGCAAGGGATTTGCTGTAACTGCTAAATTCATTGGAGATCCCAGAAAGCCCTTTGAAGTCTGCTTAGAGAGCCAACCTGTAGACATCCTGTTTTGCCTCAGCAAAGAAAGCGCTGTTTGGAGAACGCAGTTTGGATCCAAACTGCTTCCTGCAGAAGGAGAAAAGGGAAAGCACACCCCCTCAGCAGTGGGGCTTCTTGCCAGTGACGATCACTTTAGGTTTCTGATTTTAATAAAAAGTACGGTAAAATACCTGTGTAGGGCAGGTAGGCATGGTTTAGTCAATAACAGTCAAATGGGGGGACCCATTTTGGGCCTAATTGATATTGAGGGCCAGAGGCGCTCTTCCATCACTCTGATATTTTTTTTTAACTCATATCAGCTTTTAATTAGATCCACATTTCATCCATTTTTATCCCATGTGCCTTCACTGCCCCCTCCCTATTTTAAAGGGGGCTAATTTTTGCCTTAAATTGCTTCTGCATGGCTTTTGCAGGCTGCCTTATGATGTTTGCCCTAATTATATAAACCTTATAATGCAATTTACACGTGTGTGTGTGTATTTTTTTATTAAAATTTGTTTTACAATTTCAAATAAACATTGTACATACTTAAAATATCAGTGACTCCCCTTCTTCTCTTTCCATGGTTCATTTTGCATATCTTATAGCTCTGCATATTTTACAACAACTATACCAGTTTTTCATTACTACATCCGTCACAGATTACCGTATTTACACTGTTGAATTTATCTTAATGCTGCCAGCGTTTTCAGCTGTAGTTATTTTCCTTATACTCAATAAACATTTCCCAATCTTCTTTAAACGTATTGTTCTTCTGGTTCTCTTATTCTATATGTTAAGTCTGCAGGTTGTGCATATTCTGCAAACTTAAGTTGCCAATCTTCTTTCATTGGGACCTCACTCTTTTTCCATTTGGGGGCTAACAAAGGAGGGACCGCAGTTGTTGCATATATAAATAATCTTTTCTCACACCTGGGGATTTCAGTCTGGGTTATCCCCAACAGAAAGGACTCTGGGGTTTTGCTTTTTTGGCAAAGTAATTTTAAACCTTTTTTCCAATTCATTATAAATAATTTCCCAATCCTCCTTTACATGTCCATCACGTATGAAAGAACATTCCCTCCAGCTCTTTACACTTCCAGCACCTGTCTGATTTTGCCTTGGAAATCTTAGCAAGCCCACTCGGAGTTAGAGACCACCTGTGAATCACTTTCAGATAGTTCTCCTTCAAAGAACATCATGCTGTAGATTTCAAGTCGCTTCCCCAAAGTTTCTCCCAAAGGTGAAAAATCTCTCTTGTGTCCTATACAGTAATGCAATTTGCTTCTGAGACAGGGAACCCTGGACGAGAGAAACAGGCAAAAGACAGGGTGGAAGGTCAGACTAGAAACCGACTTTTTACACCCAGCCATAGCTGTCAACCGTCCCTTACAGTGGTGCCTCGCAAGACGAAATTAATCCGTTCCGCGAGAGTCTTCGTCTAGCGGTTTTTTCGTCTTGCGAAGCAAGCCCATTGACGGATTAGCGCTATTAGCGCTATTAGCGGTTTAGCGGCTATTAAAGGCTTAAAGGCTTAGGGGATTAGCTGCTAAAAGGCTATTAAAGGCTATTAAAGGCTTAGCAGATTAGATAAAGGGGAAAAGCGAAAAAAACCTCAAGACTCATAAGGTATTTTCGTCTTGCGAAGCAAGCCCATAGGGGAATTCGTCCTGCGAAGCAACTTCAAAACGGAAAACCCTTTCGTCTAGCGGTTTTTCCGTCTTGCGAGGCATTCGTCTTGCGGGGCACCACTGTATTTGGTGGGAAACTCCCTTATCCCAGCGCCGTGTCCCGCTGCTGTCCCTTATTGATGATGTCCCTTAAATTTATCGGGTTTCATGCTTGCCCGGCTCGGGAGGGAAGCAGCGGCTCAGGGTCCTCCGCCGCGAGAGAGAGCGCGCGCACAAGCTGCCGCATTTCCATCTCTCCCTTTTCCCCCTCAGGGGCACGTTGTGAGGAGACGGGTGGCGACGGGCGGGCAGGCAACCACTCTCTTGCGAGACTTCCGCCGCGCTGCCAGGGGAAGCCAGAGGCGGCAGCGGCGGCTGAAGAGGCGGCCTGAGGGAGGAGGAAGAGGAGGGGATGGGGACGGACGCAGAATAGCGGCGCTTCAGCAGCCGCCACCGTGCCGCAACCGCCTCATGCCGGGCTCGCGGGCAGCGTGGGCAAGAGTCTCCCTCCCTCCACCCCTCTCTCGGGCGGGGAAGGGCCGATGGAACTCCTCGCGCCAGGACGACGGCAGCCCCGACGTGCTGCTTAGCATCCCCTCCAACCAGTGCAGCATCTTAATGTATGATTTCCCCCTCTGCATCCCTTTCATAACTCTATTTTAATAAATCATTCGTCCATCCATCCTTCAAATTTTTACGACAAGTTTTCTGTCAATCCTACCAATGTATGTAACACTTTGCAATAGCTTTTCAACTAATTTATAAACTTTCCCCATTCTTTATTAAAGAGGTCCTCTTCCTGGTTTCTAATTCTGCCTGTAAGCTTTGCCATCACGACGTCGTTCATCAGTTTTGTCTGCCACTCTTCTTTGGTGGGAGTTGTAGACCCTTAGGATCATCTAGTCCAACCCCCTGCAAAACACAGTCAGGGGCAGCCAAAGCAGCATGGCTCCATCAGTGGTGAATTTCTGCATAAGCTAAGCCAAAATCCCTTATTTTGGCTGCTGATCCCTTATTTTCGAGGCTGCTGGTCCCTTATTTTCAAATCTGCAAGGTTTTTTTTTTACACAAAATCACAATCTATTAATTAAAATATATTTTTAATTAATATAATTAAAATATATTTTAAAATCAATTCCTTCTAAACTCAATTTTCTCAATCAAGAAGCTTGCTCTCCTTCCAGGAAAGTCATAGAATCATAGAGTTGGAAGAGACCACAAGGGCCATCGAGACCAACCATCGAGACCAGCTGGGGCTGACAGCTACGCACCCAGCTCCCAGGCGGAGAAGCGTCGGCGGAACTGGGGAAAGCTTCATATTCGCTTTCGCTTTCGCCGAAAGGAAACACGCTGCCTGCGAGGAAGCGCCCCTTTCCCCGAAATGACGTCGCGGGGGCGGGGCTGGCCCGCGGCTTGCGCTTCTTCTGCTCCCACCCGCGCGCGCCTTCGCAGGATGGCTGGCTTGGCTGATGCGCAGCAGCTGAGCGGCGGCAGCTCCCGCTTTGGCCCGGCAAGCGCGCCTTAAAGCAGCGAGGGGCGCCGCGCACCGCCTTGCCCGGGGGGCCGCCGGGTTACTTCCAGCCCAGGAAGAAAGGAAGGAGAGGCGCGTCTTTTTGCATCAACGTATGTATATGCATGCGCGCACGGGGCATGTTTTGTGTTTAGCAAACGAACTGGCCCCAAATCGGAAGCGGCGTTTCCTTGCGCGGGTGTGTTGCCCCGGGGCAATGGAAGCAATTGGTTTGCATGGCAAACCTCGTCACTTTTTAAATTTTTGCCACGTAAACCCTAATCCTGCACGCCCATTGTTAGGGTGGGGGAAATGTTTGGGGTTTGCGTTTCCTTGGGTTGCAGGATTCGCGTAAGAGCTGAGCCTCGGGGTGCAATCCTTTTCGAGATTAAGTTTCCTGGAGCTCCCTGGTAATTGGTTTAATTTCTGTGCGGAAATGCACAGCCAACAGCTGTGAGTCATGGGCGGCAGGAAGTTAAGTCGGGTTTTAAGTATAACTGGAGGGCAAGCAAGCGGACCAAAGGAATCAGGCATAGTCTCACAGGTTTATTTGAGTGTTTCTGCAGGGCTGGAGTGGCTAAAACCTGCTGCTTTTCACATATTTGTTGGACTACAACTCCCATCATCCATAACCACTGGCCAGGACTGATGGGAATTGGAGTTCCGGCGAGCGAAAGATTAGGCCCTTGCCTTGCAGAAAAGTGGCTGGCAGTTGCCTCCCTGATCGCCAGCGTAGGTTGTAAGAAACATAACTTCCAGCATTGCCCGGGTTAGATATTTTTTTGGCTTTCTACTTGGAAAGGCACACACTGTGAGAGAGCGGATCTGGGTATTGTTACAGGATCACACTTGGGAGAACATGTCCTCTTCAGACCTAGACTGTTTTTTCTTTCAACTTGGATTGAAACTGGTTTGGAGGAGTATGCATTGAAACAGTATTTCGGTTCCACTTGTGTAGGCTGCTCTCCAAAACCAGAGTAAAAGGAAGTGTGTACACATCCTTCGTAGGAAAATGAACATAAACGTTGGTGGTGACGTCTGACCCAATTGACTAATGTTGGTGGCTTGGCTATTTCAGAATAGTTGTCCTGCAAATAAAAAAATAAGTATGAGAGCTTCGACCAACCCTCATGCTGGTCCAGGAAAAATGAAGTGCCCCTTTTAGACTATCCACAGTAGTTGGTTTCTGTGCAACTTTGTGAAGCCTCTGAGTTGGCCTTTGGGGGGGGGCATTGAAAGTCTGTTGAGAACTGAGAAGTTGCTAGCACGCTAAATGCAGTTTTCAAAGAAGGATGCAGGGCATTTTGAAAACTAGCATGGAATCTTGTGTCTTTTGAAAAGGCTGTTACGTTTACTGTAGGCCAGATCCCATTTTATGAGACGCATGAAGTGGTCATTAAAGATATGTTGTTGTTGTTTAGTCGTGTCCGACTCTTCGTGACCCCATGGACCAGAGCACGCCAGGCACTTCTGTCTTCCACTGCCTCCCGCAGTTTGGTCAAACTCATGCTGGTATATAAAGATACAGTTCCACATTATTCTGTCTCTAGTCTGTACCATGTCCGTTAGAAATTAAATGTTACATGCATCACCAATTCCATTGCATGTCATACGCTCTTCCTTGAGGAAAACAGGGCAGAGAGGCAACTTCTCCTTTCTCTTTAGATTTTGCAAGAGTTTTGCTTCCCTGAACCCTCCTTTCTGAAATCGTAAGGCATGTTACAGAAGTTGTTCCCTTTCCCCCATCCTTGAATTCCCTCTGCTGTTCCTTTGAATGTTGGCTGGGCCATGTTTTGCAAATGCAGAGTATGACTTCCGAAGAAGAAAAGATTGTATACATTTGTTTTAATAGCGAAAATTTTAACCAGCCTAGAAATAGTAGTGGTGTGATTATTATCAAGTCAACATTTTAAAAAACCCACTCTGCTTTTCTTGCACTCAGAACAATTACCTGAACCTTTCTGGCAACTTTTAAAGATTTGTAAGTAAAGCTGTTTCCAAAAAAGATTGACTGCTTAGGACAGTCAATCCTGTTTAAGATATGTTTTTCTCAAGGGCTTTGGTTTTGAATTTGGAACAGCCTTTTTTCAAGCGGAGATGAACTTGGAATTTTTTTATTTACATTTTATAGCACCATTATAAAAACTGAAAAACTAGAGTGCATGTTTGGAGAGTTGGCTTCTTTTAGACCAAGTTAGTTTAGCTCTTTAATAATTGCATTAGCAATGTGTTCCCGTATAGAAGCAACTGGGAATCCTTGGCATTACCGCAGAAAAAAAATGTTGCCAATAACAAAGCAGTAAAAATCTTCATTGGAAAACAAGCCGTCAAGCCAAACAATGTTAGTAACCATTCGCTGGATCCTCCAGGGATTGAATATTATCTAAGTTTTGGCATGAAAGTGCAAAACCGTACAGTTTTGTTCCTACTTGTTGTTTGCAGGCAGATTGTTCTTCTCTAAAGCAAGGGCATTTTGAAAAATGTTACGGTTGTCTTTACTGCTTTAGTTTAAAGTGCGATAGCACTGTCCAGAAGCCATCTACCATACTGACCTTTTAGTCAACCAACAAGCCTGAAGCAAACCAATGTTAACTGCTTTATACTGTGAAGAATCAAGTTCCCTTAATATACAGGTGACTTATGAAAATGTATTTCTTTTATTAAACAATGCTTCCAGAATGTAAGAAAATTATTCCAGACAAACATTGCTTATGCCACTTTCATGTGAATAAACACCCAGCAATAAAAGATAGTGGGAGAGGATTTACCCCAGCAAATTATTTCTCAAAATTACAAATACCCAAATACAGACGGTCACTTACACTTGCTAGATTCAGCGTGCTGCCATCTGCCTTATTGCAGGGCACATTCGAGGGTAAACCATACGTGGAACGAGTCTGCCCCTGCGGCTTGATGGAGGTAGAAACTCTCTCTCATGTCTTGTTACACTGCTGTTTCTACGGGGATATACGCTCGGTATTTATCACTCCTGTTGTGCAAAAATCTCCAAATGGGCCCAGACTTCAATGTCTAAAACTTCTGGTAGAGGACAAGGATCTAGAGATCACGCTAAAGGTGGCCAAATTCTGTGCGACTGCCATAAAACAAGCTGTACTACTAAAATGATTAAGGTTTTAAATGACAATTTTCGGTTATATTTTAGTGATCAAGATTTAATATATATTTTTAACTGCCGCTATATCTGTATTGTCTCTGTTAGACCCAATTGCAATTCAGTGTATTCCTGTTGTGTTTTATGATTTTCCTGATATTGTAAGTGAGCCACTTTCATGTTCTTGCAACTTCATTTTTGCTGCTTCTTACACCAGTCCATGCCCAGAAGGAAGTTTTGACTATGCCCTGGGTCCTTTTATGTTTTCCTTCCCTCCCCTTAAATTCTCTTAAGATTCTCACGCAAATTCTATGTGGGATGGTTGAACAGGACAGAAGTTTCAGCTTTCTGCTGGCCCCTGCTTTCATTTGAATGTGTGGATAAATAAGGGCTAACCAATAAATCTCCAAAGACAGAGTGGGGTTGAGCAAGATTACTGTAGCACTTAATTCACATTGCATAGCTGTTTGCAGTAGCAGAATGTCTTGTGTAAGATAAAGAACTGCTGTGTCTCAAGCTGCTTTTGAGAATCTCAGTTTCCATGTAGCGTGAAGGGCTGTTGATTGAGAAATGTGGCAAAGGTCGACATAAATGGCTGGTACTGTTCTTTGGATCCCGTTTGTGCAAGTTTTCTTAAATTATATTCCCGGTTTTCTTCATGCAGAATTTGCATTACCCTGGCACATAATTATATTGGCGCTGGTTCATCTGAAATATTTTCCAAATCCTCCTTCGGAGAGGGTTGTACAGTTAAAAATAAAAATAAAACAACTGAACAAAAGCCTGCCAGAGTAAAATGCATAATTGTGTGTAAACAAGCACACCAGAGTGACAATATAATCATGGATGTGGTGAACAGAGGGCGCGATCTTCTTCCTCGCAGACTCTCCAAGTGTCCCTGTTTCTGATTTGATCCCGGAATGTCCCGCTTTTCCTTAGGTTGTGCCTATTTTCACTGGAGAAATTGTTGGAGGGTATGGAGCCATCCACCCCCCACCCAAACCATCTGAAGGCAATCCTGTATAGGGAAGTTTAAAAAAAAATGTTTCATGTTTTATTATGTTTCTCTATATGTTGCACGCTGCCCAGAGTGGCTGGGGCAACTCAGTAAGATGTAAATAATAAAATTATCATTATGTTATGGGACATCCCTATTTTCGTCGGAGAAATGTTGGATGGTATGTCCTCGTTGCGGCTCTTGGTGAAATTCAGACCAAGCAAATTGTTTTTTGAAGCAGATAAACATGTATTTTTTATCGGGCTCAACTTGGGTTTGAGCTATGGAGAAGCCCCCTCAGGATCACAAATATAAAATAAATTGAATGACACTAGCAACATCAAAATGGAAAACTTTGGATCACATAGATGAATTTTGTTTAGACGCCATGTGGAAAGGACCTTCACATTACTCATTTCCTACTAATTTTCTGTTGAAGGGGATGAGGGGCAGTATATGTTGTTGTTTACTTCTTGGAAGGGTAGTGGAAGCTGTTTCTTGCCCTGGACCTTACGGCTGCCTTATGAGGACTGTGGGCAGTTGTCATTTTGTATTTTAACTTAGGTGGGTGGGTTGCTTGATGTATTAATATTTTGCAAAACCTCAAATGCTAGAGCAGTGTGTCTCAGTACATCTAGTCCAGACTTCTGCTCTGTCCTAAGGGTGTAATGGAAATGGTTCAAATGTTTGGAAAGGGTGTGTGGTAAAATCCTCACCGAACTTTGTCAGTTCAGAATGCATTGGTTGCAAATAGGATGCAGATACTGTCATTTGCCAGTGCAAGGCTTAGAAAAAGCGAAGTCTTGCTCTCTCTCTTCTCCAAAATGTGTAGTGTCCAACTCCCTCAAAATGTATTTTGTCTAGTTAAGTTTTTGCCTCTATCTTCAGTATATTTTATTTTGTTGCTATGGTTAGTGGCTGTTGCAAATGAAGGTTCTTCTGATCTGATCTCGTGTCCAACTGCAGAAAGAGAACAGTTGCAGGTTTGTTTGAAGCACGGGAGGGAGATTTTTAAGGGTTAAGAACTTTGCCCCATCCCAGGATGTGTTACAACAGCGGCAAGAGTCTTGATAGCACAAGGATGGAAGAACGAGGAAATCCCAATGAAATAACAGTGGCAAGAAACATTGATGAGCTACGCAGAGCTTGCTAAATTGACATACAAATTGCGGGACAAGGACAACTGTGACTTTAAGGAAGAATGGGAGCTTTTTACACATTATCTACAAAGACAACAAAATGAACTGGACTCCTTGGCAGGTTTTGAATAAACATACACAAATTTATTGGTTGATAACATGTTAGATAGATAATGTAAGGATATGTATAATTTTTTCACATGCAGAGAATAATATGTGCTGAGAAGTCAGAGAGAGGAGCTGAGGGTATAATGAATATGATATGTTTTGAAATTTTGTTATGCTGAAATTGCTAATAAAAATATTGTTTTTTTTAAAAAAGAACTTTGCCTCAGGATGAGAACAGAAATCACGCGATGGCGGCAGCGGGAGGCCCCATTAGCTAAAGTGGTACCCTGGTTAAGAACGGACCTCCAGAACGAATTAAGTTCGTAACCAGAGGTACCACTGTACAGGCAACATACGAAAAAGTTGCATGACTGTGTTGCTAATACGTATCAATAAATATCGGTTCTTTTGCCTTTGGAAGCACCCTTCCTCACAGCTTCCTGCTTTCTCCCAGACTCCACCTTCCCACCCTAATTCTCACCCAGGGTCTCACGACAGCCACAAAAAGTGCCACTAGGAGAAAGGTTGCTGCGGGCATCACCCTAGTTCCCCCCTCTAGGTTTGCTCTTTATGGGGTGGATGGAGCTTCCTCAGGCTGCCCACAGCTGTGTCCCATTAAACAGTCACCTGCCCTCTCCATACCTGGTTCTGGGTGCAGTAGGTTTGGTGAGTTTGCCAGGGGGTCCCAAGGATGAAAAAAGAGTGCCCCTCCACTCACAGTTCTTTTTTTCTCTCTCTTCACAATAATATTTATTAATTTTCATACAAAAGCATAACAAAAAAGAGAATAAACAATAATAAGAAAAAAGAAAGAAAAAGAAACATAAAAGACTTCAAACTTCCCATATATCACTACATAAACTAAAACTTAATTAGTTAATTAAGATCCATCTTCATAAACACATTACTTGACTTCCTCTAATCTCTTCCATCTGAATTCCCTTGTAATTAAATGTAGCAGTTTCCAATATCATTATTTCATAAAAAACAATATTACAGTCATAATCAAATTTCCTAACTTTTCTTATCGTGCTTTTTCTTATTTATTTATTTAATCCTAATTTAATCCTAGGCCTAATTAGTTCTTTCAAGTGGTTACATATCTTTACTATTACAATATTTATTCAAATAGTCTTTAAATTTCTTCCAATCTTCTTGGTGTTCCTCTTCTTTCTGGTCGCGGATTCTCCCGGTGAGATCAGCCAGCTCCATAAACTCCATCATCTTCATCTCCACTCACAGTTCTTCTCCTGCCTCTGTCTCCTTCTCGTCCAGCCTGTAGTGACGAATTGTGTTCTGCCATCCGTTTCCCAGAGGATAGTGAAATATCTGCAAGGGTCCTCCTTGAACTCACAAATGAACTTTATTTTCCATATTTGAGAGTTTGAAGCAGGCATGTAAATAGCCATTGGCCTGACAACCTGTGGTGACTAAGGCCATAACCAGATAAACATATGTTGTCTTGATAAGCTGAGAAACGAGCTAGTCTTTTGTCCCTTCATTCCTCCCTTTGTGGTATGAACAACCAAACCAGAAAGCCTTCCATTCAAGGCTGAAAACTATAGTTGCCAGCTTTGGAACAAGCCATGATATTATACACAACTTCAAGCCTTCCTTTAATAGCGTGGCTTGTTCTGAAGTTGGTATCCATAGTTTCTTGGTTTGGACAATATGGAAACACTGTTTAATTACAGGCTTCCTAGTTTAATTGTGGCTTGTAAAGAAAATGCTTGTTCGTATATTGGCTTATTAAGCGGAGAGATTATTGTTTTACCATTCTTAGAGCTGGTTCAGACAGGCAGGGAAAATAACTAACATAGGTAAGCACAGACAGGTGGGCCAGTGATATTTCTTCTTGTATGCTGGCAAAAAACACACCCAACTGTGCACTTTTTAGCAAGGTGATTTAAGTTTCTGATAGCTTTCCAGGCTGACATTCTGTTACGATAAATCCTGAAAGCACGATATTTAGATTGTCCTCCCCTTGTTTTGCTAGGAACAAACAAAAATAAATCCAGCAACCATTTCATTATATTTTGGGGGTCTGGTATTTCAGCAACCTCTTTCTACGTAGCTCCCAAGGCAGACTGGTTTTATTTTATTTTTAAGGAAACAGCTCAAGATGTTTCCATGCACCTTCGGCAGCTAGTCCTAAGGAGAGCCTTTTTCAGTTAAAGTTGGGTTGGCATCATGACTGTTGAACTTCACTTTTGCCATTCACTGTTGAACTTCACTTTTGCCATCTTGCACCAGTAGTAGAGAGTGATGCCCATTCTGTGCAAAGGGGCATCATGGTCCCCCACCTCCCTATTGAAAAAACCTGTTGTATATCACAGTTGAGACCACAGGTGCTTTTATTGAATCTGCTACTTGCCAAGTGGCAAGTAGTTACTTAGGTCCTTCCGTTCTGGATTCTGTGGTGCTGGGCACAGGGAGCAGTTCCGCATACTGTATGCACCAAAGTATGGTTTCAGGAATCTGTGATGATCAACTTGCAGATGCTGAAGGCTGAAGGAGTGGAAATGATGTTATCATTGCACCATGAGATCCTTGACTACTGTAATTCGCTCTACGCAGGGCTGCCCTTGAAGCTGTCCCAGAAACTCCAGCGGGTGTAGAATGCTGCAGCGAGGCTCCTCACGGGGTCCCTGCCATGGGAGCATATTTACCCAGTGCTTTTCAAGCTGCACTGGCTCCCGGTGGAGTACAGGGTCACATTTAAGGTGCTGGTTTTGACCTTTAAAGCCCTTCACGGCCTAGGACCCTCGTACCTACGGGACTGCCTCTCCTGGTATGCCCCACGGAGAGCCTCAAGGTCCATAAATAGCAACACCCTAGAGGTCCCGGGCCCTAAGGAAGTTAGATTAGCCTCAGCCAGAGCCAGGGCCTTTTCAACACTGGCTCCAGCCTGGTGGAACACTCTGTCTCATGAGACCAGGGCCCTGCAGGATCTGATTTCTTTCCACAGGGCCTGTAAGACAGAGTTGTTCTGCCTGGTCTTTGGCTTGGAGTCAATTTGATTCCCTCTCCCTCTTTCTTTTTTCCTTTCTTCTCCTGTGAAGAGGCTGCATCTTAATGTTTTAATGTTGTATTTTAATCAACTTATTTTTATTATTGGTTGTTAGCCACCCTGAGCCCAGGCTTGGCTGGGGAGGGCAGGGTATAAATAAAATTTATTATTATTATATTCCTACCCTACAGGCTTTGAGGTAAACAAAGAGATATGGCGAAACTCACCAGAAAAATAAGAAATCAAGATAGCACACTTTTTATAAAATAATGCAAATGGTTTATTGAATATTTACCAATAAACTGTAAACCGATAAGAACATTGGCAGGATTATTGTAATAACTTGCAGTTTTATAAGAGTGTATATTTAAAGTAGATGAATAAATCAGTAAATTACAAGTTAATTTGGCATATGCAGAAAATATAAAACATAAATTTAAGGAACTGCAGAAAGGGGAAAGGAAGTCGAGTTTTGAAATGTTAAAATGGTTGTAAAATTATTGAAATGTATAAAACTTAACATCATAATTATGTTTTTTTTAAAGAAATAAACAGAGAGATGAGCCCTATAACTTGCGGTACTTTGACTTGTGTCTGTGTGGTTGACAGTTCTCTGAGAACAGCACCAAAGGGGTCTTTGGAGGAGCAAATTCTGATTACTCTCCATTTTAATTCAAAATAAGAAACAGGAGAATATGTATCTCTCTTACCCTTTACACAAATGTTTCCTTTATCTTATTACTTTGATGCATTTGCATCTTTGGATCCCTTTTGATTGTACGTCTTCCTGTTCAGAGTTTAAGTTACAATATATCTCTGGTTAAATGGGAAGCAGCTGTTGAAGGAAAAACATCCCAATTATAAATTATGGGGGTGAAAAGAGGGGTATAATATTTGAACTGGGCACTATAAGCCTGTGGTGGTGAGTGTTATCTGATAATTGTCCAAGTGTGTACCTTGTACGATATGTTAGTTGAGTTAGAATATTATTAATTTTCCTTAACCAACATTTTTGTCTCTATTGAGAGAGAGAGAAGCCTTTGTTTTGGGCAATTAGTCCGAGAAAGGAGGGAACAATCTTAGCTAGAAAGCAGATGGTTTCGAGGTCATTATTCCGAGACAAGGTGGAATTTGTGTTGTGGTTTTGATAAGGAAGGTTGAAAGATTTCGGGATGAAAGTGAAGAAGAACCAGAGAAGGTAGAGAATGTTGGTGGAAGTCATAAATTTAAGAATGACTCATTTTGATGAGGGTTAAAATTGTGCAGGAGTGTTACAAAAGAGAACAATTTGGAGCGTAGCTGGAGATTTGAAATGAGAAGAGTTGTATTATGGAAAATACGTAAAAACAAAGACTTCAAAGACAAAGACTTCTGGTTGCTTCTCTCTCTCTCTCTCTCTCTCTCTCTCTCTGGATGTTCTCTTACAACTTTTAGCTCGCATTTGTTTTTCTCCATTGATAATTTTCTTGCTATGGCCTCAGTCAGTTCCATGGAGGCAAGCTGGCTTTGGGGTGTTGAAGACTGTTGTTGTTTAGTCGTTTACTTGTGTCCGACTCTTCGTGACCCCATGGACCAGAGCACGCCAGGCACTCCTGTCTTCCACTGCCTCCCGCAGTTTGGTCAAACTCATGCTGGTAGCTTTGAGAACACTGTCCAACCATCTCGTCCTCTGCCGTCCCCTTCTCCTTGTGCCCTCCATCTTTCCCAACATCAGGGTCTTTTCCAGGGAGTCTTCTCTTCTCATGAGGTGGCCAAAGTATTGGAGGCTCAGCTTCAGGATCTGTCCTTCCAGTTAGCACTCAAGGCTGATTTCCTTAAGAATGGATATGTTTGATTTTCTTGGATGAAGATCCTAGTTGAAGACTAGGCCTGTGCTTTTGAAGTGGCCTCATAGATGTTGGCTTTTCTTAGCGTTTTGCCTTCTTTGATCGGCTTTTGATTTTTCTAATCCTTGTGGATTATTTTTGCTCAGGAGTCTTGTAGTGGAAACCAATCGTCCGCAGCAGGTCTGGCAGATATGGACGCATTATTCCCTAAAGTCCCTGAGTCTATCCCAATATTAGGGACACACATATATGCTAAATCCCATTTAATTTTTCCTGTATTTTTTAATTACCTTTATAATGCAGATTTTTAAAATTTCTTTTTAGTGCTATTGCTTTTAACTGGACTGGAGGAAGAGGGTGCTAAGAAAATAACTGCTTTCTTGCGTACTTGAAGCAGCTAATACAAAGCCTTATATCTTATTTAGTTCTTGTAGTAGCCCCATTGTAATTGCGTTGTTTATTTATCCATGCACTCATTTTTATACATTGTGCTTATTTTGTATCATTCTTTCACTTGTAAATGAATACTTACCATTTTTCACCTTTTGTCAGTTATTTTTAATCGCTTTTTTGTTTATTTTGGAGTGGTTCTGGCTGTTTTGGTCACTGTTTATATGCTCACTAGGCAAAATTAATATTTTTTGAATTTAGAAATTGTTTTCCAGTTCCTTGTACAGTGTGAGGGAGTCTGTTGGAGCCAAATGCTATGTTTTGCTGCAAATAAAAGGACAGAGTTTTCTCTCTCCCCGCCCTTTTACACCGATGTTTCATCTCTAAAGTCCATATTAAGGCAATCCCTTTACTAGGCCAACCAAAATATTGCAAAATAGCATCCAGTCTTTTGAGTACTCTGGAACTCTTTAGCAGACTAGATGGTAAACACAGCAAAAAAGTAGGGAAGGAAAAAGGTGTGTGTGTGGGGGGGAATGTGCATTTACCGTATTTTTCGCTCTGTAAGACGCATCAGACCACAAGACGCACCTAGCTTTTGGAGGAGGAAAGCAAGAAAAAAATAATATTCTGAATCTCAGAAGCCAGAACAGCAAGAGGGATCGCTGTGCAGTGAAAGCAGCAATCCCTCTTGCTGTTCTGGCTTCTGGGATAGCTGCGCAGCCTGCATTCGCTCCATAAGATGCACACACATTTTCCCTTACTTTTTAGGAGGGAAAAAGGGAGTCTTATAGAGCAAAAAATACGGTATGTCTGCACCTTCTAAGAGTCTTAAGGCGAGAGGAGGAGAGAGCAGGTAGGTCTTTTAGGTGCTACAGAGGTGGCAGCAAGGAAAAGACTGGTTGTGATAGGAAAATAATGAATTTGCTTGTTTTAACAGCAGAATCCTAAACTGAAGTAAGAGGCTTGTTATACCACCTGAGGGCAGGGCTTTATTTTCCAAGGAAACATTTCATTCAACTGCTAGGCGCAGTTGTCCTTGTTGGTTTCTTTTGACTTGGCAAACCATCTAATATTAATTTTCACCTTTGCTAATATGAAGATTGCCTTAGCTCAAAAGCAGGAAGGAAACCATGGAGGACTCTCTGTGCTTTGCTTAAGGATCACGACAGTCCTGGGCAATAGCTGTTAATTTTGTAGCCCCAGAGATGGGGAATTTACCCCATTGTTACTCTTCTCATTCGCAGCAACCTGAAACTTGCATATCACCTAAAGGGCCTCATATCATTGCCTGCGACTTCCTCTCTCCCTCAGTCTTAAGAACCTTACAAGACGCAGACAGGGATAAAGGTTTTATCACCAGATAGGCATTTTGAGTCTCCCTGCCCCATCTTCTTGCTTTGCTTACCATCTGTCTGGATGGGAGAGTTCCGCAGAGCTCAAAGGGTTGCACGTTACTTTGTGATATTTTGTTTGGGTTAATAAAGGTATTACATTAATATGGACTTTGGGATTTTTCTTACGTGCCAAACTTTTTGACCTCTAAAATTGTATTTATAAAATGTTTCCTCTGCCAAACTTTCTGATCTCTAAAATTGTATTTATAAAATGTTTCCTCCTCCCACCCCCTTAATAATTTGGGCGGTGGCGGTAGAAGACAGATGCAATTAAAATAAGAGGCAAAAACAAACCAGAGTTGGAGAGGGCAGGTTTCTGCTCAGCTCCTGCTACAAAAGGCTTCCTTCCTGTGACACCTTGTGTCCTTTTATGTTGGATCTAGATCCAATGTTTCCCAAACTTGGGCCTGTTTTGGTCTCCATCATCCCTAGCTAGCAGGACCAGTATTCAGGGAGGATGGGGGTTGCAGTCCAAAAACAGCTGGAGACCCAAGTTTGGGAAACGCTGGTCTAGATAGTCCCGATAATACTTCAGCTTATCATTGATGGTAGAAGCACTTTATTGGTGTTTAAATATATGCGGTGTTGGTTAAGTAACTGAAAATGCTCTCGTGCTGTGGGGTAAGGGAAATATTTTGTGCTGTCTCTCAGAGCATATTTATTTCCTCTTTGTCAGAATGGATCCCTTCAGCTTTGGGGACCCCATTAGTTACGCCGAGTTCTTGAAAGTGCAAGGGAATCAAGACTTCAAAAATGGAAACTATGCTCTTGCCATCAGAAAGTATGACGAAGCACTAAATATACTGGTCTATTTACACAAAGCAGTAAGGTAAGCTCTTTCTTAGAGAACTGTGAACTGTCTAGCTCTAGCTTCTAGACTTGAGCTTTCCTTCCGTGAAGCTACTGAACTTGGATTCCAGTCACCAAGTTATCTGTGATCTGTGCAGTAATTATTTGCCGTTTTCCTTACACTCTTTATTCAACTTTTCATAGCAGTGTTCTGTTGGGATTTAATAAAGGGAATGCATAAGGTATAACAATTCTCCCCCCCTCTACTCTATTTCTGTGTAGAGGAAGGGGGGCGGGAATCTGTTCATGTGTTCTGTAAAACTATAAAGCTGTTTCTCTTGACGCAACTACATTTAACATTCTCATCTTTTAGTTTTTCCCAACGGCGAGATGTGGCAGTTTTACTCTGCAACCGATCAAATGCCTTTTACAACTTAAATAAATGGAGAGAAGCCTTCTTCTCAGCAAGACAGAGCCTCCAGTGGGATCCAGCTTACGTTAAGGTATTCTGTACTCTACGTAGAGGCTGAGTGGCCATCTGTCATGGATGAGATTCGTGCAAGATGACCCTGAGAGTCCCTTACCAGGGCCGTCTTAAGCATACCTGGCGCCGTGGTACAAAGATCCGTCTCCCACCCCGTTTCCTAGAGTTGTTGACCTTTTCCCAAGCCTCTGCGGGGATTGCTCTCCTCCCGTGGGGGCTTGGGAAGGAAGCTGCACATCCTCCAGCCATATGGTTGATGGGAGCAGCTGGTGGGCATGGAGGAGGGAAAGGGGAAGCGCTGGCAAAGCCACGGAGCTCCCCCACTCGCTGGGGCGCCCCTGAGAGGCTGGCGTCCTGGCACAACATGCCAGTAAACCCAATAGGAAAGATGGCTCTGTCCCTTACAACTCTATAGTTCTATGATTCTCTAAGCCTAGGTTGCAGGGTTGTTGTTTTTTAATTAAAAGATAAAATAAGGATTAAGAGTTCTGAATATAAGATATTTTGAAGCAATATGTGGTTTGACTCTTAAACAGAGAGATTTCAAGACCGGAAATGCAAGGATTGAGCACTGACATTAAAGGAGCTTAAAGCTTGAAGAACTTTGGATTTGCATTTGCTTGTTAAATTTTGTTGTATTCGGAAGCTCCACGTTTTGGCTTGCAAGTCACTTTTACTTAATATGAACATAAACTTATTTGCGGAGCAGCTGTTGGCTCAGAACAGCGTTCCCGTTCAGAAATTTATTTATTTAATTTCTGCACCACCCTTCATCCGAGGCTCACAGGATGGTTTTCAATATAAAAACACAAAAAACACGGTGCTTAAATAAAATATTACTGACAACAGAAATAAGATTTGTATCCAAGTTAAAAAAAGCCACACCATAGGAAGAAACAAAAGCAATCACCCTCCCATAGTTGAGAAGGCCATAATAAACCAAATGAATGTTTAATTTTATCATATTCGTTAATATCTGAGTATATATTCTGAGTAAAACATAGTTGACTAGTGCCCATTGTATTTGGTGCAAAAGTGTTTCAACCCTGCCATTTTAAATGTATTTACTGCTAGGTTATTCTGTTCTTATATTGAAATGTTGCTATTAAAAGTCTGTTAGCCTTCACATATATTCCTGAAGTAAAGACTGATTCTTGGGATCTTTCTTTCTTTCTTTCTTTCTTTCTTAGGGGTACTATAGAGCTGGCTACTCCCTGATTAAATTGAGACAGCCTCTCGATGCTGTTAAAACGTTTTATCAAGGTTTAGACTATCTCCGTGGTTCATCAGATGTGGCTCAAATTTCTGATTTTATAGTCGGTATCTTCTCAAGCGTTAACGGTAAGTGATAACGTGAGATTTTGTCTTCATTAAACTGTCACAATTAGGACAGGATGGGGGCAGCTGATGGCTGGTGAGTGCCTGAAATGAGTGGCCTCATTTGCAAATCACAGTAAACCATAGTCTGAAAGAAACTATGGATTACCATGAATGAGCAGCATGCAAGTGGTTCACTACTCCCTTTGCTGAGCTGAGTAACAAACTCTGGAGTAGATGTGCAAACCAACTCTTGTAGTTTATTTCTCTCCAAATAAGCTGTAAGCAATAGACCAAGAAAGAAACTTGGCTGCTTCTTGTGTTTTGTTCAGAGATAAACAAACCACTACACTGGTTTGCACCCAGCACTAAGCCAGCCAATCCATGGTGTGTGTTTTTTTATAGGCTTAGTGCGTCATAACTGAGCAGCGGGCAGCAGCGGGCTTCTCATTCGCAGTCATTTATAATGTGTTTCAGAGTATTGCTTACAATGATGTGCAAACCAGGTCATTGTCCACAATCATCATTATAGTGTAACCTTTGCAAAATGGATTTGTGACCTCGGGCTGGTGGGTAAAATGTCTGCAATGCTAGGTTAAAACGGCAAGATCTTTGCCCTGACCCAGCGAGGGAGTTAGCCGCGTAGAAGCGGCTTCAGGGAGCAGATGGAAGAACCATGCTTGCAGTGCGCTTTCAGGCGCACGATGTCTGGTGGTTCTCTTTGCACGACGTGGTGGGGATAGGAAGGAACCTGTGCTCCAATCCCTATGCCCAGATTCTGCACATTTGGCATTGCCCCCTGCTATATCTGCAGGTGGGTGACAATGTTTTTCAGTGCTTCCCTATGTTGAAAACTCATTACAGACAGAAAGCCAAGAGCAGGAAAAGAACGAAATTACCCCCCGCCGACTGCGTTAGTTTTCTATTTGTATAAATTTTGGTGCATTGGAAACCTGCAGGCTGAAATGATGCAGCCCATTCTACCACTACAACATTCTGCCATCAACTTCCTACCTCATTCTGTTGCTTGTATAGACCAGCTGAAGGGAGCCCTAGGGAGAGAGCATTGGTGATTGTGCAGTTTGTTTTCTCTGTTGTGTAAAGGCTTTTCCCTTTCCTTGTTGATGCCGTGAGGGGATTTCCTAAGTTGGAAGAGCACAAACTGTAAATGTTGATGATGATGATGATGATGAAGATTATGCAAGCTTAAGCCTCTCTTGTTTTGTCCCCCCCCCCTTTAGATGAAAGGACTATTACCCCACATTTATTATCCGTCTGTAAAAAAATTGTGAGCGATAATTTCACGCCACCAATTTGGCAACAGGTGATTGAAAAGCTGGCCAGAAAAGGACTGTGGCAGGTAGGCATCTTATCGTTGTAAATAATGACATTTTTTTTCTCCTGAGCTCAGGCTGCCTTTTCAAAACCTTTATGACAGTAGGTGATCGCAGGTTCTGGAATCTGTCTGCTTCGACGTTTCAGCCCTGTGATTGCATAGCCCAACTTAGAATTGGGATAAGCTGACGTGAATTGTAGGTGTGCTTCCTTAATTTGTAAGCTTAGCACAGTTTTTGGTGTAGTGTTCATTATTTTTGCTCGCACCTTTTAAAGAAGGAAAAAGAGAGACAGACCATGTAGGTAACAGTAAGCCAAACTATGGCTTGCTGTGAATAGGCAAGCATTGGGAGAAAAGCACAGCCATTGCAGTCGTTCTCTGCTCCTGCTGCCATGCTACTGGGAGCTCAGCCGTGGCTTGGCTTCATGTTACGTCTGAGCATTGTCTTGTGGTCTATCTCACTCCAAACAAACCACAATGGCAAGCCAAGGACAAAACTTGGTGGCTTGTTGAAGTGAGACCCAATGACGAGGCCAGATTCATACAGAACAGTAAACCAAACTGGTTTAGCTCTCAGCAGCTAACTAGTAGCATGAGCAGGAAAGGACAAGCACTGCAGTTTTCTCCATGTTGGCAGGTCATAGTGCAGCAAAAAGCACTTTCTTTACTTCCAACGCTGTTTCATGGATGTTTAGGTAATTACATTCTTGCAGCCTGATGCAATAGTAACCTGTGTTGATCAGGAAAAAGAAGCAAATACCCGCTGCTCAGCTAATACACATGTGGTGGTTCTTAACTCTCACCTTTCTACTGATGCCAATAATCTCTGAGGAAGCAATACTGAATTCAGTTGTCCCTTCCTTCCCCCAACAAGTGAACACTTCTGTCTCATTCAACAGTAACAAGGTGTAATCTTTGGTGATTCCGGAAAAGCAAAATTTTAAGGTATTGGTGTTTATTCACTAACAGTAGCACCTAGAGAGAGAAAATAGAATCGGAATACAGCCAGATATATTTCCTTTTCACGCTTTCCATAGTTTCAAAGAATTGTTCTTGTTAGCAAAAGCACCAGGTGTCGCTGTGATCTGAAAAAGATGTGAGGTCTACATGCATTTGAAGTTCTAACGAAAAAATCTTTCCCCTCACTCCCTAGTCTTGCCTAGTGTTGGCTGCTGAGAAAGACCGGTTGCCAAGGAATCTGCAAGTGACCAATTTATCACTAAGAGAGCTGTTTGAGGTTTGTCGAAATCTTCCAGTAGAAATCCTTTACTGGGGCCTGGGTGAATGGAATTAGGAAATGGATTTCACCAGAGGGCTTGCATGAATGGCAGGTAACATAGGTAACGAATAGATGTTGGACAAACTAAAGGGTGTAAGAGGAGCCTGCACGCAGTCCAGCAAACTTAAAAAACAACAACCCAAATCCATTACTAGCTTGCTTTAACAGACTTGTCTATTTCCCTTAATTGTGGGTGGACGTGGATAACAGGGTTTTAGTTTGTTTATTTAAGGCAAACATGGTGCTTAAATAAAATACTACTGTCAACAGAAATAAAATTTGTATCCAAGTTATGCTGCCTAATCATCAGCATTTCTACGTGGTGGGGATTTTATCATAATACAGTGATGATGGAGGATTGAGATTTTATGTGCACCAAGTGACCAGAGCCTTATACATGTATTCTTTGTTTCTCTTGAACCAGAAATATGTTCTCTTTGGCCAGTATGAAAAAATGGAAAGGGTGCCCAAACTGGTGGAGTGGCTTGTCTCCCTCGGAGCAAATATAAGAAGTGTTGGAACCTATCCTCTTCATGCTATCATCATGCTTTGTATCAAAGCAAGTAAGTGCTTAAAAAAGTCAAATCAAAATAAATGATGTCCTGAATGGTGCTGCAGGTAATTTGGAGATGAATTTTATACGCAAAACATAAAGCTATGGTCCTATGAAAATAGTGAGAGATGTACAATATAGGCTGGCCAGCCTTTGGATGGGGGGACACTTGTTGGGGGCAGCGTAGAAGTAGCTATGTCATAAAGTCTGGTATTTTCCCTTCCTCAGTATATTAAGAGTATCTGTAAACTGGTCTTACTGGGATGCGGGTGACGCTGTGGGTTAAACCACAGAGCCCAGGGCTTGCCGATCAGAAGGTCGGTGGTTCGAATCCCTGCGATGGGGTGAGCTCCCATTGCTCGGTCCCAGCTCCTGCCAACCTAGCAGTTCGAAAGCACATCAAAGTGCAAGTAGATAAATAGGTACCACTCTGGTGGAAAGGTAAACGGCGTTTCCGTGCGCTGCTCTGGTTCGCCAGAAGCGGCTTAGTCATGCTGGCCACATGACAGAGCAGCTGTACGCTGGCTCCCTTGGCCAATAAAGCGAGATGAGCGCCGCAACCCCAGAGTCGGTCAGGACTGGACCTAATGGTCAGGGGTCCCTTTACCTTTACCTTAAACTGGTCTTAAAGAGAAAACTAACTCCAAGGCAGGGAGGAGCTGTAAAAATACTGTACCGTCAAACTAGAGTGGCACCATTTCATATTCTGGACTTGATTTGTGCCGCGTGTGCCAAGAACATTGGCTATCCCTGCCCTGCAAGGTTCTTTGCTATACACCAACTAGGCTAGATAAAGCCAAGCAGGGAAAATAAATTATATTGCAAAGATATATCCTATCCTTTTTATGTATTCTGGAAAGGTTAAGCACAGTCTTCCTTAAATTGATGGTGTATTTCTTCTTTTTAATTATTTAGATGGAAACTACCTTTTCAGATGGTTATTGAATTATAAGCCTGAACTGAAGGATCTTATCAACCAGCAAAATGAAGAGGGTGCCACAGTTCTCCACATTGTAGCATCTCATTCAGTTGGCTATCCTATGAAAAGTAAGTTTGTGTGTAAGTGTATGTGTGTGTGTTTAGGTAACCTGGTTTTTGGACAATACACTATCTTGCTAGTTTAATTCTTGTTCTCCTATTCTTTTTACAGAAACCCCAGAATGGGCTAACTCTAGCTAACATTGTGCTTTTAACAGAGACCGGCTTTTGTGTTGCTGCATTTTGAACAGAATACTCAGACTAGGAATCTGCTTTCCTTGAGACCATCTCTAGTGGACATATTCTCATAGAATTGTAGCATGATAGTTTCTGCAAGTTTTATTTTGCCCACGAGGTGGCAGTGGGAAAACAAGTGTCTGTTCCAGCATCAAGAGTAGGCTTCTAATTCAGTAACAGTGCAATCCTAGGTTGATCTACTCAGAAATAAGCTCCATTGAGTTCAGTGGGGCTTACTCCTAGGTAAGTGGGTTGGCAGTAGTAAGCATCATCGTGTTAATGGAAGAGATTTTCCCAGAGCCACTTGGGTGACCGAAAAGTTGGAATAACATGAGTAATAAATTCACTGCTGTCGCAGAAAGGGAATGAATAATGGGATAAAGACATGCTCAGGAAGGACTGTATTTAATTAATAGAACAATGGCTCTGGGCGTAGAAGGTCCCAGAATCAGTGGGGCCATCTAAACCTAGGAGTTCCATAAGATTGGAGCCACCATTGAAAAGCAATAATTTTGTGCTCCCAGTATTTTTGAAATAACGATTTGTACTGCTTTGCACTAGGGAGTGGGGGAAGCAGGTGTCTTGTTGGCTTCCTGTCTTGTAATCCTTTTTGAGATTGAAGGGGAGAAACTAAGCATCTATCTGTTCCATTTGAAAAATGCACCTATATTCCTCTTTAAAAAAAAAAAAATTATCAGTCTAGTGGGCACCCAAAATGTGAATCCTCCACCATATATTTCGCAGCCCAAATTGGTGACCTGAGAACTTTTTGCAGTTTTTGTTATCCTCTTTTCCCTGTGTGACGGACCCGGCGTAGATGAATGAGTGGTGTGTTTTGATGTTTCTGGCAAGCATGGATTGCTGCAATCAGTTACTCATTGTTTGCTCTTTGGACCAGTTTCAGAACTGCTGCATACGAGCGCCACCCACTTCTCAGAGGTTCTTCCTTCCTGCAAGTGTCAAATCACAAAGCTGAACTCATGACGTGAAGCCTGTTGTGATTCAAGTCAAGAATATTGCAGACTCCTTTTATTTGTTTTGTATTTCAGATCTGATAGAAAACGTGGTGATGCTTCTGAACGCTGGGGTGGATCCAAAGATCTGTGATGCCCAGTCAAGGTCTGCTATGGATATCTTGAAAAAACACAAGAAGTTCAGGGTTATAGATATAATCAGCAAGCACAAGGAAAGATTTAATCTACACCAGGATGAGTCACCAGGTACTTCAGAGACAGGCCTGCTTGTTGAATTCAGTAATAACCCTCACTTGGCAAAAGTGTCCTCCTTGTTTTTTAGGTTGGGTCTCCCAACCTATTGTTGGACTACAACTCCCATCATTCATACCTAGCAGAACCAGTAGTCAGGGATGATGGGAACTGTAGTCCAAAAACAGCTGGAAACCCTGCTGTAGACATAACATTTAACCATTATTCAGGGACTGGACGTCATGATCATTCTTCTCCTCTCCATCTCTGTGTTAATTTCATCCATGTCCCGACTTCCCACCCCTAACCATGGTTTCCTGTTAGGTTTTTGCAAAGTATTTTTGTCGCCAAAGCTTTGAAACTGGGCTTTGATACTGGAAACCCAAAGCTGCTACACTATGACAGCTATCAGTACCGGTGCAGAGCTGAGACAAGCATACATAGGCCGAGGAGATTTGTGCAGTCCTTCAGGCTTGTGTGCCTGCTACTGTACTAATAATATCTCACCAGTTGAGCGACAGGGCTGCATGGCGACGTTGTTTTGGTTGATACATATAATTGTGTGTTGTTATGTGCTAGAGATGGAGCTTTCCCCTAAAGTTCTTTTGGGAAACTCTGGGGTTCCTCTGAAACTTTTCAGGTCATCTTCAGAAAAAAGATGCCAGACACTCTTCTCTGAAAGAATCTTGCTCACTCCTACAATTCACAACGGCTGAGAAGTGTTGGGGGTGTATTCTAGAGCAGGGATGGCCCTCCAGATTTTTCAAGACTCCCATCATCGCTGAGCAGTGGCTGGGGCAGATTGGAGTCTAAAAACTTCTGGAGAGGGACATGTTCCTCAGTCCTATTCCAGGGTATGCTCTTTGGTTATGGGCCCAGTGCTGAGGTCCAATAACTATCTACAGTGGTACCTCGAGTTACAAATGCCTCAGGTTACAAACGCTTCAGGTTACAAACTCCGCTAACCTGGAAGAGTTACCTTGAGTTGAGAACTTTGCCCCAGGATGAGAACGGAAATCATGTGCCGGCGGTGCAGCAGCAGCAAGAGCAAAAGCACACCTCTAGTTAAGAACAGTTTCAGGTTAAGAATGGACCTCTGGAACGAATTAAGTTTGTAACTAGAGGTACCACTGTACTTGTTGTTTAGTCGTGTCCAACTCTTCTTGACCCCATGGACCAGAGCACGCAGGGTACTCCTGTCTTCCACTGCCTCCCACAGTTTGGTCAAACTCAAGTTGGTAGTTTCAAGAACACTGTCCAACCATCTCGTCCCCTTTCGTCCCTTTCTCCTTGTGCCCTCAATCTTTCCCAACATCAGGGTCTTTTCCAGGGAGTCTTCTCTTCTCATGAGGTGGCCAAAGTATTGGAGCCTCAGCTTCACGATCTGTCCTTCCAGTGAGCACTCAGGGCTGATTTCCTTAAGAATGGAGAGGTTTGATCTTCTTGCAGTCCATGGGACTATCAAGAGTCTCCTCCAGCACCATAATTCAAAAGCGTCAATTCTTCGGCAATCAGCCTTCTTTATGGTCCAGCTCTCACTTCCATACATCACAACTATCTATAGGCAATACAAAAGAGTTATGTGTCCAACAGAAAGAGTTATCCAAGAATGTTTCCTAGAATTTTCTACAGGATTTCCAAAACACATTACCTTGATGTGTTTCTGAAGAGAAAAACAACAACAGTCCCATGGCGTAGCAATTAAAAGATGTAACCCTTTTTAAACAGCATGATTTTATAAGCATGTTTATATGCATGAGGTATTGTCACAGCTGCCTCTTTCAAGATGGTTACAGCGGAAGGTTTTGGATGACGGGAAAATTTGAAAACCACTGGTCTTTGGGAAATATATGGCTATTGGAAGCAGAAATGTTGGGCCACTTTACTATTGATTTTTTCCTTCATATGCCCTTATCATGGATTGCAGATCCATGAGCTCTGTTCCCGTCGAAAAAGGAAAGAGAGAAAATGTCTCAGAAAGGTTTTCAATGTTGTTCCCCACAGAGCAGACTGAAAGCACAGGCCCTGCAGACAACGTTGCCTTGCTTCATGATGCTTTTGAGCAGTTTGTGAGGTTTTGTCGTTCGGAAAACAGAGTGCATAACATCGGTGTATTGAGGCACGAAAAAGTTCAGAGGCTTCTGAACCTGCTGAATTCAATAAGAGGTAAATATGTTTCATTCTCAGTGTCTGATATATGCCAGGGACATGTTTGAATCATTTCCAAAACACAAGGATGGCTTGGAAACCAAGTAAAATGTTTGCTATAAAGACCAATCCTCCACTGCTTAATATTTCTAGAACTTGAGCATTCATGTTGCTTCATCTAAATAGCCAATTTTGGCAGTTGTTCAAGTCTTGCTGCCCCTTGCACCCCGCTACTATATGTAGGAAATTAGCACACCGGGGGATATTTTACATAGGAGCAATTTGAAATACAATCCTCTGCTTGCTATCTACTTGAACGTTCTGAAGGCTGAATATTTACTAATCCATTTTAACTGCTTTGTTTTCCTGTCCTGATGTGCTCCATAAAACCCCAAACTGACGGCTGCATTCCTGATGCATGTCCACTTTCAGTCTTCAGAGGGATCAGCATATCAGATAGAAAGTCTTAATTGCAAAGCATTTATATTGTCCTCTAGGTGGCAAAAGTTGTTCAGTTGGATATTTTAATGTGCTGTGTAAACTGATTTTCTGTGAAAGGTAACCAACTGAGTCAAGGAACATAGAGAATTGTATCGCATCGTTGGATTAACAAAAGAAAAGCACTTGTTGTCGGGGGGTGTAGCTCCTGCCTCACTTAGAAGCCTTTCAGTGCTTGCCAGAAAGTTTGATGTACCCTAGTGCTAGTTTGTGATCTACGGTTTGTAGCAAATGGGAGACACCAATGGAATCTTTCTGAGAAACAAAAGGGAAACAATGATGTATTTTCATTGCCTTCTTCCTGTCTTAAATAGAGAACTGAAACGTCACATTGGCTATTTTGCAGGTTTACGGGGAGTTCAGTTTTTTCTTCCCTAGGTTTGTAGCTTTTTTAATAATGCACAACTGTGTTAAGTGTTTTGAGGAGGTGCCCATCTTTGTATGTCAACGTATTCAGTTGGCATTTAAATAAGATAGAAGTTGTGACATATTACGGACAGAGCAAAAGGTGAAAGTGTTTTGGATTTTTCTAGAACAACGAAAAATTTCACCATGTCTAAATCAGATTAGAATTTCCAGTTTACATCCAGGCCTCCTCAGAAATAAGCCCCACTGGGTTTGATTAGGTTTGATTCAGTGAGTATCTAGAAGAGATACATAGACCACTTGCCCCCCCCCCCCGGACTACTTTCCTGGAAAGCGGGTTAAAGTACCGTATTTTTCGCTCTATAGGACACACTTTTTTCCCTTCAAAAATGAAGGGAAAATGTGTGTGCGTCCTATGGAGCGAAGACGCCATAGCCCCGCGACCCTCTCCCGGCTGGAGAAGTGACGCGCGGCTATTGAGGCTCTTGCCATAGCCGCCCGTCACCTCTCCAGCCGGGAGAGCGCGCGCAGGGCTGCTGGACAGGTGACGGGCGGCTATAGAAGCTCCTGCCATAGCCGCCCGTCACCTCTCCAGCCGGGAGAGGGTCGCGGGGGGCTGCTTTAGCTATGGCAAGAGCCTCTCCGCTGCGCCTTTCCGCTGCTCCCTGAACTGCTCTTTGGGGCTGGCGGTGGGCTTCCCCCCGCCAGCCCCAAAGAGCAGGTCGAAAGGAACCTGAAGCCTGGAGAGCGAGGGTCTCGCTCTCCAGGCTTCCAAGGTAGCCGCCTGAACGCACCTTAAACGGCACCTTGTTTTAGAGCGGGAAAACAAGAGGGGAAGTTCTCCCCTCTCTGCGCAGCGCCTCCTGCCACTTCGCTGAAGGGGCGCTGGGCAGAGAGGGGGAGATTTTTTTTTTCTTGTTCTCCCCCCTCTAAAACAAAGTGCGTCCTATTGTCCGGTGCGTCCTATGGTGCGAAAAATACGGTAATTTGCAGTGGACTCTTGGGTTACGTTACCTTCGGGTTGCGAATGCTGCAAACCCAGAAGTGTATTCTTCAGGGTTTAGCCGCGCGTGCATGCGCAGAAGCGGCGCCTCTACTTGCTGATTTTTCGGGGTATGTACGAACCCCTGGAACGAATTACATTCGTATCCAGAGGGTCCACTGTACCTCTGTCTTTAATGTGCTCCACAAACACAGCACACTGTACATGCCAGCAGAAGCATAACAGTTGGAGGGAAACTTCAATACAACTAGGGAAAAAGCGGGTAAAATGCTACCTCTTTTAATTGTTCTGAAAACTACATTAAAGGGAAGAAAAGGCATTTTTAAAAGCTAGGAAAAATAAGAAGGGAACAAATGAGAATGAAGGGACTTGGATGGAATGAAACCATGGGGTGCAATACACATGCAATAATCAAATCCGAAGTGCCAAGGAATTTGTTTTTTTAGTCAAGTGTATTTCAAAGATCTTGTAACTTTGCTGGGCATAATGGCAGCCTTATTTTGACTACTTTCAGAAATTCCTGAAGAAATAGTTTGTGACATTCCTCCTGCGTGCGCCAGCAGCTTCATAAAGCTGTTGCTGGAGAAGCAAAGGTGGCATGAAGTTATGCTGCTGCTGACCCGAAAAACCACAGGGAATATGACATTGGGAGACGGCCTTATTAAGAACTGCAATCTGTCGGACGTTGACATTGGCACTGTCTTGAAAGACATGGACAGGTCAGATGGGCGACGGCTGCATCTCGTGAGATGCTTGATCCAGAGGGGAGGTGAGTATTCACAGAAACCAGACTTTCTTTGAAGATCTGAATATCTCTTCGTTCTTGAGTTAAACTAATGCCAGTCTATCTCTTCCGCCTTTTTTTTAATAAAAAATACAGTCGTACCTTGGAAGTCAAACGGAGTCTGTTCCGGAAGTCCGTTCGACTTCCAAAGCCTTTGAAAACCAAAGTGCAGCTTCTGATTGGCTGCAGGAAGCTCCTGCAGCCAATCAGAAGCCGTGGAACCCACATCGGACGTTCAACTTCCAAAAGAACGTTCGAAAACCGGAACAGTCACTTCCAGGTTTCGATCGTTCAGGAGCCAAAACGTTCGAGAACTAGGCTGTCTGAAAACCAAGGTACGACTGTAACTACAAATAGCTTTTTGTGCCTGCTGAACTATGGCGTGGAAAAGCTGTGGTATTGTGTTGCATAATAAGATGGCGCTTTATGTGAGCAGAGGGTGACCAAGCAAAATTGGTGGCAGAGGCTTGGTGGTGTAGGATACAATCAAGCAATATTGAATTGTGACGCTATGAGTTGCTTTGGTACTGCTAGCTCAGTTGCAAGCTTGATGTACCCATCCTTGGGTTTAACTTGATTGTAGATGGCTGCAGGAACATTAAGAAGCTAGGAATTACTGTGGTACAGAGCGCTAAGATCCACAGTGCCCCCATGGAAATAAACTTTGCTTTTGAGCTGTTTTGAGAAAGAAACAGAGAAACAGAACCCTTGTATAAAGGAGAATAAAGGGGGAAGGGGGGGGAACCCAAAACTGTATATTTTGCAAAGTTGTTACAGTGGTATCTCAGGTTCCATACGCTTCAGGTTACAGACTCCGCTAACCCAGAAATCGTGCTTCAGGTTAAGAACTTTGCTTCAGGATGAGAACAAAAATCGGGCTCCGGCGGCACGGCAGCAGCGGGAAGCCCCATTAGCTAAAGTGGTGCTTCAGGTTAAGAACAGTTTCAGGTTAAGTACAGACCTCCGGAACGAATTAAGTACTTAACCTGAGGTACCACTGTATTGTACTTCACCAGATCTTAACCTATTACAGTATTTGTAAGAGTGGATTCCAAACAGCATTGAATCTGGCCATGGCAAGTCTGCGTTTATATGCAAGTTGTTCATATGTTGCGAGTTTGTGTAAGTCTTCAATCCAATCGTAGAAGGGAGCCGCATTTTTATTAAGCCTGCCTTAAGCTTAAGAGAGAGGCTCCCATTATGCCTTCCTTACCTCTGTCCTGTTTATCATGGGGCTGCGCTTTGAAAGCTGCCCTTTCATCTCATCCTCCCCCTCCAACCTAAACACTAGTAGACAAAGGGCAGCTTGCATACAGTCACAGCGAAATCCTTGTTGTTAATCTCACAAGCTTCTGTGGATGCATTGTGCCTTTTCTAGAACTGTTGAAATTTAGCTGCTGTTTCCCCCAATCCCCGGTAGCATGCGCTTGTAATGTTGGTATTTGTAATATCATTTCCCAAAGCGTCACCTGAGGGGAGTAGAGCAAGCCATGAAAAACCACTTCAGAAATGTTTAAAGAGCAATGATTTTGAGCTGGCATGTGTTCTCCTGAGCTCGGGTGCAAATCCACACCATATATCCATGGCAGAAGGCGATACCCCTTTACATGCTGCGTTGTCCATTTATTTTGATAAGAAAGGTAAGGACTTTGACTTGGTATTTTTGTGGGTGGTGGTTTATTGAAATAGTTTATAACCTTCATCAACCATGTTGACGGCAGCTTCTCCTGCCATCCTCTCACCATTGCAAAGTCAGTGGCATGGTTTGCAAAACCACCAGGAAGGGGATGGGAATGTTCCATAGCTCAGTGTAGAGTCCATATTAATTTATTTATTATTCCAATTATATTCCACCTTTCATCCAGCCGGAAACCCAGCCAGATGGGCAGGTACAAATAATAAATTATTATTGTTGTTGTTGTTGTTTGAGGAGCTCCTGGAGGCATGAACAGTTCTCCCTCCCCATTTTTATCCTCACAATGACCCTGTGGAGACCCTGTGGGGACCCTGTGGAGAGCCAGTATGGTGTAGTGGTTAAGAGCAGTAGACTTGTAATCTGGGGAACCGGGTTTGCGTCTCCGCTCCTCCACATGCAGCTGCTGGGTGACCTTGGGCCAGTCACACTTCTTGAAGTCTCTCAGCCCCACTCACCTCACAGAGTGTTGTGGGGGAGGAAGGGAAAGGAGAATGTTAGCCGCTTTGAGACTCCTTCGGGTAGTGATAAAGCGGGATATCATATCCAAACTCCAAACTCTGGGCAGGAGATTAAGCTGAGAGGCAGTGGCTGGCCCAAGGTCATCAGTGAGCTGTATGGCTGAGCCAAGGATCTGAACCCTGGTTTCCTAGGTCTTTGTCCTCTAACCACTGCCCCCCATGATTTCTGCTCAGAAGAATTGTGGGCAGCAAATCGTAAGAAGAATCTTTGCCAAAGAACCCAGAGAGTTTGCTGCCAGTTGAAATGGGCAACTTGGGGTTCCATGAACAAATGAAACCACCTACATCATGTGTAATATTCGTTAGTTCTTTCAAATATCAAAGAACACAGCGTGGCACTTTTTATTCTCCTTTCTGTCCTGTCTTAGAGAGCTACCTCATTTGGAAGCTTTACCTGAACAATTAAGTATAAGATTCAACAGAGCCGAGAGATTTAGTCAAGTTAATTAGGAACAAATGAACCATTGCATTGTATGGAGAATCTATATGCTGGTGATGACAGATGGGAGTAAAATGGGGACAACCTGTATGCAGAGTGCAGCTCTTGAAGCACCCTTTTTATTCTTCCACTCCCCACCCCCTTCCGAAAAGGAATAAATATTCCTTAAGGTGGGTCAAAAGGATTAAAAAGAAAAGTCACCTAACACTCCCTAGATCAAGAGATTGCAGAACTCTGAACTTGTTCCAAGGCGGTGGAGAATTCCTTCTACTTGGAATGAAATATCTGCCCTCCATAGGTTTCTCTCAGGCCAGTAAATTTTTATTGTTTCTGGTAGGCAGCATCTCATTAGAAGTAAGTTAACTTGAAGGATGGAAACAGAGATGGTTATGAACCACTTTGAGCATTGTACAGTATGGATAAAAAGGATCAACTTTAATGTAAAATGTTACTGTGGCTTGTGCGAATGGAAATACAAAACTTAATTTTGTATATTTTTGTTTTCTCTCTCTCTCTAGACGAGAATGGCTTACATTTATTGAGTCACCTTCTAGAACTGTACGATTCAGATCCATCCAGATTTTCGTATCTTAGTCCCAATAGGCGAGACAAGAATGGGGACACAGTCATGCACATTATTTTTCAGAAAAACCTAACAAAGCCTGTTAAGAAAATGTTGGGCTTGCTTGCAAAGTTTGAAATTAACTTGAATTTAAAAAATAAATCTGGCAGAGATGTGCGTCACAGAATAAAAAAGACCGATCCGATGCTTATAGCTTGGAATGAAGCTGTGGCTGAGAACAAGAAGAGGTCCCGACATGACGCAGCAGGACATCAAACTAAAATACCAAAATCCACTTCGGCTTGCGGCAAGTCAGAGCCGCAAAATTCAACCCATTCTTCAGCTGCACAGTCATCCAAAATTCCGCCTGAAGAACTGCCGTCAGACACAGAACGTAATCTATGTGAAGAGGAAGAGGCAGAAGTTGCTGGAGTTCAAAGCTCATCTTTCAGAGATACCAATAAGCCATTGACTCTGCGAGATTGCCTTGTACAAGCAATCATACAGTTAATCCAAAAACTCGCACTGAATGAAGTCTCAACAAAAGATAACTCAGTGGCATCCCAAGTACCAAAGCAGCCACCTTCCATGACTAGGATTGTAGATGACAAGAGTGAATATCGGCAGGCGTGTGCCCATGAGGCTTATAATGCTTGCCCAGACCAAGATGAATTGGGGGAGAAGGTGCAGAATGAGCTTGAGGAGGCCAAAGCAGAAGAGGAAGAAGATGCCGAAGTCAATCGACAGCTTCAGGAAATTGAGATGTGCCCTCAGGACTTTGATAATATGACATGGGAAATTGAATGCACCTCTGAGGTGCTTAAGAAATTAGGAGACAAAAGCTTCCCTCACCGTATGAAGAAGAAAGTAGTATTGGCAATTCAGCAGCTAGGAAACGGTGAATGGACTCAAGGTTTACAAAAGAGGCTGAAACATTTGAAAGGTGACATTCGGCTCTACGAGGCAAAGTTGGACAAAGGGGCCAGGCTGCTTTGGGAGCTTGCCATAGACTTTTCTCCTCGCTGTAGCGAGGCTGCGGAAAAGATAATAGAGAATGAGAATTCCACACATCCCACAGAAAAAACTGGGAGGGTTTACACAGAAATCATCAGGATATGGGACATTGTGCTTGATCACTGCAAACTCAACCGAGCCATTGACCGTGCTATCGACCGTGCTGTTGATCTTGCTGCTGACCGTGCCGCTGTTGACCTTGCTGTTGAAAAGATATGTAAAGCATACAATCGTGGGCTGTCCTGTATTTTGAGGAAAAAGCTTAAAGGTATCAACGCAACTCCGATTTCTTCTAACTTGAATATACAAAAGCGCATTCCTCGCATATATGTTGAAGATACTAAGCCAGAAAAGTTAAAAGATCATGTCCTGCCTGAATACTTTCCCCCAGCTAGTGCGGTGGAAACGGAATACAACATAATGAAATTTCACAGTTTCAGTACTAACATGGCACTTAATATCATCAGTGACATGACCACTGCTGTTGAATACCCCTTCAGAGTGGGCGAGTTGGAATACGCAGTCATTGACTTGAACCCCAGACCGTTGGAGCCAATCATCTTAATTGGACGGAGCGGAACTGGGAAGACTACTTGTTGCTTGTACAGGCTTTGGAAAAAGTTTTATTCTTACTGGGAGAAAGCAGAGTTGGCAGGAGGTCCCTTGCTAGTCAGACAGATGTGGCACAGATTGAAATTTAATATGCATTTTGAAAACAGCACTGAGGAGGAAGATAGTGAAAAGCAAGATGGCAGCGACCCCACTGATTCATCTGAACTGGAAACTTCTCTAAGTACAGATGAGCAAGAGCTGGATGAAGATGAACAGGGTTCAAATCTAGGAGACCCAGAAATGAATTTACGGTATGACTCTGATGAGGAACATGCCGAAGAAGAAACTGACAAACTGGAACACTTGCATCAGATCTTTGTTACCAAAAACCATGTTCTGTGCCAAGAAGTTCAGAGGAACTTCATAGAGCTTAGCAAGTCTTCAAAGGCAACTAGTCATTTCAAGCCCCTTGAACCAAATGTTCACCGACTTCAGGATGTTAAAGACGAAAACTTTCCTCTCTTCCTCACATCCAGGCAATTGCTGCTCCTCCTTGATGCCTCTATGCCTGAACCATTTTTTCTGAGAAATGAAGACGGAAGTCTTAAGCGCACCATTGCTGGATGGTCTACTAAAGAAGATCTCGCCATCTCAAATTGGCAGGAGGAAGAGGAAGACGTTGACGTAGATTATGATGAGGATGAAAAGGTTGCAGAAGTCCATATTAGAGAGAGTGATCCTCGAGTCTTTGTGACTTATGGTATATTTGCGAATGAAATCTGGCCCAAAATGGTAAAAGGCAAATGTCCCTACAACCCAGCCTTAGTTTGGAAAGAAATAAAATCTTTCTTGAAAGGGTCTTTTGAGGCTTTAAGCAGCCACCAAGGCATACTTACAGAAGAGGAATACAAAAAACTAGGACGGAAGAGGTCCCCAAACTTCAAAGAAGACCGTAGTGAAATTTATCAGCTCTTCAGCCTTTACCAACAAATAAGATCACAAGGAAATTATTTTGATGAAGAAGATGTCTTGCACAAATTGTCTCAAAGACTCTTAAAGCTCAGTGATCTACCATGGTGCATCCATGAGCTTTATGGGGACGAAATTCAGGATTTCACCCAGGCAGAGCTAGCATTGTTAATGAAATGCATTGATGACCCGAATGCGATGTTCCTGACTGGCGACACAGCACAGAGCATTATGCAAGGAGTTGCTTTTCGTTTCAGTGACTTGAAATCACTTTTCCACTATGCCAGCAAAAGCTCTGCTGACAAGAAACAGAGTATTGTTAGAAAACCAAAAAGGATATACCAGCTTTATCAGAACTACAGGTCTCATTCAGGTATCAAAATCTTAAATCTATATACATACATTACATGGGGTGGGCTGAGGAGACAGAGGTTTAAAAGAGAGGATAGCTGTACTCCATTAAGCTAAAGTTCCTTTAAAGTATTCAGGTTGAACAACCTAGAACAGTGGTTCCCAATTGGTGGTCTGTGGACCCCAAGGGGTTTGTATAAGCCACCCAGAGGGTCTGTGACACCATTCACATAACAAAAACTTCCATAAAAATATCATCATTTTTAAAAGTAGGGGGTTCATGGCTTGGCTTTTGAAAAACAGGGTCCACTGTACTTAGCTAACTGAGAACCACTGATCTAGAATGAAAACGATAATTTCCAGGCTGAATGAGAATTTATTTTAGCTTGTACAGATATCCTCTGCAGTCTTATACTGAAGCACTGCTTTACAGAGGATTTTCCTGTAATTCTGCCATTTGACCGGTGTGATTTCTCTTACCCATCTTTGCAACAGTTCTCTGATTCAGGCTTCTGATTATGGCATCTCTTGAACGGAGAAAAGCGGTGGAGAATCATTGCTCCCAGTAAAGCCATTGCTGATCTGGAAGTTGGCCCCAGTCCAAGATCACATGGACAACATGCATTTAAAACACTATTTTAATAGTCATGGAGAATCCTGAGGACTATAGGTTTGTTTTTTTAAGGGTGCTGACATCACAGAGCAACAGTTGCCAGCACCCTTAACAATCTTAACAAAGATTATCCATGACTGTTGAAGTAGTATAATAGTGTTTTAAATGTATGGCATAGATGTAACCCAAATCAATCCCACATGACTTTTCGCAGAACTGTTGAGGCTTTTGGTGACTGATTCTCATAGCTGCTGCTGCTGCTGTGCAGGATTTGGCACTGGCACCAGCTTGGGTTGGTTCCTATGGGTCTAAAGCGGTGATTCTGTGATACCCACTTCTGTGCACCTTTCTGATGAACATGAGTTTATCAGATATGTGGAAGGAGGATATATGATTCGACCATGTTCTGCCCTTCTCTGTCCCCTCATGTGGTCACCCTCAATGAAGCAGCCTTTAAACCATAGCTGTAAAACAGCTTTGTGACCCAGCTGCGGTTTTGAGCTAGGCATTTGCTAACTTTTCAAGATTAATATTGTCCTTTCAGTTACCCTTTTATTTTGTTTCCCACCCGAGAGACAAATTTAATAGGTCAATTCTACCTGCTCATTATCATTTGCAGGTATTCTCCACTTGGCCTCGGGAGTTGTTGACTTGCTTCAGTACTATTTCCCAGAATCCTTTGATCGTCTTCCTAGGGATTCAGGCCTCTTTGATGGGCCCAAACCCACCGTCTTGGAATCTTGCAGTGTTAGCGATCTGGCAATTCTTCTGAGAGGCAACAAAAGAAAAACACAGCCAATAGAGTTTGGAGCGCATCAGGTAGGCTTTTCTCAGCATATAATGTTCTGTACCAGAACAGAACGTTGCTGTTTTCGCTATTGTAAATGACAGTGTGCTGTCTTGAGTTCTTTGAACAGCTTTTCAGAATGTTAATAAAACTAAGCATGTCTGTAGTAATTGAGAAGACCACTTGTTTTTCTTGTTTATTTGTTTGAGAGCATCAGAATACATTGCACTTGTAAATTATGGGCACCAGGTCTGAATCTTCAAGAAAAGTCCACAGCCCTAATTTCAGATGGAGGTGTGGAAACTGTTCCTGGATAACTACGATAACCTAGGCACCTAAATGAGGCCATTCTTCTCAGTGATAGGATCTGTCTAGGCTTATCAATCACCAGAATCTGAAGACCTAGATTCAACTTCAGGCAACTTTCTACTTATTGTATTATTTTCATGGGTTGCTGTGGTTTTGGTGATCTAATGTCTCCCATTCTGATTGTAGGTGATTCTTGTAGCAAATGAAATAGCAAAGGAAAAGATCCCCGAGGAACTTAGTTTAGCTCTTGTGCTAACAATTTACGAAGCAAAAGGCTTGGAATTTGATGATGTGCTCCTTTACAACTTTTTCACAGATTCAGAGGTATGTAAAAATAGAGATGGAGAGAGAGAGAGAGACTGGATATCATTCATTTCTCTTTAGGGGAGAACTGAACAACTCAAATAGGCTAGGTTGAGTTGTCATCCTTTGTTCCTGCTAATAACGATAAGTTCTTTTATCTGCTGGTTTGATTTCCATCACATGTTCTTGTTTGTACTAAATGTTGTTTTTTGCAATATCAGCACATCTTAATTTACAGAATATATTCAGGACCAGTGAAGACATTGACCCCAAGTAAATTGTTTTGGGAACACTTGACAAACGAGTTCCACTTAGCTTATAGCTGGAGTCATTTTCATATCTGGTATTAGATAAGGGATTTTTGCCCGTGATAGAGGGTTTCTTTGTTTCCTTGCACTGTGTGCTTTTGCTCACTGATTTGAAGATTGTTTTGCTTTCTGAGGTTGACTTCAAACACGAGTAAAATTGAAAACTTGGTTACAGCTTTCCGGGTGCAGTAGTGCTATTATAGCTATGGTTTTTTGTCTCCCCCCCGCTTAGGCTTACAAAGAATGGAAAATAATTTCTTCTTTCAAACCTCCCTCTCCTTTACCTGAAGAAACCAAAATGGTCATTGAAACGCCCTTGGAGAAAGTTGCTGATGTTCAAGGAAAACTTCCTGTTCTGAATCCAGAAATGTACAAGGTGATTCCAAAATAAAATCAGAAGCAATCATCATGTCCCTATTTTTGAACCTATTTTTAAATAAGTAATTGTTTCCGTTGAATAAATAAAGAATACATAGGAATCTCTAAATAGTTGACATCCCAATCTTTGAGGACTAACCGAAAATATTGCATTGTAATGCATTTTTAATCTTTCATCCATTATCATAAATTGGATACTAATTGTGCTTATAAAATTACATTCCAAGCTTCACTTAAGTATCTTAGCGTCCAAGAGAACTACAACATTACAATATATTGCCCTTCTTTCCTGGGCAGGCAAGTTAATATGTGAACTTGAAGCCCATAATGAGGTTTTGGACATGCACACCAAATTACCTGCTGATTTCTCAGACTTGTGGGAAAATAATTGTATTATAAACAAGCAGTGAATTCCAAACAGGTGAGTTTAAACCAAAGGCCACACTTGACTTGGCAGTCTAATGGCATGTTAGGTTGCACTAGTAAATTTATTTTAATTTCTGTGTCTTCAAACATGATGTCGTAGAGTTTGATGTCTCTTGATGAAACATTAGTCCAAATGTATTTAGCTGCATCACTGCTCTTTATGATAGTCTTTTGCACATATCAACATTGTATTCCTAGATGCTTAATGGAGAGCTAAAGCAGTTATATACTGCTATTACAAGGGCCAGAGTCAATCTGTGGATATTTGACGAAAACAGTGACCGGCGTGCACCTGCATTTCGATATTTCATCAAGCGAGAACTCGTTCAGGTTGTCAAAACAGAGGAAGATAAAGGTAAGTGCAAAATTCTGCAAACTAGACTGTCTCATAATCAACATTTGATTTTAGCACAGAAGGTGCAAATAATTAAGGAAGGAGAAATTTATGCTTAAATGTTTTTTATCGCCTACATTTTAGGAAATTCCCAATGACTTCAGTAATGTTAGGGCTAGTTTAATGAGCTTAAAAACAGCCTTCCTGTTTTTAACTGCAGTATCCATCCGCCCCAACCAGTATGGCCAAAGGTCAGGGATGATGGCAGTTGTAATTCTACAACATTTGGCAGACACCAGGTTGGGGAAGTCTGACTTAAAAAGATCTGTGTCTAATATATCTCTGGTTTCTTCTTATCTCTGTCTCTTCAAGAGTGCCTTGGAACCAACTCACAGCTGACTGCAACATACTAGGAAAGCATTGGCTAAGGCTGTCACATATCCAAGAACATTTATATCTGTGGTCAACAGTTAGCTTTGTCAGAGGGCCATTTTGAGAAGGGGATGTGAGTTGGGGAACCAACCTCCCATTTTCTCCACCCCAAAGCAGGCTTACAGTCGAGAGAACTGCTCAGATGACTGAATTAAAAGTGAGCTGAGTTGATGTCACAAGAATTTTAACAGTGCAACAATTCCTTCCATCCTTGTTTTCCCTCCTAGATTTTGATGACAGCATGTTTGTTAAAACCTCAACTCCAGAAGAATGGATTGCGCAAGGAGAATATTATGCAAAGCATCAGTGCTGGAAGGTAAATTCACAGACTTGCTTAAAAGGGAGGGCATTTTAGGAAAAATACAGTAACTCTGGCAATGAATCATAGAAGTGAAATTGCAAACAAACAAACAAACAAACAAACAAACAACAATACAGATTAGAATTATGCTATGCTGTGTACCTGTAGAGCTTTATGGAGGGCAGGCTTCTGCTAGGGTGGGGCAGAACCTCATTTAATTGAGTATTTTTTAAATGCTTTTCAGTAATTTTGCAGATGAGGCATGGCAAAATGCCATGGATGTGGCCCCTCTTAATTCACAACTCGGGAACACACCTGCAAATCCTGTTGAGTCACTGTGTTTAAGTCTGTATGCCCTGTTGATGTTTGCTGTACTTAAAATAGTGTTTTTTTTCTTTTTTGCAGTGCAACACAAAGGCTTGTTTTTGTTGCTTTCATTGGTAAAGTGTCACTCAGTGAAAACTATATAGCAAGTAGACCGATAATTGTGGAACTAATTTCACATTTTGTCTTTGTTGTCATGTACCAGTGTGTCATAACTGAATTGGCACAATTTTGAGAAATGCTTAAGAATTAAGTCTCGATCCAGTGCTGCTTTTGTTTTTTAACCCAGTAGTTTAATTAACCAAATGCTATAGAGCATGCTTAACTTGTTTTGGGTTACCTTTGGTACACTTGAAATATTGGGTGTGCTTTTCTGTATATATTTGTTAATATAGAAAAGCAGTGTGTTTTGTAACTGTTTTCTTTTTGGTTTGCAATTTGGATTTTATATTAAGAATTTTATTTTTAACCAATATCCTTGAGAGGTTTGCATGTACATTTAGGAATGGATCCAGATATGCTTTTCCAGATGCAGAAAGCAGCTTATGCTTATGGAAGGGCAAGGGTTACAGAGTTGTGTGCAAAGAAATGAAACTAAATTCAAAGATGCTGTTCTTCTTTGCTGTAGAAGCCTGCCCTGCTACATAAAGCACCGAGTGAACTCCAAATCAAGCTGTTGTGCCAACGTTTGTGGAACAGGGCTTGTTGCTATTTTCCTTCCATTTACACTTCTTTGGATCCAACTCTGTCGTAGTTTGTTGCTCAATTTCTTTGCACACACACTAATTGCATGTTGCAATTTACAGCTTAAGCCTTAAGCCAAGGTTGGGCAAATGTTTGGGTTGAGAGTGAAGCAGATGGCCTCAGAATATGGTGGACTATCTTTCCTTAGAGGTTTTTAAGTAGAGACTGGATGGCCACCTCTCATGGATGCTGTAGCAGCAGTGGCTCTTGAATCGTGGGATGAGCCAAATGACCTTTCAAATCCTTTCTCAACTCTGATTCTGCATCTTTCTGCAGTTTATGATTAACGTGAAGTTCACTGCTGCAAGATGTGAAGAGCGATACCTGCTTAGTGTTGGAATTCCGTTTCCCCGTTGTGCAGATATGTGGGATTGTTTCATCACATGTCTGTGTTTACATTCCATCACTGATGGAGTCATGGGAGCGGATGTTGTTTTTACACTGTTCCGCTCTGTTGTACTGTTGTATTCCTTCTCTCCGAGGAAGAAGAGAGAGAGAGGAGCCTTGGTTTCCTTTGTCCTGATTTGTATATAATAAAAGTAGCTTAGTACTCACACCTCAAGCCTAGCTCTGCTGTTATTGACTCTGCTAAGGCAATATGTGCTCATCGTCTCAAGACATGAGTCACGGAAGCACGTCGGGGAAGTAGGTTGATGGATCTCCTGAGCAGCACGAAGAAGGGAGAGATGGGCTGGCATGTATATGTCATTTGCCAGGGGGTCTGTCCTGCCTCCCGGCGACCCCCCAACACAGATGGTTTTCAACAGATAATTCATGGATGGAAGGTCTATCTGCGGCTATTTGCTATGATGACTAGATGGAAGCTCCATGTTGAGTTTTGTTTTGGGGATGGGCAGCAACAGTGAAGAAGGACAACGATCCACTTGTGGGCTTCCTACAAGCATCTGTTCGGGCACTCTGTGAAGCCCTCTAGGAGCGCTGCTTTTTGGAGAAGCATTGATATCTCAAATAGCGGCAGGTCAAGATACTGTTACAGGCACAGGAGCAAGAGATGATTTAAAAAACAACAACACACCCAACAATTAGCAAGCCTGCCTGGTCTGTTGTCTGCCATTCAAATAAGTGGGTAGCACTGCTCCTCTGTGAAACAACCAGCGCTCTGGATAAATATTGCTTTCCTGTTTCAGGTGGCTGCTAAATGCTATCAAAAAGGAGGAGCAACCGAGAAGGAAAAACTAGCCTTGGCACATGACGCTGTGCTTAAAGTACAGTCAAAGAAAATGAACCCCAGGTAAGTGTCTTCTAAATGTAAAAAACATAAATCTGTTTGAATGTTTTTGGTTAAAAGTCGGTTGATGCATCACCATAAACGCTGGTTTACAGCAAACCCTGCCCTCCCCCAACTTAAGCACATAGAAGCAGCAAACCATAATCCAGGCATAGGCAAACTCGGCCCTCCAGATGTTTTGGGACTACAACTCCCATCATCCCTAGCTAACAGGACCAGTGGTCAGGGATGATGGGAATTGTAGTCCCAAAACATCTGGAGGGCTGAGTTTACCTATGCCTGCCATAATCCTTGGTTTAATGTTAATTTGAACCAGAGATTGGTTGTTTCATTTTGGTCCAAGCAAACCATTATTTGCAGCTCAGGGATCAGTCTTGCTTTGTTCTTTGAACTTGCTAGTAGAGAGTCACAAGAACAATCTGCGTATTCGTGGTAAATCATTATTTGTGGCTTGCTGTGACTTGTGAATTGGCATGGCGGTGATAGGGAATCTGTGGCAGTTTTATGCTTCCTATCTTAGATGCTATAAAAAGTAAATATCTTGCCTTCCTCTAGGGTGCACACCCAGCTCTTTAGGATGCTACTACCACCTCTGCTTCCTACAATTATCATTCCACATACTTTCTCCGTCAGACTCTCTCCTGACTGGCCTTTCCATATCTAGAGCTTCCTTTTAAAGCCAATGGAACAAATTTGGCATAACTACTTTACTCCTTTTTGCTTCCAGTTGTGATGGATGTAACATAGACCATGGCTTGATTCAAAAAGAAGACTTGAGGTCCCTTTTAGAGCAGTGAAGTCACTGTTTATTATATTTCTTTCCTGCATGAAGAGCGCGTGTTGGAATCTGTTTCTGTCTCAGCTTGTTAATGTTTTAAAATAGCTAATGGAATGAAATACCTTGAATCAATTGGCTGCCTATTTTTCAAAATGTGATTGCTTTGTTTTATTTCTCTCTCTATATATATATAAACAGAGAGAAGCAAATGGAATATATGGAACTGGCTAAAACTTATCTAGAATGTGATGAACCAAATTTGGCTCTCAAATGTCTAATCCATGCCAAAGAGTACCAGCTTTGTGCACAACTTTATGAAAAATTAGGAAAGGTAAATGTGGTTTCCCCACTTCTTTATCTTTCATTTTCCAGTTTTTTTGGGGGGGCTCTTTAGCATTTCACTATGGGAGAGTAAGAAATCCAAGTTGATTTATCTCTGCTCATCAAAGCATTGCATTGAGAGCTATTTTAACAGTTAATGGAAGTGACATTTGACTCAGGAGAGCTGTTTGGGTCAGTATATTTTATCCCACAGCTACTCTGCATGCAAAAGGTTTCTTATTTCATATTTTCTGTTGTTCATATTCCTTCACTTTTGCATAGTCGGTAGGCAGATATGAAAGCTAGCTTGGTGCACACCCGGTTGCCCCTACAGAATATGTGTGTTGTGTGGATATAGGTGTATGAAGCCTTAATTTTACCTAAGTGGGTGAGACTTAATAGAGGTCAGCCATGGAGAAGCAGATGGTTGGGCGGTGGGAGAGAGAGTGTCTGGAAAGTCTAGGAACTAGTAAATATTTTAAGCTGACCCTTGTGTTGTTGTGTGGTGAGGACAGACAAATCAATTTCCTTTCTATTGTGAGAGGTGTTAAAAGGGAGAAATTTGTCACACACGCATGCACCTGATTTGATTTTTCTTTACATTTGTCGTGGTAGACTTGGTGACTTGCTGCTGAATGTGTATTTATTCACTTGAAATATGTGGTGCTTGAGTGAACTCCAGGTGATAACTAAACTCCTATCTGATGTTTGATGATAGCCTATTAGCATAAGCAAGTTGTTTCATCTTGCAGTCAGTCTAGCCCTATTTGCTAGAATTAGAGAGGTATTGCCAGCTATTGCATGCTTGATGTAAGCATCCATGTGGTGTCATCATCGTACAGGTGAAAGAAGCGGCATATTACTATAAAAGAGGACAATACTACAAAGATGCATACAGATGTTTTGAGCAGATGCAAGAGTTTGATCTAGCGCTTAAAATGTGTTGCCACGAGGAGCTGTATGAAGAAGCAGCAAAATCTGTTGAAAGGTCTGTATTTCAAGAACCTGTTTCATTAAAAACATAGCATTTCTTCTGCCTTGCCAGTTTTATGAAAAGATTGCTGATTTGTGTCCTTGGGTTGCAATGCATGCCGTTTAGAACCACATATCTAAATAGCCTATGAAAATGTTAATACTTTACTTGGAAAAGATAGTTTAAGCCATGGGTAGGCAAACTAAGGCCTGGGGGCCGGATCTGGCCCAAGCGCCTTCTCAATCTGGCCCATGGATGGTCCAGGAATCAGCATGTTTTTACATGAGTAGAATGTGTGCTTTTATTTAAAATACATCTCTGGGTTATTTGTGGGGCATAGGAATTCATTCATTTCCCCCCCCAAAATATAGTCTGGCCCCCCACAAGGTCTGAGGGACAGTGGACCAGCCCCCTGCTGAAAAAGTTTGCTGACCCCTGGTTTAAGCCATTTCTACAGTGCATATACAAAGATCTTATAGAAAAGTAAAAGTGCTGATTTTTTTTAAAAAAAGAAACAGTGCCCAGTACTTTTTTGTTTTTAAATCAGCTTTGAAAATCATTCAGTCACTCAACCAATGAGCTGATTGTACTAGCCAAATGCCATGACATATAACCTGACTATAAACCATAATATGAAATATACACCAATAATAAAACCAAACACCAGTATTATGAAGAAAGGGAAATCGGAAATATTGAGACCTGGCTCAACTTCACATTAAGCTCTGAGTCTCCAGAACAACTTATAGCAGTGTTAGATAACATCTCACTGGATGTTAAGTTGTGCATCTACTTCCAATTCCCTGTTGAAGTTTACTTGTATATGTCTGTTTCAGATATCAAAAGATGATGAGAAAAGAAGGACTGCCAATTTCCAAACTTTCATACACAGCAAACCAGTTTTATTTGGAAGCCGCTGCCAAGTACTTGCGCACAAACAAGATGAGTGAAATGAAGGAGGTGCTGTCTCACCTTGACACCGAAGACCAGCTTGTGTTTTTGAAAACGCACAAATGCTTTGCTGAAGCTGCTGACCTGTTGAAGAGGGAAGGCAAAGATGAAGAAGCCGCGAAGCTGATGATGCAACATGGCTTTGTACTGGAAGCAGCCAAGCTCACTAACCAAAAAGAGTTCCGAGCTTCGTGCCTGCTTGCTGCGGCCCGCCTTAGTGTGGCAGGCATTTGCAAGGTGGAGAACGTGAGAGACATTTTGAGCGAAGCCTTAGAACTGTTTCAGAGAACAGACCAAAAGTCTGGTAGCGCAGAGGCTACCTATTTGATAGGACTTTTAGAAAAAGACTTCTATATGTTGAAGAAGGCCTTTGGAATGTTTTTGCGTGTGAACCACAATGCTGGCGCTGTGGAAGCTCTGTTTGGAGCAACAAGCTGTGATGTCGAGAGTGAGGCCATCTTGGGATTAACGTCCTATGGAATCGAAGCCCTCCTAAATCTGGTCAAAGCTTTCAAAAAAGCAGGCACCAACGCCGAGAAGGAAATGGTGAAGTCGTGTTTTGAATACTTTGGAATTGTCCTGATAGATGGGAAAAGTTGTCAGGTCTCCCAGAATGAAGCAGGCTGTATTCTAGAACATTTGTCCGAGAATTACAAACAGAGAGAAAAGAGAACAAGTGATAAGCTCAGTGTAAGCCTGGAAGAGGTGAAATTTGCACTGAATAAACATTTGTTGAATAGGCTTACTGCCGTTATTCACCATTTACTTGGTCTGAGCTTCCCAAATATTTGCACAAAGTTTATTGCCGGCTTGAAGTGTGAGGACGAAACCTGTGAGGACTTCCATAGCTCCCTGTCACTTCACGAGATAAAATCTATATTTCAGTGTAAAATGCACCTGGCTGCAATAAATGGGCTTCTGTTAGAAGCCAAGCAAGTGTTCCCAAAAGATTTGCTTCATGAACCCAATGCCATTGATGAGCTATTGACCGCTGATAAGTATGCACTGTGCAAATCTCTTATCAATGCAATATTTCCCAAGCATTTCCACCTGAGGATGGTGTCCGAAAATCCAGTGGTATGCAAACAGATCCTGAGCCTTTATCGCTTTAGCCATAAAAATTCTAATCCTTGCAGGGCGGTTCTGAGAGAATGCATCCGGTCTGAATTTAGAAACGAGACGGCTCAGAACAGGAGAGAATCGACGGATCTGTGGCTGAGAATGATGCAGGTCTTTGCCTTTACTTCCACTTACCCCGAAGAGTTTGAAAGACTCCTTTTCAAAGAAGAAGATGACTATAATAGAGAACTGAAGATGGCAGATGAAAGGGGAAGAGGGAGATCCAAAGGCATAGAGGGCAGATATGGAATGCTGCTACCTGATAAATATGCAGGGAATGCTGAAAGCACATACTTGTGTTTCATCAGACTCTTGCAGGACTCCATGGACCAGCTCTACATTCACAGAAACCTTGAGCAGTGCAGGTGGTTGTTTTATCGTTTCATGAATGTCTTGGTGAAGAAATGTGTTGACCCTTTAATTCCAAGCATAGGAAACACTGTGGCTTTGCTGGAATTTCAGTTCATCCTGTGTTCTGCTGTCCTCATGCGCCTCTGCAAAACCATGACTCTCTGCCTTCCCAAGAGTTATATTGCCCTCTTCCATTACTGGGACTATTTATTCGCAAGAGGGGACCGATGTAAAGACGCCTTCACCTTTTCTGTCATACAAGAGTATAAGCCACAGGACACAAAGCAAGCCATAGAGAAATTTAAGCTTCACCTGAGATACTTAGCCAATGTTCTGTGTGGGTATGAAAACTTCAATGTACTCTTTGATGCTTTTGGTGACCTTGGCTTCATCGTGTCTGGGGAAGCTGAGCGCACTGTGGTGCTTTGCTTAGTGATGTTGGTGAATGCTGATCAGGTGCTTGGTTGGAAATATAAAGATCGTTTAGCCAAAATCTTTCCCACCCTCCGAGAATTCCTTGCAGAACTGAAAAGGGACTATCCTTCCAAGGTGCCTGAAAGATTGATTAAGATTGTGGATCTGATGAGTGAGACTTCCAGTGTTAAAGAAGTAGTTGATGGCCTCAAGGAGCTGCTGCTTTGTCGAGATAAAGAGTATTTAGCGGACTGTTGTTGGAGGTGGGACCCTAAAGGAACAAGGGTTACGAAGTATGAGAACAACAAACCTGTCAGAGGTATCTACTTTGAGGTTGCCGACTTGGACAGATTTGCATATCTGAGCCAGGCAAGGAATTTCGAAGAGGCAGAAATAGATCTTGAAAAGGACATGTACATCGAAGAGAGAGAAGACCCATTAGCCAATATAGCATCGATAAGGCAGCAGAAGCAACAGCAAAAAGCTTCTGCCAAGCGGAAGCTGTGGGGCCTTTTCCTGTTTGTCTATTGTTGCGTTAGATGGAAAAGGATTTCCTCTTCAAAGCAAGAATCCCCGGATATGGCACTGGGAGTCTTCAAAAAAGCAGACGTTGACCCAACACAGTGTGACCTTTGTGGAGTCAAATTTCTCCAAAGACCTGCAAACTTTGCCGCTCAGACAGAACCTTCTGAAAAAGAACCCTCAGAAGTGACAACAGCAACGGAGGCAGACTGGGAAGAGAACATGGACAGAAATGAAATTTTTGCCGCTGGTGAAACGTTTGAAAATCACATCATGCTGGACGAACATGGAAATAATTTTGCCTCTTACCAGAGGTATTTTGAGTTTTTCAGAATTAATGTGGAGCCATTAATCCGAAAGGGGATGGATGTGATGGAAAGTATTGCCGATAACACGTGCATCAAAGGCCACTTTGCATCCAATGAGCAATCTAACCACATGCAAAGTAGAATCCAAGCGGCTATTAAGAAGATTTCTGATATGGTGGAGGACATCTATAGGAGAAAGGCATGGGCTGATGGTAAGGCATTTCAGTTGTTTCAACGTCTATCATCTCAGCAGTCAGGGAATGTTTTCCTTTGCAGGGAATGATACTGAAATGTCATTCATCAAAATTATTTAGTGAATATAAGCATTCTGGCAGGACCCACACTATGCAGATGTGATTTTTCAACAACAACAACAGTCCACTCCAGTAATGAAGTGTTAGATCTAATGCCTAGCACTTCATAAGGAACCAGCCATCATGCACATATACTGTTAAATAATGGCTTGCCTTTTCAGATGAAAGTAGTGGTTTCCTTGTCCCAAATTTCCATTGTTTCTACATTCCTATAGTAAGTGTTAAATGGGGTGTTACCCCTTCCCATTACACCCATGATCCTAATTGGTTACATCTTTTTGTTTTATGTTTTAGCTGAAGAAACCATGTCCAAGTTGGCTAGCAATTTGAATTCTAATGTAGACAAAGCTTCTAATTGGCTGAAGGAAACGGAGTCCCGCCTACTAAAGGAGGAAGGTACGTTTTAAATTTTAAGTACATGCAGCTCACTATATAATGTTACATCTGTTAAAACTGAAGCGTATATTGTTTAGAAGTGAGCAGTACTGGGGCTTGTAAGAATAGTGATATACCATGCTGGCAGCCCATTCAGTTACTTAGCATGGAACTTGTAATTTGAGATAGTGGATTCAGTGTGTATGCAGCCTTATTGCTAGGTCAGGAGCTTTCCTTGACTAAATTCTTTCTTGCTCAACTGCTGAAGGGACAGGGAATTTTCTTTCTCCTCCTTTTGGCAATTAGAATTGACACATGGGCCATTCAGTAAGGCAGAGGTTTTCACCCTTTTTGAGTCTACAGCTCCCTTGAACAACTATATTCTTCCTGCGGCACCCCTGTGGGGCTCAGGAGCCCTGTTATGTCACCCCTTGCCTGCTGAGCTGGCAGTCCCTCACCCTTTTTTTGAACATCCTCCCTTGGGGAATGTTCCCTCAGCCTCCTCCCATCTCCTTGGGAGTCCTCTGGGCAGCTGCTGCCGCCACCCCTGGTCTCTGAGCTGCCACCCTTGCCCCAAAGAGAGGTGCCTCCTCACACTGCCCCACAGGGGCCTGGGACTTGTCTGCCCATTCCCAACAGCAAGGGCTGGCTGGACTCCCTCGCCCACTTGCTTGCTTGCTTCTTGGATGCCTCAGCCCCTGGCAACAAGCACCCCCTGGCCAGCTCCAGAGGCACCATTCACCTACAGAGCTTGTAGCCAGCTATACAAACTTTGTATATAGCTATACAAACAGCTATACAAGCCTTTGGGAGGCAGAGACGCAAGAGGGCATCAGGAGGGAGGGAAGGAAAGAGGGACAGAGGCCAGTGTTGCCCATGGCACCCCTGACCATTATTCAAGGCACCCCAGGGTGCCACAGCACACTAGTTGAAAACCACTGCAGTAAGGCATTTAAACAGAAGCATCAACTTCAAGGTGTCCTATTGAAGTTGGATTATTTTCACACACAACCCTTCCGCCACCCTACCCCAAATTGTGTGTTTTCTGAATCAGGGTCAAGATGAACTTGCTGAGAAAGGAGATTAGGATCCTCACTTTTATTTTCGGACATAGGTTCACGGACCTTTTATTAGCTGCACGACAAAAATTCAGCTGGCTCTTCTCAGTAAGGTGATACAGTAATTGGAAAGTATATCTTTCATGCATTGTCACAGAGCAACTCATGGAATGAGGGCTAAGCGACCAGAGAAGAAACAAGATGAGATACAGCAGCTTCATTAGTGAAGAAGGGGGAAAAAAACCCCATAAAGTTCTAGCAGCATTTTTTCACAAGTTTAAACTTGCATGTACAAGGGGATATTTCATAAGTGACATCTAACGAGTGCAAGTTTTACCTCCTTTTGATGGCTTAAGGCTTACATATGTTGAAAAAGGTTTTAGATACAATAGAAATTTAAGCCATTCTGGCGTACTTGCCAATGACAAAGTGAACAACAAGACTGTGGGACTCCACAAAACTTTTCCCCTGCTAGGATGCAGCTGAGTAAGTATTCCTTGGCACATTGTTTTGTCTTTAAAATTGAACAATTCTTCCTCTTTCCTCTTTTAGAGTTTGACCATGACAAAGACTTGGACAGTGAAGTGAAATGCGAAGAGGACACTTTTGAAGAGCTTCACCCCAAGAAGCCCTCAAGAAAGATGATGAAGAGAAGAAGAAAATAATTATTTTTTTTTTTAAGCTGAGGTTTATTCCTCCCTTGATTTGAGTTGTATTTCGTTTACATTTTATAACTTGAGTATTGAAATGTGAAAACACCAATTAAATTGGAAGGTGAAACCTGTCAACAAAGGTTCCCCCCTCATGGTAACTTGGATAGAAGGTTAGCAGTCAGCTTTTAGTAATTTAGGGTTGGGGTTTTTTTAAGTACTTCAAAGAAGCTTTAAGTAGAATAGAGTCAATTCCACAACAGGAATCTGGTGCAACATATTTGGCAGGGAGTCCCATGTCCCTGCTGGTACATAGAGTGGTTGGGAGAGGACACAATTCAACTCAGAAGTGGTAGGGGGGGTAGACGCTTAGGTTTGTTGGCTCATCTCCTACTTTCCCCTGTAACACTCCCCTACCACCACCAGTGTCCTAGATGCATATTGGTTGCGTTAAGGGGGAAACGTGTCTTCTTGTTTCCTGTTCCCCCCTTTAAAATTGCACCTTCCCTCTGCTACTTTGCAGTTGCTTGGCAAAAGTCCAGCTTTTGAAAACTCCTGCCATTGTTAGATGTGTCATTCTACCTTTCAGAGCCAATGCATAAGCAATTGGGAGCGGAGGGAGAGAGAATAATCCTTCCCCTTCCCTTCTCATCTTCTTTATTTTCCATTTTTAAATATGTGCCTACAAGCTGGGCTAGGAACATCCTCAGCAACAGGAGAGGTTTTTTGTTTTTAGTTTCATAGAATTTTAACTTTTGCAGAATGTTCAGAAATACCTTATGCAAGTGAGAAGCAGCTGCGAATTGGTGAATTGTTTCTCCTTTCCTCGTGTCTCCTGGAAACTGCAAGGAATAACGAGAGTGCTCATTTTTCTTGCAAACTTACTTTGACATCAGCTGTTCTCCTACAAGTGTCAAAAAAGATAATCTTTCTCTAGAGTTTCATTATGGTTTATATGCATTTTAAAGGGGTTTTTTATACTTTTGCAATTCAACAAAATAAAATACAGCATTGTACTATTTTAGAAAATAAAACAAAACAAATATTGGTGTTTATAACTGACTCGTGCCTTTTTTCTACAGAGGTTGTAAAATCAGTTTTAGAGAGGCGTGGGTGGCTTGAAGTCTGTCATGAGGATTTCTGACTCCCAACTTGGAAACAACAGCATTGCTTTTCGCCCCCTTCCCAGTTATTCTGCTGAAATGAAGAAAGTGTGCCAAGGGTGGGGGGCATAAAGAACAGGTGCTGGTGTAGAAATATTTAAGTTCGATTGAATTCTGATTTTTTTAAAAAACTGTTTCCTGATCTCAGAACTATTTGATTCTAATGGTATGTTTGGCTTGGCTCAGGTTGGTGGATATCAGGGGTCCTAGTAAAAAAAGTAAGCTTGAAGTCTGCCCATCTCTGACATCAATTACAAGGGGGAAAATATTCTCCCCAATTTAATTATTCCAAGAGATCAGTAGAGGTCAGTGCAAGCTTCCTTTGAGGGAATTTTGTCTGCTGTTAGTACTCTTCGCACTGAGCAGCTCTTGTCAACAATCACCTTCCATCTAAGGAACCCAAAACATAGTTTGGGGGCCATTGGGGTTGAGGATGTGTATGCAATAATGCCAGTTTCAAATAATTTTTTCAAGCAACACTCTTTTAAAATGTACTACAGGAATGTCACCCAAAGAAATGGGATCTACAACAGTCACTTCATCTGCAAATAATTCTATTCTTTCTCTTTGTATTATGATACACAGGTGTGTGGTTTTTTTGTGGGGGGGGGGAGAGGGGTAGAAATGATATGTTTTAGAATTTTTATTTGAAAGCTGCCTTTGGCAGAGTATCATTTGGAAAGGTGGTTTATTATAAAGGTTTTTAAATGAGTAAAATACAGTGGTGCCTCGCAAGACGAAAAACGCGCAAGACGAAAAACGCGCAAGATGAAAGAGTTTTCCGTTTTTTGAGTCGTTCCGCAAGACGAATTTCCCTATGGGCTTGCTTCGCAAGACGAAATGTCTTGCAAGTTCTTGCGAGTTTGTTTCCTTTTTCTTAAAGCCGCTAAGCCGTTAATAGCCGCGAAGCCGCTAATAGCCGCTAAGCCGCTAATAGCCGTGCTTCGCAAGACGAAAAAACCGCAAGACGAAGAGACTCGCGGAACGGATTAATTTCGTCTTGTGAGGCACCACTGTACTTAAGTGCTTCAAATGTCAAAGCCAGCTCCTGGAAACTAATCAGAAACCAGTGCAGATCACATAAAACAAGCGTGGCAGTATTAACCACCAGCCCCCTGGCTACAGCTTTGAGCAGAAACTGCAGTTTAAACTTTTTTTTTTTAACAGCAGCCAAATGAGTTAGTCCATTTAGAGGTCACTATGGCATGACTGGCAAAGCTGTTTGGCTGGGGTGTGTGGGTGTGTGAAGCAGCACTTGCTACTGCAGCCCCTTCCACATTTAGCAGAAGCATCAGATGAACCTCATCAGCAGCTCAGCAATGAGATGGTTTACGTGTAATGCAAGCCAAACCATGACTAAATGCAAATGTGTGGGTTCCTAGAGAGGAGAGGGTGGCACCCAGTTCTCCTTTTATTGTGTTGTTGCTCAGAGTGAAGCCATGATTTGGCTTGGCATGCCATCTAAACCCAGGTTTATGGTCTTTCTCCTCCAGACCAACAGAAACTCTAAGCCCAAAACCATACCACAAACCAGGGTTGGGTGGCATGGTAAGCCAGGACTGGAGGGAGGAACTGGGGGCCACATTCTTTTCTAAACAACCTGCTGGGGGCTGCATGCCAGTGGTGGGTGCGGTCAGGGGCAAAAGTGGGTGGAGCAATAATGTGAATTTTGCCTTTGTACAGTATGCTAATTTCTGCACATATTATGTGTGCATGCTCTCAATGTGTTAAGTATCACGACCAGTGTGTATGCATGAAATTGGAAAGCCTTGAATGGGCATGTCTTTGTCTTTTTGGCTGGAGAAGCTTTGCTTGGACTTCATTAACAAAACGCCACCAAACTAGCACAACACTTTGGCAGCAGTTTCCAATCAATCAGACAAGATTGGATTCTGGGGATTGGATTCACAAAACGTCGGGTTTGCAGCACAAAACGAGCTAAAAACTCTGGCACCTATTTAGAGTCAATCGGACAAGGTTGGGTTTTTTTGGCATTAACTTGTGACCCCAATTTTCTCTGTCAATTACTCGGTTGTGGGGGGGGCAGCACAAAATGCAGGGTTCGCAGCACAAAATGGCATGAAACTAGCAGTAAAGTTTGACATCAGTTTGGGGGGATCTGGAATTTTGGATTCACACGTTAATGAAGCTCTTTGAGTGTTTTCCCTTCTAGAAGGAGAACAGTGCCATTTGTGCACAACAGGATACTACGCTTTCATACATAGGTTTTTGAAAATAGTTTTAGGATCTACATCAAGTGTAAGCACTAGTTAGCGAATACGGTTTGCTTTTGTTTCAGCACAGCTGCCGATTTCTCCTGAATCAGTTAATGAAGCATTTTAAATCAGAAACCTAGAACTGATTAAAGAGTTTTTATTTCAGTGATCTCACCAACAGCCCACTGCCCTGTCTTAACACTAACACTGGAAGGGGTGCATTTTTTCTCTGGCTCCTCCCTTTAAAATAAAATATAAAAAAACCTCTACAGATTGGGCATTCCAAGTGTCCAGATTTAGTACTCCAGTGTCATGGTGGCAGTCAATGAGTTACAAACATTGCCTTGCAGCCTATGCCACCTTACAAGGTATGAGGGCTTATTTTATTACAGCTACTAAGAAGCCATTTCTTCTTACACAAACATGCAGCATTGCAGCAAGCACATTCATCTGTGATTAAAACCAACTATGTGTGTGGGTGGTTGTGGAGGAGAGCTCAATATCATCTCTCGTCTCTCATTTTTAACCAGCCAGCTTATTCTTAAGGAAGAAAACAAATCTCTCTCGCTAGAGGATGGAGGAGGGAGTTCAGAATCTATTATGTCATCATTCTGGTCTTTTGTTGCTGCTCCTGCAAGGGGGTGTGTGCACTTATGACAAATTAGGAGCACAAAAGGATGAATTTTAAAAACCCAACTGCACAATGAGAAAAAGACTCATTTAACTGAAGTTTACTGAGCGGCTTTCCTGTGTAGAGCATAAACCATATTATCATACGAAATGAAATAGGGGTCTGCACTCAGAAGCAGGTCAGTGTTAAATGTGCGTAGGATCGCACATCTTGGTGCTTCATCTCTGTGCTGGGAAAATTCCCACATTTGCTGTTCAATATGATGTTAAGCACACATTTGAACCCTACCTGAAGAAAGAAAGATGGCCATGGACCATGATATCCTGCGCAAGTGGTCCACGTGAAGCGCGATAAACTCTCTGTATTTGGGTCAAACCTATCCATTCTTAAGGAAATCAGCCCTGAGTGCTCACTGGAAGGACAAATCCTGAAGCTGAGACTCCAATACTTTGGCCACCTCATGAGAAGAGAAGACTCCCTGGAAAAGACCCTGATGTTGGGAAAGATGGAGGGCACAAGGAGAAGGGGACAACAGAGGACGAGATGGTTGGACAGTGTTCTTGAAGCTACCAGCATGAGTTTGACCAAACTGTGGGAGGCAGTGGAAGACAGGAGTGCTTGGCGTGCTCTGGTCCATGAGGTCATGAAGAGTCGGACACGACTAAACGACTAAACAACAACATTTGGGTCATTTGATCCTCAGTTTCAATAGCTTTGGTCAAAGCAGTCCTGTGGTTCAAAGAACTACCCCAGGGAAAACCTCAGGCTTTACCGGCAATCTCGACAATCATGATCCCTTGAATTCTTAGTGGGAAATGGTGGCCCTTGACGGTCAAATAACATCTATCGGTCGGGTCGACTGAGAGGCAAAGGACAAGGTGGCATCTCTCTCTCTTGCCCGTCTCCCACTGAGCATACAGAAGCTGACAGGACTGGCTCTTGAATCTTGCTGCTAGGACTGAGGGCAGCAGGCAAGGTTAGGGGGCTCAGGGTAGTCCCCCACAC